TAACAACCATAATAGTAATAATAATAGTCCCAAAACTAAAATTTAATTGATTTTTGAATATTGATTGTTGTGTTATTTAATATAATATATATGTATTTCTATTTCAAGTCCAATATCTTTAACTTGGTTCTCTTGGGAATTTCATTTCTTCAATGCAAACAATAACATCATCATAAATTGAGTTATTAATGAATGGTAAATTTTACAATGCTGGTCCTTATCTCACTCTTGCATATTTGTCATATACTGAACCATGACAAATGCACACCCAACCCTATAATTGTAATTAATCATTTTACATTATAAGCACCTAAATATGGGATTGGAATACATCCCAAATGTGTGCACAATGCACTAACAACCAAAACTTTAGTGTTTCCACAATTTGTAAGAACAACTTCAGAACTAACAATTAAATTTAAGAATATACTTTGGATCTAAAATTGTTTCTTTTGGTAAGTTATCTTCATCCTTTATTTCTTATTATGTTAATCTTCTAATGAATACTGGTGTACCATTCCAAACAATTTACATGACTTCACCTGGTGGTAAATCTCCGATGCTATGCACTAAATGTTAATTATTACTCCATCTCAAGGTATGTGTCTCTATCATATCTCTTCCAACCATTTAATCTGCCTATAAGTCCTACTGCAAACAATCTTGCAAAAGAAAGCAATCCACCATAATAAACAGCATTCAATGCATAAATTTATGTTCTTTTTATTTCAGTTTCGTGTTCATTATGGACTCTATATTAAATATCTAAACTATGATTACCTATTTTCATCAAACCAATTATCCATTTAAACTTTGAAATCAATATGATCTCCGAAATTTCCTGGTCTTGCAGATGTTGTAAAGAATTGTGGTGCTTCTGATACTTATACTCCCTTGTATAACTTCTAGTTGACTCTACTATTATATTCTGAAACAAGACCAAAGTGAGCTCTGCCTATAAATGATCTTCGGAATGCTCCACTAATCATTTTAAATCTTTTTTTATATAATTTATTAATAAATAGTTATTATTCTCATATTTTCATCTCAGATATTGATTGTCTAATAGTCATCAAATTTTTCTGTATTCGAATGGTTTGTAGAGTTTCTTAGATTTTCAATTCTTGAATAACAATTATTATTTTAAATAATCTGTAATTATTACAAATACTTTCTAATAAAACATCAATAATAATAGGAAATAAATTCATAACTTTAGAATCTTAAATCCCATTTATTATATAAATCTCTAATTGATACGAAAATAAAATTTTACTAAGTATAAGATTTAATCCTTAGTTCTCTCTGTTTCTAATTACAATTTTAAACTATATATTTTTTTGCTTAAACTTAATTAAAGATTACTTTGAAACTTTTGTACCATAAATATTTCTGACTATGGTTTGTTTATTATTTTATAAATTGAATAATAAATTTATTGATTCCCCTATTTTACACTTTTAATTCATAAAATTGAAATGAGTTCCACAAAGCATCCAAAAAAAACCCTCTGAATTATATTGAGATTCAAACATTTTTATTAAAATGGATTTAAATCTAAATAAGAAAAATCTTATGATATATTTTATCTTTTTTTGGCGACTTCTCATTGAAAAAAAATAGAATAATATTTAATCATTAGTAACTAAATTCTGGGATACAATGATTCGTTTTAAATCATACTCTATTTATTTTTATGCCATAAAATTACAATAATGAATGAAATTTTTATTCATTTTTATGTTGCATTTATTCAATTCTAAGCTTATTTGTTAACGATTTAAAGAATATAATTTAAAATAACATTTATCAAGTTAACTTATTAAGTAATTAGAATGGTAATTTAAAATCATGATATTCATTTGATAGATTTAAGAGCCATAGATTAATCCTTAGTTGGGACCTATAATAGCAAAATAAATGCAAATTATGATTAAATAACCAATTGATGGTAAAATGTATTAATATTGCATTAGGAGTTCATGTGATATTTAATGAATAAGATGTTTTTGATATTTAAGCAGATATTGAAGGTCCAGGTAATAAAAATAGAAAATATTTTAGTTGATACTCCATTTTAAGGAGGAGTTTTCAGATGCAAATTAATTTTACCACCTTAATTCCCTTAAGTAGCACCTAAAGGTATTAATAGATATAAGTTAGGTTTATTTAATACTAAAATATTTCATCCTAATGTATCTGAAAAGGGAGAAATCTGTGTAAATACATTAAAGAAAGATTGGAATCCTCTATAATGGTCGTTAAAGAATATTTTTGAAGTGATTAAATGTCTATTGATTGTCCCATTTCCTGAAAGTTCACTAAATGAAGAAGCAGGCAAATTCTTCATGGAAAACTATGATGAATATTTTAAAAGAGCAAAATTACTAACAAGCATTTATGCTATAAAATAAGATGGAAATGTCTTAAAAGGAAATAATTAAGTATATAGCTAGCAATATATTTAAGAACACTAATGATGAAGCAGATAAGAAAAATAAATTGACACAAACCTAACAAAAAAAAGAAAATGATTAAAAGAAATGGCTGAAAAGAATTTGATTACTAATAATTATTTAAAAAAAGTCATTTATATAGTGTATTCTATTTATATTAAAAATCAAATATTAAATCATAAATCTTAGGAGTTAAGCATTTTTAAAGTTCTTGTTGAAGAGATTAATTAACCATATCTTCCTATTTGACTTAAATTATGAGAAGAAATTAAATTTTCTTCTGTATCTGGATTGATTTCTTCAAAACATATTTATAATTCATTAACTAATTAACAAGAAGTTGGTCTATCTTTTCTATTAAAAGATAAACATTTAGCAATTATATCTATAAATTATTCATTAACATTATATTGACTTAATTATTTCTTAATTTATTCTTTAGTAAAATTACTTTGGTATTATTACCTAGAAAAATTTTGACCTATCATTTATATTGGATATTCACCTTTATTTGCAATTTAAAACACTATATATATAAAATTGAATTATACTTATCATTCCGACTTACCAAATATCTGCACTCTAATCATAATCAGTAGTGCCAGCTTCTGGAGGATCATAACAAGGAGTAGCACCTAATACTGATTTTGGTGTAAGTTCATTTAATTTTCCAATTTAATCTTATTATTTTTATTCTTTAAATCATTCTATATTTTACCTGATTCCTTCTATTAAGTGATTGATTATGTTAACCATTATGATAATCTAGATCTATCAAAGTCTGCAATTAAAAGTCTTGCTCTATCTAGATTTTCATGAGATAGAAATAAATTTCCTGGTTTTAAATCTCGATGAATTATTTAATGTTAATGAAGATATTTAAGAGCTAACATTATTTATAAATATAATTACCTACTGCTAATTACCAACAAATCTAAATGCAATGTCTATCCTCATCAATACCTTCAAGCATATTTGAAAGTACTTAAGGATATCTTTCCATAAAGATATAAAGTTATTTTTATATTCTAAAATATGCATAGCAAGCAACTAATGGTTCATATTTTTTGAAATTTTCCATTATTTCTAATTCTCTTTAAGAAGAGGTTAAAATATAATCTTAATTAGTATCATTTAAATCTAATTTTACTGATTTTAAAACTGTTCTTTAGCTTATATTAGGGATAGTTTTCATAAATTCTGGAGTATCAAATTCATAAACATATGAATTTGATGCTGCTGAAGCAAGAGTAGCCACATTTGTAAATTCAAATATTTAATCTAATAATTCAACATATGGCATATTTTCACTTGGGCCAAGATATACATTGTTTAACATTAGAAAATAATTAGTTGAATTTTCAAAGTTGATTTCAAGAAAATCACCAAATAATTTAATCACTAAAAAATTCATAGATTTTGATTCTTACTTAATTTTTTAAAACTATCAAAACTTTCTTGTTCTATTACTTCTCTATCAAAGTTAAAGTCTAATGATTATAAACATATATGATTTTCTAATATTATAACACTTCTTTCTGTGATAATAAATGGAAATCCTCTATATGCTAATTCCTGTAAAGCTAGAAATTAATGAACATATTTACTAATGCTAATTATAGTAGCTAAATATATTTTTTGCTCTTCTGTCAAGTCTTCCATATTATTCTCTAAAGAAAACTTTTCTACATCTTATGCCACTATAGTTTATGAGTCTAAAAAGATATCAAATACAGGTAGGATATTGTAAAGCTTAATTCTTCTCAAAGCTTAAAACCTAGGGTTATTTATGCTTCCCAATTTATATTTACGAGCACAATATTGCAATTCATTATTATTTCTTACACAAGTAAATTCCTATTTATATACATTTATTTACATCATATTCTTCACATGAGTATCTCAAAATAAACTCTCTATAAGTTTCATCAAGTTTTTCAAGATTAAAATGAGCAAACTATTAATTCATGATAATAAATATTGGATTCTCAAATAGAATAAATGGGTTTTAAACTAAGAAATTAAATCATTTTTAATTTAAATAAAAGGAATTGGAGATTTTATTTGAAAATTACATTATGCAGAAGTTCCCACCCTTAAAAATAATTTTATCTTTATTTATTAAGATTTACAATAATAGATTATAGAATTATAAAGAAATAAAAAAGATTATGCTTTTCACTTCATACTGAAAAGCTATTTTTGATATAAGATATATAATATTTTCAAAAAATGATTATAAAAAACATTTAGAAAAGTTTATTAGCTATATTATTATTTTATTATTGTTATTTAATTAACAATTAAAATTATCAAATAATATTTATATCAATCAATAATATTCATATCAACTTATAATAGTCCTATTAATACGTTTTAAAATTAAAGTATATTAGAACTAGATTGATGCTCTTTGAATACAAATTGTAAATTTTTTTGAAAATTCTCAGATGAATTTGATCAATACTGCCATAAAAACAAAAAATTGTATTTTAAGAATAATATGAATATTTAGTACCACTTACTATAAAACAAAATTAATTATCAAAGCTCTCCTACTATGATATCTGATGCAATCTCTATAAGGTCATCTTGCTTAATATTTGGATAAAAATTCAAAATCATTTCAATTAGAGTAGCAAAGTCATATTCTTTTTTAATATTCATTTATCTTGCAAAAGACTTTAAAAATGAAGGTAGATTTAATTTATAAAATTCTTTTTCATATTTCTAAATTTCTTTCTCTATAACGTTCCAATCTATTATTTTAATTTCAGTGTGGCATTCATTTTTATTCTAATTTTTTGGAAATGAAAGAGGTTTCTTATAAAGCAATTCTTTGTACTTCTAATAATTGCTTGTTGGTATTCTTCTAAAAAAGAGTGAAGGTTTATTTTAACTTTGCCTATCAGTATAGCATCCTTAACGAGGAGTATGCATTTTAGTCTAAATTGGAGAAATTGCCGACTTATCATCCATTATATTTAATGATAGTCTGTGATTCAAAACCATATTACATATAATTTATCTTCCACCTAAATTTCGTTAATCAGGTATAAACATTTAATTTATTTTTTCACTTAAATTACTAAATACATTTTCTGAAGTTCTATTAGTTTTTCAGACTTCTTTCTATTTCTTATATTTTTTATGAGATTCATCTATTTAAAAAGACAGGTTTAGTTCAAATTGGCAAATCTCAATTTCAAAATTTAATCTAATGATTATTGAAAACAAGAACGATTTAAAGTAATGACAATAAAATATACTAAAATAATGAAAAAGAAAATGAAAAATCACATTTGATTTGGAGCTAACAAAATGCAAATTGTTTATATTAAAAAAAACAATTTGCATTTTGTTAAAAAATTGATTTTGAGGTTAATAGGATCAAAAATGATAAGTATCTATAAAAATAATAATTGTTTGATGAAACAATTTATATTTAGTATAGACTTAATTAATTGAATTAGAATTATATGCCAATCTTCTTTTAAAATTGTAATTATAAATCAAAATGCCAGTTAGGAAACGATTATAAATAATTACTCTAATTTATACAATTTATTCATATATATTAAGTAATTATTTGTAAAATAATTAATATAGATTATTGTTGGACATTTTTTTAATTTTTATTAGCAAATTCTTATGCGATTAACCTTAAACTTACTATTGAAGATAATATCAAGTAAATATATAGATAAAAATATTGCAAATCTCAGAGTTAAGATTGATTTCATTTTACTCAAAATAAATGAAATCAATTAGGGAAATGCTTAACATATTTGATAATAGTTAATATTGGAAAGAAAAATGAGATTTTCAAAGGTCATCCATACTAAACTTAATATTCTTTGACCTTTGTCAATAGACTTCTAAACAGATTAAAAAACATAAAAAAAAATATATATTCTCTCAAATTTATAACAAGTATTAACTCTTATTTAATTTTTTTGAATTAACAAAACTAAGATTTAATAACTATAATGATTCTTATTCAATTACTTGATTAAATTGATCAAAAGGGATTTATAAGCTGATGCTTAAATGCAAGAACTTTTGATAAACTTTAATTTTTTTATGGAGAATTGCAGATTTCTTGTATTTATTCTGTATTTATAAAGTTTATTTATGTTCCATCTTCTATGTTAGTTATAAATTTAAAATATTCTTCTTAAAGTGTTTAGGTATCCATTCTGATGTTTCTAATTGGATCAAGTGATTTCGAGACCCTTTGATTGTAACCTTGAATCATCTTTTTCTTTTCTTAAATATTCACATTTTTAAGTATATAATCAATAAATTTAGGTTTAGTAGCCTCATTATTAAGTCTTTTAAGAAGATTATCTGGACTGGATAACTTCTCATATTTTTAAAAGTAAAATCTTCTTTACATTCTTAGATATTCTTAATATATAATCAAAATAATATATTTTTACATAAAAATTCAAAGACTTATTTAATTCATTAATTCAAAAGTAAACATTTAATTCAAATATCTGAGATGAAATATAAAAAATAATCTCAATTAGAAAATAATTATTTTTATATGAAAACTAAAATGAAGAAAATTTTTCCTTCCAATACTTAAAACTACAATTCTGTTCCTTAATTAGAGCATGATAATGGATCTCTGTATAAAATGCACTAATCAACAATTTCTAAACCTCCACTCTCAATAGTTCCAAGTGAAGCTAATTAGAGCTACTATTAAATAATAGAAAAAAATAAATTGCTATATCTTGATTAATATAGCCAATATAATGAAATGAAATTCATGGAAAATATGGCAGGTAAATTATCTTATTTTATTCTAAGGTTTAAGACCTAAATCTGAAAAGTTATCTTTATTAGAAAATTTTCTCAATATGTTTGAAGACATGGTTTCTTGTTTAATCGTCATTTAAAATACCTTACTTCTTATCGACTTTGAAGCCCCTGATTTTGCATAAATTTATGGCTACTCACCAAATACAATGGCTGATATTTTGAATAAAGATATTAAAGTAACCTTATGATTAGCTTAATAAAGACTTTAGAAAATTTACATTTAGAATTGGAGTTTTAATCTTCCCTTAGATTTTTAGAGACTGTGTTAGAGGCATTACAATTTAATCCTGAATAAGCAAATAAAATTCATCAACTAGATGTGAAAGCTTGGTCATAAAAATGCTATAATCATCTCAATAACTATATAGGCATTTAATAATAATCTAATGCATCAAAATAATCCCTACTATGTCCTTGTTTTAAATGATTTATATTAATTTTTATTATGTAATTAACAAAAAATCCAAATCAAAACCATCTTCAATATCACACTAGATCTAATTCCTTAAATAAATCATATTCATCAAAATAACCTTCTGCAAATTTACCATTATTACTAAGACAATAAACAACATTTGTTAATCATAAAATTAACAATGAAAATGAGTCTAGTGTTGCTAACTAAAACACAGAAATTTTAGGGGATTTTATATTGCCATCCTATAAATACACAAAATAATAGAATATCATTTTGGCAGATGAATTAACAGAGAAAGTGTCATCGTTACGCAATAATACAAATTTAAATGTTGTTAAATAAATGGTTAGAAAAAGAGTAAAAACATATCATAGTGATTTAGATAGTTCTATGATTTCAACCTAAAGATTGATTACAGATCCTGGAATAGTTGTTCCAAAGAAATCTAATAACAATTAATATTTAATAGACAGAGAATAAGTTTCTCAAGATGGAGTTAAATTTCCATTTAGACTATTTATGATCAATAAAAAGAGAAAGAATTTAATTTCTTAATTGCTTACAAATACAAATATTAATGATGTAGCAAAAAATAATGAAAATGATTCTGAAAACAAAGACTTAGCAGAAAGATTGATTGGTTAAATTAAAGCTTCATAAGAATAGAAATCTAAGAAAGCTTTAACTTCCAAGAGTTGTATGAATAATGCATTATATTCTTTATTGGCATTAAAAAAAAATTCACAAGAAGCTGTTAAATTAAAATATAGATAAAATTTACCAAAAGATTCAAGATTTTATTTATTATGATAAAAAATATTTATATTAGAACTAATACTAAATTATTTGTGAAATAATTATTGTTTTGATATCAAAATCTTGTTATGATTTATAATTAAAAATAATTTACCCTTATGGTAGAATAATAAATTCCTTTCAATTTTTATTATCTAATTTTAAGAAATCTTAAGAAAAAAAGATTTAATAACTCTCTTTTCTATAAGTACAATATCAATAATTTTATAATTCTTTAGAAAGTCAAACTTTAAATAAATATATATTGATTAAATAATAATATATAATTCCAAACATAACATAATGATATTGCCTCTTTATTTTATTTTTCTATTGCCATCAGATATAATATGATATAGTAATTTCCATTATAAATATTACCTTTTTATAATAAATTTATTTAGAATCTTAACTTTTATGTAGCTTTTCTGATAAATGTTAAAATTGTTGTCATAGTTTTTACTATTTATAAAAATGCTTAATTTCTTACTAATTTTATTTAATATAATAAACATAGTATATAAATATTTTCTGACACTAATCGATTCTAATTATTTTATATAATAAAATATCATTCATCTTGATATATATAATTGAAAATATGAGAGGGAAAAATATATATTTTAAATAATTACTATTTTATATTTGACTTTTAAGAAGTTTGAATTTCATTTAAGATAAATCTTCATTACTTATTGGATGGCAACCTTAATAAAATATCAAATAAAAGTATTAAAAATTATTTAATTTTTAATAATGAAATATTTACATTTATTTAAACTTGTTGTCTTTCTACATAGTTCATGTTTAGTATTAGGAGATGAGATTGAAAATAAAGATGAACCTCATCATCATAGATACAGTCCATCAGAAGGAATATTTTGGTTATTTCTTTTATATGCATTTGGATTATCTATTTTAGCAGCATTCTGCTCAGGAAATACTCAAGGATTGCTTTCAATAGATATGTTGAATTTAGAACTTAAATTAAAAAGTGGAACAGAATATGAAAAGAAAGTGGTAAAAGTTCTATGTTATTATAGGCTTAAATACTATTGCCTGTGATATCTCAACATCATTTATTATTATCAACTTTGTTAGTTGGAAATGCTTTTGCTTGTGAAACCTTACCAATAATTTTACATCAATTGGCTCCAGATTGGTTGGCAATTTTGATATCTGCTGGCATAATTGTATTATTTGGAGAAATAATTCCTTCAGCATTCACAACAGGGCCTGATTAATTAGTAATTGGAATGAAAATGATTCCTTATGTAAAAATATTATAAGCTATACTATATATAATTTGCTATCCATTGAGTCTTTTACTAGATTATATTTTAGGTGTGCATCTTCATTAAAGATACAAGATAAAAGATATAAGAGGATTGTTAAATTTACATGCTTAAGATAGTGGACATGGAAATAATGCTTAATTAGCTAGGGATTAAATGTAATTGATGGATTCTATGATGGAAATGAGAAAACAAACTGTAATGAAGAATTGTAAAGACATTAAGAAAGTCTTTATGTTAAATGCCGATGAACGATATAGTTCTGATTTGAAAAACAAGATAAGAATAAAAGGATTCTCAAAGATTCCAGTTTATTAAGGATCAAATAAAGATTAAATAATTGGGACTATATAAGCTAAATCAATTTTAAAATTGACAGCTTAAGATTATGGTAGGTCAATATCATCATTATTACAAATGTAAGAACCATTGATAATTCCAAAGGATACTACAATGTTAGAAATGTTAATATTATTCCAACATGAAAGGAAATCTTTAGCTTTTATTTGTGATAAAGGGAAAAAAGTATAAGAATATGATACATTGAATGTAATATATTCTATTTAAATATTTTATAGATATCAAATTTAATCGTTGAAGGGTAGTATAATATTATAGCATTAATTGGATTGACCGATGTATTCGAAGAGATGCTTGATTTTGAGATTGAGGATGAAGATGTTCATGGAACTTTGTGTGATTATCCAAAATAGAAAAATAAGTATACTGAATTAAAGGTTATAACTGAAGAGTAAGAAAAGTAAGGTAGAGGTCGCGAATTGAAATAGAAACTATTATCATGAAATCAAATGACGTTCATTGTATCGATATTATTGTAATTTCTTTAAAATGTCCTTTACATTCTTATTACTTCTAACATAGAGTGCTTCTTGGGTCAAATTCAGAAGAACTGGTTCTGGTAGAGTTCTTTATTTTTATACTTTTGTTGAAGTCTCCATTGTAGGAAAAGTGGGTAATCTACGTTATACTGATATAGCTCGTCTTTTTGGTACAGATGTTCTACTAGGGATTTTTCCTTAAAATTTTTAACTCAGAGGTTCTAAAGTTAGAGTTTAAGTTTGCTAGGCTTTTATAATTTTATTCTTAGTTGTATTTGGATACCATGGACCAAAGGTACTTGCTAAACTTTTAGAGTAATTTGATTCCCAATCGTTCATTATTAAAATAATAATGATCAAATTATCAAAGGTTGACAAACGCATCTATAAACATTTAAATTTGTCAAATAAATTGCAATGTCTCCTTATTGAAGATAAGGAAGCTGAGAAATCTGCTGCTGCTCTTAATGTTTAAGTTGGAGCATTTTAGGATCCTAGAAATGCTGAAGGTTTGGCTCATTTTTGTGAACATATGCTCTTTATGGGCACAACTAAATATCCAGATGAATCTGAATATCAACATTTTATATCTAAGCATTCTGGAATGACTAATGCTTATACATCTTCAACAAATACTAATTATTTTTTTACTGTGGCCAATGATCAATTAGAAGGAGCATTAGATAGATTTTCCTAATTCTTCAAGTATCCTCTTTTTAAAGAATCATGCATTCAAAGAGAAATGAAGGCTGTTCATTCTGAATTTAATATGAATTTACAAAATGATTTTTGGAGAAAGTTCTAAATAAGTAAATTGTTGGCACCTTAAAACTCCTCGTATTCCTAATTTATGATTGGAAATCTAGACACTCTTGGTTAGGTTAATAGACAATAACTTATAGATTTTCATTCTCGTTATTACTCTAGTAACTTAATGAAATTAGTAATTTATGGAAAGTAATCTGTTGAATAATTGGAAAATTGGGCAATCGATATGTTTAGTGATATTCCAAATAAAAATTATAATAGACCAAATGTGAATATAGAAGGATCTCAAATTATATAAAATAAATTAATCAAAATTGTACCTATAAATGATGAAGATCATTTAGATTTAATTTGGGTTATAGATTATTTACATCCTCATTTTCAAAATTGTCCTGGAAAATATATAGCTCATCTTATTGGTCATGAAGGAGAAGGATCTCTATTAAGTTATCTCATCAAAGAAAATCTAGCATATGAACTTCAATGTGGTACACAAGATGAGGCATACAAATTTTCAGAATTATATGTAAGTATCAAATTGACAAAAAAAGGATTAGCTATGTATTAACATATAATTGAATTAGTTTTCAATTATATAAATATTTTATAAGCTAATGCATAAATTTTTAATGAAGTTAAATAAATCAAAACATTATAATTTGATTATCTTGAAAAACAAAACCCTTTTGATTTTGTTGGGGCTTTAGCATCAAGATTACATTAATATCCTGTTTCAGATATCTTAAAAGCTCCTTATTTAATGGAAAACTTTGATAGTAATCTTATTAATAAAACTATTAATCAATTAAATCGAAATAATTTGAATGTATTTCTTCAAAGTTAGTAATTTTAAGGAAAATTAGGAAATTTTGAAAAATATTTTGGTTCTGAATATGAAATTTCAGATTTATAATTTGAAAACTAGTAAATTAGAAATCCAAATTTTCATTTACCAAATTTAAATAAATATCTTCCAAATTCGACTGATTTGTTTGCTAATCCAAATAGTTAGTAATATCCAACAATAATTTATGAGTCTCCATATTCTACTGTTTATTTCAAATAAGACAATAAATTTAATGTTCCAAAGACATTCATAAAAATAAGACAATACTTAGATTAAATGGGAAAATCAATACAAAATGAAGTTCTTGGAGCTCTTTGGCAAAGTTTACTCACTATTCATTTAAGAGAGTTGTTTTATGAAGCTGAAGTGGCTTCATTGTCTCCATCAGTCAGTCTAGTAACTAATGGAATTGAATATTCATTAGCTGGATTTAGTGATTCAATTAATAAGTTTTTACCAGATATGTTGAAAAAGGTCTTAGATTTTAAAGTTGAAAATTATAAAGATAATTATGATACTCAATTAGCTAAACTTATATGTGATTTAGAAAACTTCTCTCGTTCTCCTCCTTATTCATAAGCAAGAACTTTATCAATGTTATTATTAAGAGATTGTGGGTCTTTCGATCCTGAAGATTTATTAAAAACAATTAGATTGATATAATTTGATGATTTGATTTATTTTTAAAATCATTTCATGGATAAGTGTAGATTTGAATGGTTAATTATGGGTAATATTTAAGAAAGTAATGCTGTTTCTATAGTGAAATAATCAGAAGAATTGTTTAAAAAATCACTCATTTTACAAAAAGAAGAAGTATTGTAAGTAAGATCTATTAATATCCCTGAAAATATCATATACAATTACACAAGATACTTAAATTCAGAAACTGAAACAAATTCAAGTGTTATTTTGTATTTTTAATTAGAAAGTGGAACAGTAAGAAATCAATTAATAGTTGATCTACTTTCTAATATTATTAAGACTCCATTTTTTTCTCAATTAAGAACTAAAGAGTAATTAGGATATGTTGTATTCTCTGCTTCAAGTGATGTTAGAGGTATAACAGGGTTCTAATTTTTAATTTAGAGTAGTGTTAAGTGTCCTAAATATCTTTAAGCTAGAATTAGGTATTTAATTAAATTATATAAAATTAGAGAATTTATAAAGACATTTGGTATAGATGATTTAACAAGGGAATAATTTGAAGAATATAAATAATCTATTAGAGTATCACTTTTAGAGAAGGATTTCTCATTGGGTAGAGAAGTTGGAAGATTTTGGGGAGAAATATAACGACATTAGAATCTTTTTGACAGAAGAGAGTAAGCATTGAGTTTGCTTGATAATATTGATATTAAAGAGGTTAAGAACTACTATAAATAATATTTAATTGAGCATCCTCATTAAATTGAAATTCATGTAGTTTCACCATCTCATAAATAAGAATAGGATTCATTACCTAATACTGGATTAATGAGTACTAGTGTTGAATGGATTAAACGTCGTGTACCACTTTATCCAGATATGTATTCATTATTATGAATGTATTATAAAAATATTTATTATAAAATGAAATCTCTCCAAAAATTACTTAAAAATAACAAAGATTTGGGACATTAATACATTGATTTTATGTAGCTTTTTGAGAAGAAATTAAAATCATGTATCATTAATCATAATTCGCGTAAAAATATTCTAGCTCAATACAAATAACAATAATACGTTCATTCTCCAATGCCATTTTTTGAATCTGACGAACTTGTGGTTTATGGTTCATTTGAGAATAGTAATATTCATGGATGTTGTTAAGAAGAAAAAGGAGTATTGAATGTTTTACTTTCAAGTGATACTAATACTTAAGGTTGCACTTAATGGTTTTATTTTGGTATCAAGATGCATAATGAAGGAAAACTTAAAATACGTATATTAAACAATCGCCGTTAAAATACACTCTTTAAAGATTGTAATCATGTTTATGTTTATGATGATGAAAAATGGTCTGTAGGTAAAACAAAAGAGATGTACTATTATAGAACAAATATAAATCATCCATTTTATCATCATGAAGATGCTGGCATAGCTTAACTTTAATAAAACTTTTCTTTGTACACTTTAGAATTTACTTATGAGTTCAAATAAACTGAAAAAATTGTATTTTTTGCTTTAACTCGACCATATCCAATCAAAAAACTTTAAAGATTTATTGATTAATGTCCATTGAAAAGAAAATCAGTGTGTATCACAACTTTAGGATTACCAATTTGGCAAATCAAAACTCCAAAATAAAATGGATAATAAATAGTAGTAATATTGGCAAGATAACACCCAAGTGAAACTGCTGGATCTTTTATATGTTAAGAAATTTTACGTATTTTATGCAAAGGACATTCAAGTATGTAAAAGTATAGATTTATAATCTATCCAATGCTAAATCCAGATGGAGTTTTTTTGGGGAATTCCCGTTGTAATTTTAATGGTGTAGATTTAAATAGGTAATATATATATTTAAAATTTTAGAAAATGGGACAATCCAAAATAAAAAACAGAACCTGAAGTTCATTATGTTTTTAAATCAATTTCTAAATATTCTAATATTGCTTTTATGATTGATTTACATGGTCATTCAAAAAAGTTTAATTAATTTCTTTATGGTTGTTTACATGGAAAAAGTGTTTCAGAGTATATGAAGATTAGATAGTTTGGAAAGATTCTAGCTCATCATAATGAAATTTTCTCATTTAAAGTACCTTAATATTTAATTGAGGGATTGTTCATATGGTGTTAGTCCTGATAGAGTTGGTACGGCTAGAGTTGCATTATGGAAGAGATTGAATATTGCAAATTCAATGACAATAGAAACAAGTATTTATGGTTAAATGGGTCGGGCCTTTAATTTGGAAGATTATCATAAACTTGCTTAAAATATTTTGAATGCACTTGATCTCTATAATGATTAGATAGACTCACCTGAATTGAATATTAATAGAGAGATGAGCAAGGCATTAAAATATGATAGTGGAAGTGATTCTGAAGCTGAAGAAGATTTGATTATACCACGACCAAATAGAATTAAAATTACATCCAGAAAAGAATCTTCATGTAAACATTAATCTGTTGGATATGGAAACATTAAACCAAAAATAGAGACTCCCTAATTAATACATCAACATAGTTAATTTTTTAAGGATTAATCCTTTGTTGAATTATAACCATAGCCTTCCAAACTTCTTAGTCAGAGTTAAAATAAAGTTCAACTATAGAAGATAAGGTCTCGAATGAACTCATTTTAAAGCCAATACATAGAAGAATAGCCTAAATTAGGAAGTATGATATCAGCTTTGCAAGTTAAATAATTATTTAAATGAAATTAATTCTTGCTCTTCTTATGACAATAGCATATTGTACAAATGNGCTTAACTTTAATAAAACTTTTCTTTGTACACTTTAGAATTTACTTATGAGTTCAAATAAACTGAAAAAATTGTATTTTTTGCTTTAACTCGACCATATCCAATCAAAAAACTTTAAAGATTTATTGATTAATGTCCATTGAAAAGAAAATCAGTGTGTATCACAACTTTAGGATTACCAATTTGGCAAATCAAAACTCCAAAATAAAATGGATAATAAATAGTAGTAATATTGGCAAGATAACACCCAAGTGAAACTGCTGGATCTTTTATATGTTAAGAAATTTTACGTATTTTATGCAAAGGACATTCAAGTATGTAAAAGTATAGATTTATAATCTATCCAATGCTAAATCCAGATGGAGTTTTTTTGGGGAATTCCCGTTGTAATTTTAATGGTGTAGATTTAAATAGGTAATATATATATTTAAAATTTTAGAAAATGGGACAATCCAAAATAAAAAACAGAACCTGAAGTTCATTATGTTTTTAAATCAATTTCTAAATATTCTAATATTGCTTTTATGATTGATTTACATGGTCATTCAAAAAAGTTTAATTAATTTCTTTATGGTTGTTTACATGGAAAAAGTGTTTCAGAGTATATGAAGATTAGATAGTTTGGAAAGATTCTAGCTCATCATAATGAAATTTTCTCATTTAAAGTACCTTAATATTTAATTGAGGGATTGTTCATATGGTGTTAGTCCTGATAGAGTTGGTACGGCTAGAGTTGCATTATGGAAGAGATTGAATATTGCAAATTCAATGACAATAGAAACAAGTATTTATGGTTAAATGGGTCGGGCCTTTAATTTGGAAGATTATCATAAACTTGCTTAAAATATTTTGAATGCACTTGATCTCTATAATGATTAGATAGACTCACCTGAATTGAATATTAATAGAGAGATGAGCAAGGCATTAAAATATGATAGTGGAAGTGATTCTGAAGCTGAAGAAGATTTGATTATACCACGACCAAATAGAATTAAAATTACATCCAGAAAAGAATCTTCATGTAAACATTAATCTGTTGGATATGGAAACATTAAACCAAAAATAGAGACTCCCTAATTAATACATCAACATAGTTAATTTTTTAAGGATTAATCCTTTGTTGAATTATAACCATAGCCTTCCAAACTTCTTAGTCAGAGTTAAAATAAAGTTCAACTATAGAAGATAAGGTCTCGAATGAACTCATTTTAAAGCCAATACATAGAAGAATAGCCTAAATTAGGAAGTATGATATCAGCTTTGCAAGTTAAATAATTATTTAAATGAAATTAATTCTTGCTCTTCTTATGACAATAGCATATTGTACAAATGATGCTATCAAAAAAAATGTCGATAATATTAGATAAGCAATAAATGCTGGGCCTAATAAGCATAAAGCTTATGATAAATTAGCTTATATTGTTGATACATTTGGTCCTAGAATGTGGGCATCTCCAAGTATGGCATTAGCTGTTGATTATCTTTATAATTAAATACAAAATTGGGAAGCAACTAAAAATGGTTTAGTGGAAGTTAGATTAGAAAAATTAGATGAAATATCAACTTGGGTAAGAGGGAGCGAGTAATTAATTTTAAAGAGTCCAAGAAAAAGACCTTAAAAATTAGGAATGATTGGTCTTGGTTTAATTGTTCCAGGTAACATAAAAGATGGAGAAGTTGTAGTGGTTAGAAACTGGGGTGAATTGGATGAGAAGGGTAAAGCTAATAAAATTTAAGGTAAATTCAATATACAATACTTAGGAAAAATTGTATGCTATAATGTTCCATGGACAACTTATGATGACTTGAAGTTTTATAGATAACAAGGACCTGATAGAGCATCTGCTTATGGAGCTATTGCTGTATTATTAAGAAGTGTTGCTTCCTTTTCAATCTATAGTCCACATACAGGAAATGTGAGATACTCAGGTAATTTTACAAAGATTCCTGCCGCTGCTATTACAGTAGAAGATGCTGAGATGCTTCAAAGAATGTAAGATAGAGGACAGAAAATAACAGTAGATTTAGAATTAAATAATGAAATGAAAGCTTCTGAAAGTCATAACATCATTGCTGAGATCAAAGGTTCATAACATCCAGAATAAATTATATTGATGGGGGGTCATTTTGATTCTTGGGACACAGGAAGTTAAACTGGGGCTATGGATGATGGTGCAGGAACCCTTGTTACTTTAGAAGCCCTTAAAGTAGTTGCTGATCTTGGAATCAGGCCTCTTAGAACTTTGAGATGGATTGCTTGGAGTGGTGAAGAAATGGGACTTCCAAATAATGGAGCACAACATTATGTTAAAAAACATGGTGATGAAGATCATGTAGTAGCACTTGAGAATGATGTTGGCTAATTGACAGCTATAGGATTTGGTTTTTCAGGAAAACTATAAACTAGTAGAATGGTTAGATAATTGATTATGAACTATATTCCTGATTTATCAGTTGTTAATGAAAATGATGGGTAAATAATTGTAGTTATCTTTAGTTCTGGAGTTGATACTAAACCTTTAGGTGATAAAGGTGTTCCATTGATGAGAAATATCTATAAAGATCCCAATGATGATTATTACTTCAAATATCATCACTCTGCTGGTGATACAATGAATATATTAAATCCTGATGAAATGGATTCCAATGTCTTTGCTATTAGTTCCATGATGTACATCATTGCTGATAATCCTGAGAGATTACCCAAATGATTTATCATAACAATTATTAATTAAAATTCAAATGAAAAGAGATGATTAGATATATATGTCATCTATATAACTTTGGAATGGAATCGACACTCCTATTCATTAGAGTACTAATCTATTTAGCTAAAAATTTAAGGAGAGTTAAGAATTTAATTGCAATGGCTTCCAGCCCATGTGTCCACATCATCCTCAAAAAAAAGTATTTATATCATATATATTTATAGGCTAAATACTTATTACATAATGACACAGGGCCAAATGAAAAATTATGCACTAAATGTGCTGTTCAATTAGCTCAATAAGGACATAAAATTGAAAATATAGAAGAAGGTAATGTACTCAATAATCTCTAGATAATGTTAAGAAAAAGCAAACTGATTCATTCATTGAACAATTATTGTAAACTAAAAGTGAAATAGAAAATGTTCATTCCAATTTATTATCAACTGAAGCCAACCTTAAAAAGTTTTATAATGACTAATATACTTAAGTTGTTAAGACTTTTGGAGGGATTGAAAAATAATTACAAATGGTAATATCTACTATCTATTCAGTGCAAATCTCAATTGCTATGTGCCTTATCATAATCTCTTTGGTCTGGAGTGTAGATAACCAATCAATTAAAAGTTTAATCCAAATAAATTGAACACTAATTGGCAACCTATATAAGTGATATCAAAAATCATTATGATAAGATTGTCTAAATGGGTACTCTACCATTTAATCAAATTATGGGAGGATATAGTAGTAAACTATTCAAATTACAATAATTCTTAAAAGATATCCAAGATAATAAAGTGGCCTATCTACATTATGAAGGTAAAGTAAGTTCACTTGATTCCTTTTTAAAAGAAATTAGTAAATTAACAGAAAAAGAGTATTCAAATAAAAAAAGAAATCATGAAAGCACTAGATCAAGTTCTGAATAAAAAACTTCTAAAAGTGCTGAAAAGGAAAAGAGGCATTAAAGCTAACCTAATAGTAAGGAAGTAAAAAGCTTTGATAATTCTGAGAAAAAAACTGCTCAAACCTTTAAAATTACTGAAGAATCAATTGAAGAATGGATGGAGAATTCTAATTCTAAATAAAGACGCACTGAACCTGCTGAACAACTATAAAGTCCAAATATTTTAGCTACTAAATTCTTTAAGAAATAACTTCCTCCAAGTAGAGCATCAATGAAATAAGAAACTAATTAAGCTATGCTTGATAAATTAATTTCAGAATTTTCTTAAATTAAATAAGAAAGAGCAATGAAAAAGTAATCTAAGACTCCTGAATTAGGAAAATCTGTCAAGGAAGCCTTTCCTAACAAATTATCACCTAAATTTCTTTACAAAAATTATTATAAATGATTTAATTAATAACTTTGTTTTTTTTATTTTCTTATAATTTTATAATTAATTTTAGAGATTTAATTTAAGCATCATCATTTTGAGAATAGCTTCTATAAAGATTAAATATCATCTTTATTGACAGCCAATCCTAATTGGGATTGTTATTATCCTACAAAAACAAAAGGAAAAAAGCGAACTCTCAAATGTCTTAGAGCTAAACTGTCAACACAAGCATGTCTAAGTGTAGACTCATAAATATTTTAAAATTTTAATGCTGTTAAACTACAATTATTCTAAAAAATTAATTAATTATATATACAATTTCAATATCTTTAATATTTTCTAATTAAGTATATTTTATAGTAAATTGATTTATAAGATCTTCTAAATTTTCAAAATTTTCTAAATTAATTTTTTCCTCTTAAGATTTATAAATCTATATATTATTACAAATAGTTTACATTCAATTAATTATCTATCCTAAAAAGTCTATACCCAAATGTATAGGGATCATGATCATAATTTAAAATAGGATCATATGCAATGTCTGATTCCTAGGTTTTTAAATAAATTAAAATATTCAACTTGTTTTTCTGTATAAATTCATTATTCTATTTTTGTTAAGTCTCTTTTTTTGTTCTACTCGATTTTAAACTATTTTAAATTTATTCTGAATTATTCATAATATTTCTAACTTCCTTTAATTATGGTTTTTTTTATGGATTCGATTAATGCTAATTTTACTAATTATTTTAATTATTTTAATTCTCATCATTTCTAGAATTAGTAAGACTATCAATATTATTAGATTATTATGTAATTCTACTACTTGAATTAAATTAAACTAAAATAGTTTTACTCAGCTTTTCTTGATCTTTACTTTTATTGCTTTAATTTTCACAAAAACTTAGTTACAATTAACTATTATTAGATTTAATTGGATCTTCACTAGAATCGAATATTTCTTTAGGATTATTGATTGGCAAATTAATATTTAATAATTAAAGAGTAATTTAAGGTACAGGTATTTGAGGGGACTGAATAGGAGTTTATGATTATGATCTGTGATGTTCAATTGTTCTATTAGTCTTTCTTTATGTATCAATTGAATCACTTCTAATTTTCTGAGGTACATTACTTGCTTAGATTCTTAATTTGATATCATTGATTTGATATTAAATTTGTAATAACAATTCATCTAAATCTTAAATAATCATTTTTCTCTCTACTTTATTTTCAATTTATAACAGTTATATCTTACATTATTATAATTCCAATAAATATTCCCTTTTATCAATTCCATTTAATTAAATTATTACACTACTAGCCTTTTTAAATTTTTATTAAGAGTATTGTTAAATTAATTGTTGGGCTTTAGTTTTATTATTCATTAATTAACTATTAATTACATCTACTCTTAAGAAAGCTTATTCAATACTGTTGGCATATAAGACTTATTAATTTAGACAGATTTTCTTAAACTCTTGTTTTACATCTGACAGCATGTTATCAAAATATTTCTTACCATATTTTTTTTTAATTTCAGATATACTCTATTCTTTATCTCTCAAATACATAGCTAAAAGATGCTATGTTTCAGCTTCTATTTATTTTTCAAGTTATTTTTCTAATTGTGCAACTTATGTAGTTAGTTCTTTACTTTATTTTTTGAATTTTTCCATCTCAATCATAAATTAAGATTTCTTAACTTATAAAGATTTTAAACATTAATTCTTAGTGCCTATTTCTTATGAAATTGATTATTATATTTTATAGGAAATATTATGCTGATTAAAGATTTATGCTATTTAACAAAAGTTAAAATGCATAGAATTCATACATTTTTAAATGAATATAAATAGATTAACCTTATTATTAGATTTTAAAATTCCCATTATATACTATTCAAGTAAATTAATGTTTTAAAATAATTAATTTTACGAATTAATCTCAATTAAGAGAGCTGTTAGATCTTCATTAATTTATTATTTGGCTTTAATTGAATTAGAATTACAGGCTTCTGTTAATTTAAGAATGTATAATTATACTTTCATAATAAGACCTAATGGAACAGAAGTTTAAATTATATCAACATCAAAAAATTACTTAATTTTATTCCAATTATTATATGCATTTTGATCAAGCACTTTAACAACTTAAGTATCACACATTTTTAGATTATCTCTAAATTTACTTAGACTTTCTGTATATACTTTATTTTATTCTTATATAGCTTGCAAACTCTTCTCAATCAATTCTATTTCTCTCTCTACATTTTAGAGATTCTAATTTGTAAAAAAATTAAATTACTTATTTTGTGATTGATAAGGACTGATTCAATGAACCTTATATTTTTTTCATTTATGCTTATGTTAATATCACATCATGATCTGATTGAGAATATAATGCATCTGTTAATTAATCTGATTCCTTGGAGAGCTCTTAAGTTTGAAAATTAGTAGAATGTAAATCTTCGATCAGCATCTACAAATGCTCTGATTAAGATGAGGATACATTCTTAGAGTTGGATTATAGTTAAGTCATAAGAGCATCTATTTCAGTTTACATCTCTTATATTCTAAATTCTGTTTTTTTGAATCTGGCAGTACTCATTGAAATTTAAATAATTAGTTAGTTATTTTATTTTACATGATAAAATTCACTCTATTGCATCAAAAATATCTCCTTTGCCACTTCTTCCCTTTCTTTTCTTAAACTCTTTATTCTTAGCTTACTGAGATTTTTCTTGAGCTGCCTACTGAATTCTTTCATCCATTTCATCAAATTCATTATCTTATGATTAACTATTATCCATAAACCATTCTTTAGGAAGATCCTCTGGATTAACAGTTTCCATATCTAAAGATTCAAAGTGTTTCTTCTAAAAATCAGTAAGTACTATAATAATTTATTTAATAATTAATTACAATCCTTCTTTTCTTCTTCAGTTAATTCTTTATCAATTTCTTCATCTTCATCTTCACCATCTTCATCCTTCATACCTTTTCTCTATTCTTTCTTTAATTATTCTCTATTTCTCTATTATTCAACTTTATTGAGCATGAATTCATCATACAATAAATCATCTAATTATTTCTCTTGAATTAATCTCTTTTCTCTTTAAACTGCTTCATCATTTCCTAAAGCCTTTTATTTCAAATATTATTCTAACATTTCTGGTTAATAAAGATGATTTCCTATAAATTATTAAGGTGCATTCTCTCTGACAGCTTTTAATTCTTCCATTGTTCTATAACGTCTTTCATCTGCATTGTATAACCATGAAAATTTAGGTGTTGTTTTTAATCTATTAATAAGATGATCAATTTCTGTTTATATTGATCTTGGGAAATCTCCTTCATTTTGAAGTTTAGTTAGGATATTTAACAATTTAATTAAATCTGGTAATCTAGATATTTTTTATTATCTAACTATATCTTTTACAAGAGGATCAAACAAATCAGGTTCAAAATACTTAGCACTTATACATGCATTCAATAATCTAAATTATTAAGCAGGTTGATATTTTAGACTTTTTTTATATTCTTTAACAAGAATACTATGACATTGTGACTTCATCAAATCATATAGATATTTTCTTGATAAATTTTTATTTTTCCCACATGCTTCAACTAATTCTATTGCTTCAAACCATTTTCTTTTAGATTTTTGATGCATACGAAATTCAGCATCAAAGAAATCATGTAAATATTAATTATCAATAGAAAGGGATAAAAATCCATATAAAGCTCCAAATGCTAATCTTGATGGAAATTCACCTTTAAATTTGTAAAGACATTTTTCTATCTTTTTAATTACAACTTCATCATATACACCATCTTTTCCCATATGATATAGAAGTTGCCCTATTGATTTTGCATAAAATTCATTCTCAGGATTATCTCTGACTGCTTTAAGTAAATCTTTGCTGCTTGAGTGATAAAAGGTCTCTGAATTGATATTAAGATCATCCATATAAGTTGCCCAATTTGTGTTGTCTTTTATGAGCTTCCAGTCTTTTTTAAGTACAAATTTGCAGCCATATGTAGGGATTAGGCATAACCTAGTTATTTTGCTAAAAAGCAACATAAATTAATATATTTATTATTTTAGACAAATAAGTTAAAACACAAGTAACTTTTAAATTGTATATAAATACATACAATAATTATATTGTATCAAATTAATGTTTGATCATCATTTGCTTTTTCTTTATAATATTCTGCAATTGTAAAATCTAGATTATCTACATGTTCTTCATCTTAATCGATTTAATGTCTTATAGGTTATAATTCATTACTCTTCTCACTCTCTTTCCTTAGATCAATTATCAATAGAACAGCAATATAAGAAATCATCATTAACATATTTATTGGATTGAATAAATGATGATCAAATCTTTCATAAAATAAGTAAAATTAACTCTTCTATATTGAATAGATAATGAAAAAGATGATGTCAATTATAAATAGATCACGTCCTAACAAATAATAGGTTAGCATTTACTAATTAAATTTGAATTTAAACTAATCATGACTTCATAAGCAAAAATACCAGAATACATCAAAAAACATAACCAACACGCAATCATAATTGTATGAATGTTATCAACTTAATTTTCTAAGTCTTTTATAACAAAGGATTAACTATCAAAGGCAATCAACCATCTATCTATACTAATAGGAATAATCACAAAGATTGTTATAAGAGTATTTCTACCTTTATTTGTATTATTGTCTTAACCTTTTAGGAAGGAAAGAACTTATAAGAAATATCTTAAAAATAGAAATTCTCCTACTGCATAACATGTTTATCCAATCAGCCACTCTACAGCTTCAAATTCTGGAAAGAAACATAAGGGTCTAAGTGGTTGTGCAATAAGAATTATCATTATAAGCATATGATGTTGATTCTCTTTAATATATTTTCCTAAAGGCATTAGATTTTCTTCTTCCTCATTGATCATTTTAATAGCCAAAGCCATAATGACAAAGCATAAGAATGTAACAAAGGAATCTTCTAAATATTTTAAATTATTTTTGAAATATGCTTCTAATTCTATGTCTAAATCCTTTGCAAAAATAACATATGCTGAAACTTTTATTAATTCAGGTGTCATTAAATAATTTTCATTTCCATCTGAATCTCCTGATTTGAAAGAATAAGATAAAGCTTTTAAATGATGTTTAATCAATTCCTCAATTCCAACTTAATTTTCTTAGACTAAAGGAAATGAATTATTAGTATCAACTGATAATAGCTCAGTAATATTTAACTATTATTCTGTAGGAAATTATTAGTAATAAATGACAATATCAGGTTTGTGTTGTAATTTGGTTTTGGTACGAAAATAGAATGTGACCATCGTTTCATTAGATTCCCAAATATACCCACAAGAGAGTATACTTTTATTTTGATTATCAACCTTTGTCTCACATTATCGATTTAATTTGTCTGATTCAATAAATTGTAGATCCAAAGATTTATCAACGAAATAGAATACTGCTATTGATGCCACATAAATAATTAAAATTTTCATTAATATATTAACTGTTAGATGAGGAGAACATCATCTTAATAAAACTTTGAAGGAAGAAGAGATTCAAATCATTTAGTTGGACTCATGGGTGAGAATGAGAAACTTCATAAATAAAACGAATCCTTAATGAAGGAATTAAGTCTAATTAAAAATGATTTTGAGAGGATGTCTATAAATGGTTAAAAGACAGTTAAGAATGGACGTAGAAAGAGTTGTGAAATCACAGGCGAAATGGTAAATTAATAATAAATAAAATCTCTTGAAGAAGAACTACAAAATACATTATTGAGATTCAACACAATAAAAAAAGAATTCTCGATAAAAACAAATTAATATTAAAATTAAATAACAAAATAATCTAACCTAATATCTTAGTTATAAAATGAAAATGAAATATTAAAGATTAAGAATGAAAATAAAGAAAATTTCGAGTTTAGATAAGGTTATTAAGAAAATTATTTAGAAAAATCAGGCATTAAAATTATTAATGAAAATCAAAAAATTAAATAATTATATGAAAGCAATATTAAATTGACAAAATTACTTGAAGACAGGTTGGTTTAATTAGAATAATTAACTAAAACACTAAATTAAAAGAACTAAGAGCATATGAAGGAAATCGAAAAATATGAATCTTTATTAAAGGAAAAAACTCATCACTCTTCATTATCTTAACGAAAAAGTCTTGAATCCTTATAAAAAAAGATAGATATTCTCGAAAAAGATAAAATTCGATTAAATAGTGAATTAACTAAAACTAGAGATTTAAATTCAAAAGAGAAATAAATGTTATTAAAAGAAAAATAAAATTTAAATTTAGAAAAAGAGAAATTACATTCAGATATGTCAATTATTTAAGAGTAATTAACGGATTACTACAATTAATTATAGTAATGTGGATAATAACTTAAATAAAAAGATGAAAGTATTAAATAATTTTAATAATCTGAGAGTTATTAGGGATATTAAAATGTTTAGATTGAAAACTAATAATAAAAAGCATTGATAACTTAATTACAAATTTAGATTGGAAATCTTTAATAAACCAATAAAGCTCTTCATGAGGAATTATTGTTTTTAAAGACTACTGCTCCATTAAGTAATAGGACAAATTTGAAGACATATTTTGGAGTAGATTCTCCATTCAAAAATATAGCAGATGAATAAAATAAATACACTGTTACTTTAAGTAAGAATATAAGCATATTTTATTAGAAACAAAAACTTAAAGTTCATAAGATTAGAGAGGCAGATCTTAGGAGAAATATAAAAAAATAGAATGATATTATTTTGTAATATATATATAAAAGTCTCATTTACGTTTAATTTCTTTAATCAATAAAGGAGACAACACAATTCCTCCAATTATAGACATAATTCCACAATATAAAAATAATGCATCATTAACAAGTGGAACAATCAATTAATTTATTGCTGAAAAAGCAGATGCATAACCTATAATAAGTGAAACAATTGTTGCTGTTGCTTTTTTATTATCTAAATATTGATTAATGATTACTTTTTAATTAATCTTGATTACTTAGTTCAACTGTAATTAAGGCTGCAATGTTATTATAGGTTCCTCCAATTAGAAATCCAATAATAAATACAAGTATTAAATAACCAAAGATAGTCAAGTTATCAGCATAATTAATGATAATCATTATAACAGTTCCTATCCATAAACTAGGTACTTGTATAATGGCTCTTTTATTGGTATAATATCCTATTAAACTATGTATTTATGATTGATACCAAATAATGATCCCTCCTGGAGCTGCACCAATATCAGTCATTGCAGTAATCCAAGCAACATCAGGCACCTTATTTTTATTTAAATATTCAGGCAACCAAAAACCAAGGATGTAATATACTGATTTAATACATCCAAAAGCAAAAGCATACATAGCTACATTGGGTACAAACCAAGCATCATAGTATGATAAAGATAATTGTTCTGATTCTTTATAAAAATGGGAACTTGGTAATGAATATTCTCCAGAATCACTACTATTCTCTTTTGATATGTGCAATATTGGTTCTAAAGAGATTGACATTGATTCTTAATGTTCCACTAATTCTTCAGTTTCATTAGGAAATGGAGCCTGTTATAATGCAAATAGATTGATTATAGAAATAGTAAACAAGGAGAGTCCTGACATGTAAATAGGAGCATAGTAAGGTAAATCGTGTTTCCCAATCAATGAACCTGAATAAAGATCTCCAATGATGTTTCCAATACATGGTGAAGCTGAGAAATATCCCAAAATTAAGACTTTATTAGGTCCCATATACCAATTGTTTAAGATCGCTAAATAATTATAAAATATAGAATACTATAATACCCAAGAGACCAGACCATTCAGTTGATTAAGAAATGCCATTAAGAATCTATAGAATCATGAACAAGTAAGGATGCTTATACTCATAATGCAAAAAGAATCCAATGCTACAAAATATTAGGCAAGTTGAAAATGCTCCAATTAATACAAAAAATTTTTAATTCATTCTATCTCCTAATTATCCTATCCTATATATTTTCAATTATATATAACGCTGAAACTGACAAGCCATAGCTCATCAAAAAGGCAAAATTGATATATCCTAAATACTAACTGTTAAAGTAATTGTCCGGTCCTGGTTATGCCATTCTACCAGATACATAACTCCATGTAGATCTACAACTATGTAGAAATACATATTGAATAAAGGCTAGTGTGAATACAAATATTCTTTTGAATTTAATTAACATTTTAATTTATATCATTAAGCATCGCCAACTTTTAATTTTTGTTCCTTGTATCTTTTATATTCGTTGATAATTAATGGGATGAGGAAGCAACCAGCTACAATTGCATTGAGACTACAATATAAAAAAAGTATAGATTCCAAATATGGTACAATCAATTGATTTATGGCTGCAAATACTGCACCATATCCCATGACAACTGAAGTAACGGTAGCCGTAGATTTCTTATTCCCTTTTAACTATTTATCATAATACTACCTTTTAGTTCTTTCATATTACTCAGTTCAATCACGATGGCACCTGAAACATTATTATATACACCACCAATCAATAATCCTGTTAGAAATACTAAAATATAATAGAGAGCATAAGGTTATTCTAATTTTGATAAGAAGTTGATGCTGACCATAACCACTGTTCCAATCCACAAGGAAGGAACAATAAGACTAGCCCTTAGATTCCAATGGACTCCTGCATAACTAAAATAAAGATAGAATAATTACCATATCAAAATGCCTCCTGGGATTGTACCCCATTCAATCATTTAGGTGATCCATGCAACTCCTTCTAGATTTTCGCCCTTTAGATATGAAGGTAGCCAAAATGCAAGAATGTAGAAAACAGCCTTTATGCAACCAAATGCAAATGCATATAAAGCAACATTAGGTAATTTCCAAGCTGAAATCATATTAATACTATCTTTTTTATTCTTCTTGGGCTTAGGAGGTACATGAGGATTCATTTGAGAGTCTCTATCTACAGTCAAAAGAGTTTAACTTAAATCAGTGAGATATGATTATTCTGAAACAGAAATTACTGATGCAGCTCTACTCATATATTCATCATGAGCCTATTTATAAACTAATGATTTTGTTAATGGATTTTTAAATTAAGCTATATATTCTTTAGCTGAACTGGCTTCAATCATATAAATGTTAATGATTGACATTATTAAAACACCAATTGAAGAAACATATATGGGTGCCATAACACTCATACCTAGTTATTCAATTAAGAGAGCAGCAAACAAGTCTCCTAAGATATTACCAACATTTGTGCATGCTGCAAAATAACCCATAACTATCATTTTATTTGGTTTACTCTGCCAATTATTCATTATTGCCATCAATCCTGGCCATGCAGGGGCTTAAGATATACCATTTAATATTTAAAGAACAAGTAATAGCCATCGATTATGTTTCTCAACTGGCAATAATGCAGCTATCATGAATTATATGATTCCTGTAGAAAATGTTCCGCATAACATAAACAATTTTGGACCTATTCTATCTCCAATTTGACCAAGGCTAAGTTAATTATTTAATATACAAAAGCATTGAAGATCCATAAACAAAAAGAAAAGAAAAGTTTACATATCCCAAGTATTTTTTGTCAAAATCATCTATCTTTTCATCATCATGATCGTGATCATCTTATTTTGCTAATAATCCACTTGTGAAACTCCATGTTGATCTACATGAATGTAACATAGCATATTGCATAAAGCAACAGATAAATACCTGAATTCTTTTAGCTTTCAATCCAGGAACAGCAGAATCAAACATAAATTTAATTTTAACATTTTATGCATATTTAAGAAGGAGCAATTGAAACATTCTATTATTATCTATGGCTACAAAATGACTCTATTAAGCAAAACAAAGTAGAATTCCATCTTCCAGACACTCTCATATACAGATTAGGAGTCATTCAGGTTTTTCAATTATAAATTAATTTAGGCATGGTATTTCACACATAACAATGAAATCCTTGTAAAAAAACTTGAGAATAGAACTCTACCAAATATAGAAACTGCATTCCTTAAAGATTGTGAGAACGATGTTTGTGCTTATTTCATCAGTTGTAAACCAAGAAGAGATTTTTATAATACCTAAGAAACTAGAGGAGAATTCTTATAAGATTAACTCAATATAGATTGCAAAACTTCAATTCTCTACTTAAATCAAGAGCAATTTAAATAATTCATACATAATCCAAATATTCATAGAAATGGTATTTTGTAAAAATTTGTAAAACCTGCTTTGCCCAAAGAAAATGTAATTTAAGCTATTTGGAGCTAAAATCTTTTGCTTTTAAGTTAAAGAGTAAATAATATCGAATTAAACTCTTCTAAATTCGATGCTTAAGAAAAATGTTCAACATTTAATAGTCCTGAATCTTATTCTAAAGCCTATCCTGTTAAGTCTAAAGTAATAACAACATAAATTCAAAGACTTATTAATTATATTACTACAAGAATTTGTGTTGTCACTTATGAAAAATTTAGAGTAAACAGAGCAGTTCTCTATTGTAAAATAGATCATTTGTAAAGAATTAACATTCTATATTGCACATCCTTAAGATCTAATGATGAATGTCCTTTTCCTATTTAATTTGGACATTAAATTCGACCTGATAATGTCAAGAATACTATTACTACAAACAAACAAAAACCAATTAAATTGATAATGGATGTACAATGTTTATCTTGTCAACAATTATGTTAAACTGAAGATTTACATCCTATCAAATATTAAAAATTAATCGCATCAGGACAACATTATAGAATGGATATTAAATCTTACTCAACAAGAGTTTAAAGAGCAGATCATCAAAAAACTGAAGATAATCCAGAAAACTACATTGCAAACACTACTAAATTAATACCAGATATTATAAAGAAACTTTTCCCTTCTATGTCCTACAGTGTATATTATAAATTTATATTTAGGAATTTGCAGAAGTTAAAGAAAATTCAGCCTTCTTAAACAAAGAATTACTTGTTTGTTTTAATTGCTATCTTAAATTTACATAAAGTAAATAGAGATTAAATCAAATAAGTAGACAGTTACAATTAAAATAAAAAAACAGATCTATTACTGATTTGATTAGATAGGCATCTTAAGAAGTATCCTAAAGACATACTGAAAGAGATCATAGCGGAAATAAGGAATATTAAAAAATGACTTTATGTTTAACCTAAAGAAGTACTTTACTTAAATCTTCTGAAGCTATGACAATGAAATCTACTATGAAATCTTCTCGTACATCTTCTATGATGAAGAATAATATCACATTAAGAAGTACTGCTAGAAAATCCTCAGTCTGATTTGATTTTACTATTTGTTGCATTTATAATTCTTCTTATAATTTACTATTCAAAAGGTGAAACTATATGAAAAAAAATAATATAACTTATAACTGATTTATTCTCTTTTTCTTAATTAAATTTTGACATAAATTTAATATTTTATTTGCTTTTAAACTCTCAACAAAATTTATAAATTTGAGGCAAATCATAAATTTTACCTATTCAAGTAATAAATTCCATATATTGTTAGTGAATCTATTGCTTCAATTGTTTAAGTATGTTTTAATTAATCAAATTGATGAAATTCTAACGGTGTATAACAATAAAAAAAGATTATAAGATATTTATGTTTAATTCTATGTATAAAATAAAGATTTTTTAAATTTAGAAAAGCAAATTAATATTAGTCAATATGATATTATGTAATCGCAATCTGGTCTAATCTACTAACAATTTTTTCCCATCCATAATATAAATTCATGTAATTTATATCTTAATTAGCAAAGATTAAGTTTTATTGAAGATTAGTTTGCATAGCATCGTTCTTAGAATAGTAAATTTGAATAATTTTAGTAACACAGTGATTCCTATTTTTTAAGTAAACAATATTATTACAACATAAGCTAGCCTTTTCTAAGAATTTGAATGATAATTATATTCTACTTTCGATTTGATATTTTCTTTAAACAATTTCAATCAGATTACTTTATAAAATATAGGGTATCTATAAAAAAGAGTTTAAAACACTGAACTAATTTTCATAATCTTTATCCTTATCTTTAAATTGTTATTAATATCATAAAAACACATTGCATGAGTCATTCAATATATTTTGGGGAATATCAATTTAATTAGATAAATGTCAAAATACAATTTTAAAAGGCTTACCTAATTTTTAAATTCTTTTATATATTATGCTCATTTTCAATATATGGTATGAGTAGTGAAGATACAGAAACTACAATATCCAAAGATTTATTATGTAATGAGTAAGCAACGTTATAGCGAATGAATAATTTCCCAAGATTGCAAACTTTGAATGATAGGATTTTGATAATCACTATACATTAAAGTCTTTAATTCTTTAATTTTTTGTGTTCTGTTATTTTAGTGAGCATATTAATATACAATAAAATAATCAAAGCATAATTCTATTTGATTCTAACCATTATTGCAATTTAGCAATGTCTAAAGGCTTAACGAAGTATCCGACCATTCCAGCTTTCAAACATTCTTCTTCCTCTTAACCACCTGAGTAGCCACTATGCCCCAAAATATACCCATTAAATCCCATGCTGATCAACCTTTTACAAGTTTCAATTCCATTTAAGTTAGGCAAATCAATATCAAGAATAACAATTTTATAATTTTTACATGAACAACTTGGTCCATGTTAAAATTATTCAATTTTCTTAATACATTCAAATCCACTAAATGCCAAATTTACTCTGTATCCTTATGATTCTAATTGTATTTTCAGCATTTATAGGATAAAAGGCTGATCATCAACAATTAAAATTTCGGGACATTAACATCTAGAATATTAACTTAATTCTAATCCACTCATTCTAAAGCTATCACATTATTTTATCTAATTTAATGGAGCTTAAAAATATTCTCTTTATTAACGAACAACTGATTCCTATTAATACTTTTATTTTTCTTCACTAAAGGAATGATCATAAACTTAAAATGAAAACTTAGATCCTTTACCTTCTCCTTCTGAAACAGCTGATAATCCTTTTTAATCATATGATAATTTCCTAGCCAAAACATTACTTATCATCAAACCTAATCCTATTCCTTATGGATTGGAATTAGTTGGATCATCTAACTTACCAAAGGCTGTAAATAATTTATTTTAGTTTGCTGCTGTTATACCTAATCCTGTATCAGAAACTGTTATTTCTACAGATTTATTAATCGCCTTACCAGAAATTGTGATAGTTCCATTATAAGTAAATTTAACAGCATTACCTAACAAATTAATTAAGATTTATCTTATTTTATAAGGATCTGAACAGATTTTCTCTGGAATTCCCTTAAGATTAATAATTAAATCATTGTTCTTTGCATATGCTTATACAACCATTATATTATAGGTTTCTGTGATTAAATGATGAAGATTTAATTATTTTATATCTAATTTAAATTTTCCTACATTTAACACTGACACATCCAACAAATCTTAGATTAAATTAGTAAAACAATCTAATTAACTTAACATAGGCAATAAATACTTTTAAACCATTTCTTCACTACACATAGGTTAAATTTATTAGACCATTAACTTAATTGATTAAAGTGGAGTTCTAAATTCATGTACAACTGTACTTAAGAAATTAGATTTATCTGTAATAACTCTTTATAAAAATGTAACAAGATTCATTGAAGTCATATCTCTTACAATCAATAATATAAATTCTGATTACTTATTCTCAAACCTTTTAAAACTTACTTAAAAAAGGGATTTCTCATTTTAAGGAAATTGACATAACATTTTGAGAACTCCATTTTTCTCATGTCGATTTTCTATTAAATGATCAAGTAATTTTTTGACATTTTCAAATTATTAAAATGAATAAGATGATTTCAATTCTGATTGATCATCAAATCGAGATTCATCAAATGTACTTTTTTTAAAATAAGTTTTGTTATCAAATTCTTATTCATTAAGAATGATTTATTATTCTTGAAATAATGAATTGATCTTTTCTAATTCATTAATTTATTATTGAACATTTTTCATTTGTAAAAGATTGTAAAAGGCAGCTTTCTTATTCATCCCTCCCATCATCTTTTTCAAATGTTTATTAATAAAAATAACTTATTTTTTCATATTTACCATTATTATACCATCAGGAAACATATTAAATATTTTTTAGTATTGATCCATGCATCCAAAATCATTTATTTAAAGATCTTATGATGGTTCTGATTAATATTTATGTCCACTCATTTTCCTTGAATAGTTTGGTGAAGTTTGATTTTTTATTAATTCTGGAGAAGGTAACTTAGCAGTTGATATTTATCCACGACTTTCCTTTTCTTTTTTATTTTATATGTAATATTTCATGCAAATATTTAATACCATAAAAAGTGATAACAAAGTACCAGTAACTGTATTCTCATTCGTCTCTCCCCACATTATGAAGTAAAACATGCATACTAAAGCATCTATCAATTTTAAAAAAATTGATTATTTTCTCAATAAATATTGCATATATGAACCTGCTAGAAAACTCTAAACTAAATTTTATTTCCTTTAAAAAATTAATAGTAATAAACTAATTTTTATGCACACTTTCACACTTATCTAAATTTTTTCATTCTAAATTTATTTAATTTTTTATATAAAATGAATAGCCAACATCAAGAACTGAAAACTTAGCAGTATAGTATTAACTAATCTAGAATCATTAAGTTGATAAAATGTGAGCACAATACAAGTGACTAAATGAGATATGAGTAAACTTCCAAAAATATATAACATAAATAATAATTAATATAAACAATAATTAATACTATCACAAAGCTCAATTAAATTAATTTGAATTTGTGAGTAAATGAGACAAAAAATCTTAAACAAAACATTTATTTGTTTAAAATTAATTCATATTTCACAACTACAATTTTATAATTTAGAACCATATGATAAACATATTCGAATATGCATTATTGAGAAAGAAATGATATATCGATTTATACTGTAATTTTATTTTTGTAAATTGTTAGATTTAATTTTGAGGAATTTATTATTTTTGTAAACTATTCTAATTTTTTCAATTTCATTTAAAAGGTTAATTTTTCTAATTCTTTCATTTTTTTTTATGAAAATATGAATAATATTATAATTAAGCATCAATATCCTTAAATAAAAAAATTCTAATAAACTAAAAAGAAACATTTATCTTAATAACTATTAAATTTCAATAGAAAAGAATTATTTTTGTTATATGGTATCATTCAATGATAATTTTATCAATTTAGATTAACATCATATTTCAAAGAAAAACTTGATTTTTATTTACTATAGATTATTCTTTCAATATTTTAATATTCAAAAAATTCATAGTATTTTATTTAACTACCATCACTTGGAGAGGCATAGAAAACAATTATTATTGAGTTATATATTTTCCAAATAAAAGAAAATAATAAATAAATTTTGGAAATTGAAATAAGTTTTTTTTATAAATCAATAAGTTAATAAATGCACTTAGATCAATATTAACATTATTTAATAATCTAGAATGAAATTATGTGTTTATTTATTTTAATTAAGCATATTTGTAATTTATTTACTCAAAGAATTATTGTTTTATGAGAATGAAAATATAAATCTTAGTTATTTAGTTTGCTAATTATATTTTCACAAATTAATAAAAAATTATAAATGTATAAAAATTAAGAAAATTTCTAAACTTTTATTTATTATTTTTATTTTTTTTCAATAAATTTTATTTTGGAGTATGTATTATAAGTATTTAGTTCAAACTTTTAAAATGACATTAAATTATTGAAGATTCATTATCATTATTTTCTTTATATTTTAATTAACACTATTTTGGGTATATAACTTAACAATAGAAATTTTCTTTTGATTATAAATTGATTTTAACTAGAAATACATTTATACTAAATAATTGATGAGATAAATATTTTAATAGGACAATACTCTTATGTAATATTACATTATTTTATTTGATTTTTTTCATTGTGTAATTAAAATAAATTGATTAAAAATCAGAAAGTTCTTGTTGCAAAAATATGATTATGAAGAAGGTACGAATGGTAATGATTTGCATAATATTAGAGAAAAAGAACAATATAAAATATTAAGAATTGATTTACAATTATCAATCTGTCGTTAAAAAATATATGAATGAAATGAGTAATCCATTATTAGATAAAGGATTAGCTCATTAATGCTACTTTGAAGTTTAAACTTAAAATTAGAATGATTGAAAAATAATTTCAATTGAATTCACTCATTCTTCTAATTCAATTTCAAACAATATGTCTATTGAATAATTTAATTAATTTTATTCAAGCATCATAAGCTTTATAACTGCTTGATGGGCTTTCTGATAAATTTTATTACTGATGTTAATTAATAAAAAAATTTCTAAAAATCATTTATCGATTTAAAGCAATGATAAAATGAAATAAACCCAATTTCAGAAATTGAAATATTCTCATATTCAGTTCCTTTATTACTCGATTTAATTAAGATTTATTAAGTATATTATATTTAAAAATTCCTTTAAGATAAAAATTAAATCTCAGCTCCATTTCTTATTTGTTGATAAATCTGATATTAATTAATATTTAAAATAAATGTTCCACATTTTATCTTTGTTGATAACAATTACAAATGGATTTCCTAGAACAGATCTTATGGAAGGCACAGCTACTACTAACGTAGATTGGTAAAAACCAGATTCTAGTCCATTTAATTAAAAATTTTCTTGTGATAATGGAGAATTAATAGGACCTTTTATCGGAAAGGTCGACACGAACATCAAAAAAACATTTACTAATCTTTAACCTCATTATTCATTATAAATTTCTTTAGATCTTTTATTCACAGAATATTGGTCAGGAATATCAAACTTTGTAAATATATTAATAGATTCAGAAACAATTTATTCTGATACATCAATAACTACTGTTAATTTCAATACTCCTAGCAATTATTGCAAGACAAATGCATTTTTGTATTTATTTCAATAAACTTAGAATATTTGTATATAATTAATAATTGATCACATTAAGGTAGAATATTATTCATTCAAATCCTAATCCAACATTAGAGGTTACCTCTAGTTATAAATGTATTTTACTGTCATTATATACAGTATGTGAGAAATTATTAATAAAAAATGTTATAGTTTCTCCATAGTTATGTCATTTTACTTGTTTAACATGCACTGGTCCTAACGAAGATGATTGTTAAACATGTCCTAATGGTACAACATAAAATGGTAAGTGTTCTTGTTAAAATGGATATTCTGCATACAATTATTAATGTGTTTAATCTTGCCCGTAATATTTTACTAGTCAGAATTAATAATGCATATTAAGTTGTTCATTAAATTGCTAAGATTGTATAGGATAAAAGTGTAATACTTGTGATAATGGTTACATCCTATATATGGGTACTTGTGTCACTGATTGTCCTAAAAGTAGCACTTTATAAAATAATATTTGTGTAGATTATCTGGAGGAATCAATTTTTGGATCTGAATATTTAGGTAAGTATTTTGATGGTTTAGATATTGATCTATAAAGCTAAATAAATTCATTTACTTTTACATTTAATCCTGCATTATCAAAATAAACAGGGTAGATATTTTCAACATACAATAATTAATATTTATTAGGAGGATTTGGTGTTTGGAGCAATGGATAATTTAATACTGTATTTAATGGACTTCCTGCACATAATAAAATAAGATTATATTTAACAGCTTGGTTTATCGATAATTGGACTAATCAGGAATTTATAATTAAATTAGATAACTAAATAATTTATTAAGTTTCTTATTAACCAACAAAGGCAATTAGTAATCTATTTTATTCAAGTGCTAATGATTATATTGAAGAAATTAATCTGAGTATTGTGCATACATAGAATTCAGCTTAATTAACATTTTAAACTACATTGTTAATTTCTGCCTATGAAGCTAGTTTAGCTATTAGTAATATATATATTTTGATTGATTATTGTGATAATAATTGTGATGTCTGTTCAAATACTTAATGCACTTTATGTAAAAATCCTTATTAATTAATTCATAATTAATGCTCACTTTGTGATTCTTCTAATTTTAGAAATTATGATTGTTCCTGTTAAACAGGTTTTTATGATGATAATATAAATAAACAATGTTAAAAATGCAAATAAGAATGTGAAACATGTCTCAATGCAAATAGTTGTACTTAATGTAAATTGGGAACAAATCTGATAATATTACCAAATTGCATGAATTGTAATACTGGTTTCTATTATAATAATGGAATATGCTCCAGATGTTCTAAAAATTGTTTGGCTTGTTTTGGAAGTGGATAGTCTGAATGCTTATCATGTTAGACTGATTATATTTTGAATAACAATAATGAATGCTAGTCTTGTATGTCTAATTAATTTATTTATAATAATACTTGTTAAGATTGTTAATACAATTGTGAAACTTGTAATAATACATAATAATGCTTAACATGTACAGAGAATAGGATAAATGTTCCTTTTTGTATTTGTTAAATAGGTGAATAATAATATTATTATTTTAGGATATTATGAAAGTAATACTAAATCTTGTTAATCATGTAGTTTTCAATGTTCTACTTGTTAAACCTAAAGAGATAATTGTTTAACTTGTTCAGGTAATAGATAAAATCCTCCTTTATGTACATGTCCTGATGACTCTGATTTGAATGATAGTAATATTTGGTGTACAGGTACATAATTATATTATTTAGATTGTTCTATTGTTAATTTAGAAGTGAAAATGAGTAGCAATGCAAAAAAAATAATTATTAATTTTGGAAGAAAAATTTCGAAGATTTCATCTGATTGTTCAGCTCTTTTTGAATAATCAACTCTTTAAAATTTAGGAAATAATCCAAGTTGTTTTGTTAATTCTTAATCTATTTAAGTACTTTTAGGTTAAAATACAACAACTTATTTTGGTTTACCTATCAATTTTAAGAAAAATATAATAAAATTTTAAGATTGTCAAAATACATTATCTTTATTTTTGAATAACATCTTATCAAATAACTAAGATATATAGGCTCCTTCAATAATATTTTCAAAGAATTTGGTTCAGTTAACAGCTTGTACAAATACTCCAGAGGTAATCTATTAAATCTAAACTTAAAATTTTGGAAGTAATTAAATAACATTTATTGATTGGAAATTGAATAGAGTCTCTTAACATGATCCAAATATTACTCAACTTCTTGATAATTTAAAAAGTTAGTTTAAAAATCAAAATCAAATAGTCATGTTTGAATTCTCAAATGATATATTATAAATGGAAAATGAAATTTTATTAGAATTATAATACAAAAATTTCTTAGGAATCTAAGGAAGTAGTTTAATCACAATAAAATAATTAACAACAAAATTATTTTTGAATGTTTAATAGCAAAGAAACTAATACATGATTTCTTAATTAATTGAAATTTCTATATAGGTCTCTCATTGCTCAGATATTCTTACAAATGATGCTAAATTCAATCTATCTACTATTATTGGCACTCTTAAAAAATAAGTTGAAATAGTTTTGGGTGATTATTACATTTATACTATTGAACCTTATCTTTTGAATGCTGGTCTCTATAAACTAAATGTACAATTGAGTAATGAGGAAAGTCTAGAAATAGAATAAAACTTTTAGATTCTTATTGCAAATGAACAACCTTAAATATAATTAGTGTCTGAATCTAATGTCTAAAGCTATTAGTAAAAATTAATAATCTATGGGAAGGTGATAAATCTAGTATAGCAAGATCAATTATTCAGTTGGGATTGCTTTGATATTATTTAAAATTCTGAATGCAAAACATAAAATCAGACCATATTGATTTTACCTAATTCTTAAAATCTGACACTCTAGCCTTATTCATTAAATCCTTTTTCTGTTTATATGTTTACAGCTCGCTTTCAAGATTTACAATAATAAATCACTATAACTATTGTTGAATCAAATGTTCCTAAAATAGAATATAAATCATATCCAAATATTGCTGATGGATATATCAATTACTATGATTAACTTCTATTTAAATTCAAATATCTAGAAATAGTTTAAAATCCTGATTTATTATTATACACTGGAATATTGTCAAATTCAGACATATTGATAAAGCATTTCAAATTTAATTATTTAGAGTTATAAATAAGTCTTTGGCATTATTTTACTGTTGAGGAATTAACAAAACAAATGACATTAAAGATTAACATATACAATCCTGATTACTTTTTGCCATCTCAAGTTACAATACCATTAAATATTAATATACCTCCTTTATAATGTAGGATAGATTTTGACTAATAAAATGCATTTACAATCTCTAATTTTTAAATAAGAATAAATAATTGTAAAGATGATAATTTTCCATTGTAATATAGATTAGTACTTTATTTTAATAATTCAGATTTAAATTTTGATTATTCTATCAATACTATATAAAAAGGTATCATTTTAGTTGATTACTAATATAGCAATTTATTTCATACTAAATTGACTGGTAATGGAAATATATAATTAATGGTTTAAGTTAAAGATAATCTAAATGGAATTAGTAACTATACAAAATCATTAGACTTTGTTTATTAATAAGGATTTCTTGATTAAATACTTTTAAATCAAACATCTATTAGTGAAACCTTAATTTATACTGCAAGCTTATAATTTGAAGAGAGTTTTAATTCTTAAGAAATTTCATAATTTCTCTAAGAGTAAATTATGTATTTCTCTAATTGCAAATGCATAACACAAAAATAATTGTTGAACTTAAAAACATTAGCAGTAAATCATAAGAAATGGGCATTAAATGATATAAACAATGAATTATCACGATAATAGGAAAGATTAAATGAAATAAATTAGATATTGGCAAATTAGTAACTAATTGAATATGATAAATATGAACATACAATATAAGAATTTAAAAAAGTAACTTTATTAGAAGAAACAATAGAGATAGCAAAGTATATTGATGAATTATTTAAATTAAATAGAGATTATTAATAACAAACAAGAATATTAATTTAAGATTAAGATTATTAAAGTAAAAAAGCTAATAACATTATTATTATGGAATCAATAAATATAATTACGGAAATTTAATTATAAAATTAAATAATTAATGGAAATTTAAAAACTATAACCACAAATTCATTTAATATTTCAACCTAAAAAGCAACCTAAAAACTATTATAAGACTTAATAAGCAGCACTTTGACTGAACCTTAAAGTATTGGACAAAAAGATGATAAATAAGAGTCAACAATGGATACATACTCATATAAAATGGTTAATTATTAAACTAATCCATTTATGTATGATAATTATTTTATGGAATCTCCTGAGAATTAAAATAATTATTCTTTATATTAACCTGAAATTAGATAATTGTCTAATTAAATTTTAATTTAAAATATAAGTACATCCTAAGGTATCAGATATGAATTTGAAAAATAAGCAGAAAATCTATTTGTAGAATGTGTAACTAAAGTTGAAGATAGTTGGAGTTTAGATGCTTGTAGAACTATTAATGATGGTAAAAAGACTATATGTTAATGCTAATATATTTCTTCTACAACAATATTCCAAGCTACTTAACAAATATTTGATTAAGCTGTTGAATTCTTCTCACTTGAAACTATACATAGTATGCTTAGATGTCAATATTAGTCTATTATTTTTACTTATATAGTGATAATTTATACGATTTTATTTTTGTGGTTCATCTTCTATGGATTTAGAATGGATTAAACAAAAAATGATGAATTCTTATTTAATTCAACTAAAGTTGCCCCAGCTGATTGGGACTTTGTTACTGAAAAAAATGGAGGTATTATAAATATGGGAGAAATGGATTCTGAAAAAAGAATACCACCTATTGACAGAATAGTTATTAGAAGAGAAACTTAAAAAAAAACTATTTTTAGTTCTAATGAAAGTTAAATTACATATGATGATAAAGTCTTAAAGCGACCTTAATTTGAATATTATAACAAAATGTTGGCAAGCAAAAAAAGTATTGGTATAACAACTAATGTTTGTTCTGGAAGAATTATTGAGGAAACAGAAGGTGAAGCATCATCACCAAAATCCAAATCTGCAAATAGTCCTAATGTTAAAATAGCACCTTCAGAGTCAACGTTTAGAAAATAATTAACAAATGATGAAGAATCATTATATAAAAAATATTCTACATAAAGTATAACTTTATGCAAAGCTTTACTATTTTATGTAGAAGTAATATATATTTTTATTGATTTAAGATAAATCACAAAGTTCTAAGTCTTTATTATTTGTATGATAAAGATTGTTCTAGAGTTTACAGAACCATCATGTTATATGTTTCGTTATTAGGTGAAATAAGTATTTTAACATTTTTTGGACAAGTAAATTTTATTTTATTAATCTAGATTATAAATTTGAATACAATTATAGCACTATCAATATTATAAGCCTTATTTGGTGTAATTTATAAGAAGCTACTATAAGTATTTTTAAAGTCAGAAAAACTATGTATCAATTATATAGGATTTAATCTTGCAATCTTAAGTGTTTTATTCTTTTTATTTATTATTTTTGGTAGTGTTGCTAAATATCAATCAGTTTTAGAAGCTTCATTGTGGGGGGTTGCTTATATGAGTAGTTTTATATTGGATTATGTAGTTTATACAAACATTCAGATTTTACTTTTTTTTACAATAATTGTTAAATTTGGAAAATCGGTTACACTTAAAGTATCATTCTATATGTATTTTTAGAAATATTTAAAATTATTTTTAAATGACAAGGTTTTTATTTAAACTTTTGGCAATTCCTGATTATATATAATTAAGATATTATAGCTTAATTAGTGAACTTATAAAATTATTTTATTTTATATATATATTTTATTTGATTTAATAAATGTATTAATGTTCATATTCATTGTCCCCAAGAAGCTAGTTATCTCTTTACATTATCATAATTCTTAAGGGTTTAATCTATCTTTGGTTCAGCTCTTAAGAAATCTTCTTTTGCTCTTAATTTATTATAATAAATATATACTTTTTATCGTTTGCTTGGATAGCTGCTAATTAGTCCTTACTGAGTGAAATCAATTTCTTCTATCTAAATAAAATATTATTAATATATACTCAGCTGGTGATAGGTTTTAAATTTTGCTTACGTGTTCTCTGATGGTCTTAAGAATCATATCAATTAATGGATCATTCTCATATGTCATTTTTCCTTAAGCTAATCCTCTAAGAGCAGATTTGAATAAGGCTTTTTGAATTTCTGGAAGATTGCTCTTAAGATTAGTATCAAGTGATTTTTGAGCAGCTTCAATAATATCTGATAGAAGTCTATTTTAATTAATCTTAAATTATTGAATCTATATACTTATTCAGCTTATTGAGCTTATTTAAGAATATTTTAAGATCTCTCTGCAACATGTCTTTAGAGATTTAATTATTCATTCATTAAGAACTTAAATATAAATGATAATAATATACTGTATTAATTAATTCTGCTTTAACATCTCTAAATTCTTTATGTAATTAACCATATTCTATTTATCCTTTGGCTGCTTCTAAAAGAGTTCTAATTTTGAGTTGCATATTTTCATGATAATATTAATCAAGTTAGAAACATTCATTTCCAGCTACTCTTCTGTAAAATCTAGCAAGTAATGGTTTCATGAATGATTTACGACCTTCCAAGTAAAAGTACATAATTTGCATCCAGAATAAGAATGGTAAAAATGATGATTTAGCAATCCAATGTAGATTAGTTGTACCTGCAGCAAATCCAATAACTATCAAACCACCATAAGTAAGTAGAAGGTATTTTCTAGCCACAAGGAAATTTTCATAATGTGGTGATACTTATTCTGGTCCAATAAAATTGTAAAACAATTCAGATGATTTGATCTAGCTTAGTAATTAGCACTTACACCACTGAAATTTACAGGGTTATGTGGATTGTTGTATGGGTGTTCAAATACTTTGCCTTATGGTGCAACATTTGGAGCTTTATTCTCTTTTTCAATAGCTTCACTATCAAATTTTACAAAGACATAGATTACAGCTTTTGATTGAATTGAGTAACATATTCAGCATATTTGCTTTAGAATCTTAAGAAATTCTTTCCTGCAATATCTTTATGTGAAGCTGTGGCTGTAGCAAAACCGAAAAATCCAACTCGACCTGAAGATTTTACCAAAAATTACATTTATTTAAATATATTTAATGAACAATGACATCTGTATGTTTGGATTGACAAAATCTGGAAAAACCTCTATGATTAGAGTTATATTCTAAAAGTTAGAAATATTCAGAACATTCCAATTAGATCCAACAAATAGAATGGAATCAGTTACAGTCAATTTAGGATCTCATATTCATTTTAAGATTTATGAGTTTTCTGGACATTATGATTTAAATGATTCATAACCACCTGAAATTGCAGCAATGGAAACTTGTAGTCTAATGATCTATGTTATTGATTCTTAAGTAATATAATATTCTATATATATTTTTTTATAGGCAGAACCATTTAATGAGGCTGTATAATATTTAAGATAAGCCATTCAGACTGTAAAATAAAGATCCCCTNAAGTCTATTTTAATTAATCTTAAATTATTGAATCTATATACTTATTCAGCTTATTGAGCTTATTTAAGAATATTTTAAGATCTCTCTGCAACATGTCTTTAGAGATTTAATTATTCATTCATTAAGAACTTAAATATAAATGATAATAATATACTGTATTAATTAATTCTGCTTTAACATCTCTAAATTCTTTATGTAATTAACCATATTCTATTTATCCTTTGGCTGCTTCTAAAAGAGTTCTAATTTTGAGTTGCATATTTTCATGATAATATTAATCAAGTTAGAAACATTCATTTCCAGCTACTCTTCTGTAAAATCTAGCAAGTAATGGTTTCATGAATGATTTACGACCTTCCAAGTAAAAGTACATAATTTGCATCCAGAATAAGAATGGTAAAAATGATGATTTAGCAATCCAATGTAGATTAGTTGTACCTGCAGCAAATCCAATAACTATCAAACCACCATAAGTAAGTAGAAGGTATTTTCTAGCCACAAGGAAATTTTCATAATGTGGTGATACTTATTCTGGTCCAATAAAATTGTAAAACAATTCAGATGATTTGATCTAGCTTAGTAATTAGCACTTACACCACTGAAATTTACAGGGTTATGTGGATTGTTGTATGGGTGTTCAAATACTTTGCCTTATGGTGCAACATTTGGAGCTTTATTCTCTTTTTCAATAGCTTCACTATCAAATTTTACAAAGACATAGATTACAGCTTTTGATTGAATTGAGTAACATATTCAGCATATTTGCTTTAGAATCTTAAGAAATTCTTTCCTGCAATATCTTTATGTGAAGCTGTGGCTGTAGCAAAACCGAAAAATCCAACTCGACGTGAAGATTTTACCAAAAATTGCATTTATTTAAATATATTTAATGAATAATGACATTTGTATGTTTGGATTGACAAAATCTGGAAAAACATCAATGATTAGAGTCATATTTCAAAAGTTAGAAATATTCAGAACATTTCAATTAGACCCTACAAATAGGATGGAATCAGTTACAGTCAATTTAGGATCTCACATTCATTTTAAGATTTATGAGTTTTCTGGACATTATGATTTAAATGATTCATAACCACCTGAAATTGCAGCTATGGAAACTTGTAGTCTGATGATATATGTTATTGATTCTTAAGTAATATCATATTCTTTATATACTTCTATAGGCAGAACCATTTAATGAGGCTGTATAATATTTAAGATAAGCCATTCAAACTGTAAAATAAAGATCCCCTCATTGTGAATGTCATTGTTTTATTCACAAAGTGGATCCTGACATTGAAGATAACAAAAAGAATGGTAATTATGATTAATGATTTTAAGAATTACTATAATAAATTTAAAAGGACATATCAGATGAATTGTCTAAGAATAGCATGAATTACATTAAGGTTGACTTTCATGTAACATCTATATTTGATCATTCATATTTGGAACATTTTAGTAAAGTAATTTAAAGAATATTACCATACTCTTAATCAATATAAACATTATTGGATTCATTCAATTTATCATGTAAGATTGAAAAGTCCTTTTTATTTGAAATCTACTCAAAATTATATTTGGCTAGTGATTCCTAACATTTTCATAGTACAAATTTTTAGTTGTGTTCTGAAATGATTGATGTATTTATAGATGTTACATGTATATATGGAAAGTTAGATGATGCTGGACAAAGTTAAATAAAATTATCAGATGGATCAATACTAATATATTAGACAGTTAATGAGTAATTTTATAAGTATATAATTTTAGAGGAATATCTTTAATAAGTATTATGAAATCTGAAAATCTTGAAAGACCATTTTTATTGGAATATAATATAAATTAATTCAGACAAGGTTTAGCATAAATATTTAAAATTAAATGAAACAATATTAATAAAAATTAGTAGTTAAATTTCAAATCAATGTACAAAAACTAAAAATACTTCTGGGATGCATTAAAAGTAAGAGATAATCGAGATCCTGCCTATAGTGTTAATCTTCCTTCTCATTCTCCAAAGATACCATTTAAGCGACCTTTTTAAGCAGACACTATTAATCGTTCAATGGAGAATAATAAATGTCGTTACTCTGAAAAACATCTTGATTAGAGTCCTACTCAAAAAATGAAAGCAGTTGCTCAACCAGCATATTTTAGTTAAGAAGGTTTAGTACTAGCAAGAAATAGTAAATTACCAAATTATGAACCCACTCGATGTTCTAGCAATGAAAATGGTATAATAAGAGCATACGCTGCAAACACTAATTAAGGGATTGTAAGAGATTATAATGAAGACAGAGTATCTATAATATTGAATATCGTTAAACCATAAAATAGATAACATGAGAATTGGCCAAGATGTTCCTTTTTTGGTGTTTATGATGGCCATGGAGGCTCTGCATGTGCAGATTTCTTAAGAGATAATTTACATCAATTTGTAATAAAAGAATTAGATTTTCCTTGGAATCCATATGAAGCATTAAGAAAAGGTTTTGCAGCAGCAGAATAATATTTCTAAGATTATGCAATATCTTAATTCAACAAAGGAATACCTGAAAGAAGTGGATCTTGTGCAATAGTGGCTTTATTAGTAGGTGATGTTTGTTATGTTGCTAATGTCGGAGATAGTAGAGCAGTTTTATGTGGAGGTAATAATAAATCAGCATTGCCATTATCACGTGATCACAAACCTTGTGATGAACTTGAAAAATTAAGAATATAAAAAGCAGGTGGGAAAATATATTAGTAATCTATTTAATAATAAATTAAAGAACTTAATAATAATAAGATGATCAATAAGTTTTTGTTGGACCTTTAAGAGTATTACCTGGTAGATTATCAGTAAGTAGAACTTTTGGAGATATTGAGGCTAAATTAGAAAGATTTGGAGGAAAACCAAATGTTGTAGTAGCAGAACCAGAATTAAGAAGTTTTAAAGTTTAAGAAGATCATTAATATATTGTATTAGCTAGTATTAATTAATATATATTTAAAGGTGATGGAATATTTGATAAAATGTCATCAAATGAAGTTGTTGATATAATGACTAAAGAATTAGATTCTAATTCTAATATACATCAAGGTTGTAGTATTGGAGTTGAATAAGTTTTAAAGGAAAGTATCAATAGAAGAACTTTAGATAATATTACAGTTGTTGTAGTAGCTTTCTAGGGGGAACAAATGAAAAGATTGAAGAATGAAATAGTCAAAAGAAATTAAATTAAAAAAGCAGTGTAGGCTGTCTTATGTAATTAGGAAGATTAAGAGAATACTCCTGGATTAATTAATACCTATAAACGATACATTTGATTTAATTAATTTTATTTTGTTATATGGGTAATAATATGACAGTGAATTGGAGTGAATAATTAAAACACTCTTTCCACTTATATGAAACCAATTTGAAGCATAAACAAGAATAATATAAAGGAGTTAATAATTACAAACTGTTTCTATTCCTATTCAAAATCCAACAATAACTTAATTTTATGCTCCTTCCAGCTTTTCATTTTAAAACTAATCAATTTAATTGAGTATAGATTTCAAATTGCTTCCCAATGAAACAGCTAAATTTCTGATAAATAATTCAAATTAGCCGATTGGAAATGCCTCAATGAATGAAACACAATAAGTTCCATTTTTCCTTAAAAATTAAAATTCATAATAAACTACACCTCCTTAATCATAACAACCTTATTCAACAGTAAAATATCCATTTTATTAATCACAATCAGAAAAACCATTAATGAGTTGATATTAATATTCATTTATATAATAATATTATAAAATTTTCAGGTGACAATTATTACTCGCAATACTTCTTTAAAATTACTTTTAATTGTGTTATTTAATTTATGTATAATACTCTACCAATATCAATAATTCTTTTAGCCATTTTACCTAAAGTCTTTCTTTAATCTGAACTGATTTCATTTTCAGTCTTTACTTTCTTTTATTAATTTATTGATCCACTTACATACCAACTACTAGTTTAAAATAACAATTCAATAAGATGTTCAGGTACATTGATTTAATTCATAAATGCTAAATTCTAAATAGATACTTATTATAATTTATACTTTATATGTGTTCTTATCACATAAATGATGACAACAAGTGGCTATAGTCATTCCTACAGGAAATCTTTCTTAAGTTAATAATGAAGTTAAAGTCAAATCACTAGCTCCTCCACACATATGTTTACAAACTCCTACATATTAAATTTCTTTATCATATCCTTAATCTTTTAATTATTATTCTAAAATTTTTAAATTAAAATCCCTGATATCCATTTTACATCTAATGAAATATTTATTATCTCTATGAAATCTATCATATTTTAATTTTCTTGGTTCTCTTTCAATTAAAACATGAATAGCCATAGAGTTGTCTTTCTCTTTAAGTTTTTCAGCAATCTAATGTGAAAATCTCCCTTTACCTGCCCCATACTCAATATAAGCCATATCTTTATTAATAAGATTATATTAGTCCATTATTTAAGTCAATAATTCCACTTATTGCAAATCTTTTTCTTTATCTGAAATCTTTTATGGAGCTTCTTCTACAATTTCATCTAAAATATAAGAGTAACAATTTTCAGTTTATTCTCCTATCTTTCCTAAATATTCTTAATATATTGCTATTGCCTTTTTAAATGCTTAAGGAATCATTTCGATTAATTCATTAAACTATTCCTTTGATAAAGTTTACAATTTCATTTTTTTCTATTAAGCATCCTCTTCAAGATTGATCTTTTCTTTAAAGAAAGGATTCTATTTCAATTCCTCCTCTAATTTTTTCTTATTACAGATTTTGAGATGTTTATCCATCTTAACTTTTTTTACTTTGTGAGATGGATCTAATGGACATTCAATCCAATCTATGTCTTATTGTCCATGGAATACACAATATTATCCACCTGTTTTATACACTTCCATATTACAGGGTCTATTCTTTTTCACATTATAAAATTGACACCTCTCAATTTATTACATTAATTATGAATTCAACTCCAAATTCATTCTATGAATTAAACAAGAGATTTACATAAGGATCCTTACGTCGAATTAGAAAGCAAGAGTATGATTATGTACCAGAAGTCAAACATTACTATAGAACAACTGATCCTAAATTATTAACGGTTGAATATCTGCATAATGAATCACTTGAATAATTGCATGTGAACAGTATAATTAGATCTCAGAATAAACATACATACTCATACAGCAGACATATAAAAATGGTTAGACCTTAATTGATATTATAATTTTAATAATTATGACAGATGTCTTACCTGAAAGATTAAGAGATAAATTAAATATCCTTCAAGACAATCTTAAACGAGCCTTAAGTGGCTATGAAAATACTGATAAGAAACTTCCAACCAGATCCTATTCTAATTTTTAATCTAGTAAAATTGGGATTCGTATTTGGGATTTAGATGATAAACGACATTGCAATAACTTAATGATTAGTTTAAAACAATTAGAAAAGTAAGAGAGAACATACTTTTTTGAGAAAGTAAAGCCTAAACAAAGAATTCGTATAGATTGCATTTTCAAACCAACTTAATAAATAACTCCTCTTTCATCTGATCCATCTTCTAATCCATCAAATTTAAAAATATCAAAGAGATTAAGTTTTTCAGATAGTTTAGTCTTAAGTTCTCCTTAAAAAAAAGCAAATGAATTGTTCATTAAACTAAATTTGTAAACTATCAACAAATCTAGCCCAATAAAAATAGATGAATCCATTAAAGCTAATCGTTAGTTGCCTAATTAAGAATAAGGATTCAATTTCTAGTAAATATTTAGTAATACATCTTTATAAAAATCTGTAAGTATGTCTGTCAAAAGTATAAATGAATATGAAATATGTTCGTTAAAAGAAATACTCTAAAAAAAGAATGGTCACAAATATCATTCAATGGAAAAAGATTAAATAAATCAAAACTCAGTATTACTATTTAAAGAATTATCAATTTTAAATGATAATGCTAATCTATAAAAATAAGTCTTATTAAAAAATAATAACAATATATTTCAATTTCAGTCTATGAAACAAGATTAAATTGACTAAGTAGCAAAAGAGATATAATTAAATTTTAGTAATTTGAAATAGGAATAAATAATACAATGTTCTGTTATTTAACAATTACCAAAATTTGATCTTGATTCAACTAAATATAATCATTCTTTAAAAATATTAGAGAGATAAACTAAAATAGATAAGATTTCAAGATTAGGAATAATAATTTCTACTATAAAGAAAGAAACTTAACAATAAAATAACAATTAAATATAAACATCTTTAATTTAAATTAAGTGTTAATAATTGGCAAGAGATGTTGGTTAAAGAAAACCAAATATTTTAAATTTTTATGTTAATACATTAGATGAATTAGTTGTTCGTTAATTACCTTAAGAAAATTAACCAGCAACCATTATGACAGCTTTTAAAATTATTAAAATGGATTAAGAACCAAAATAAAATACTATAAATAAATTAATTAATTAAAACAAATAATTAAATTATGAATAAGTGTTTTTTAATAATGAACCATAAATACTCAGTTTAAAATCTATCAACTTATCTTTACTATAATAAGATAAGAATAATGAAAATAATATATTGATTATGGATCTTATGAATATGGTAGATAAAGAATGTTTTGAGAATACAAAAATTTAACCAAAAATATGTTTCTAATATGAATAAAATTTAGAAAAAAATAGAAAAAAGATTGAAGAGATCAAACAATTAATTTCAACATCAAAAAAATAAAATCCCTTAACTTAATTGACTCATAGTAAATAATAATCAATTAAGGAATAAAAGTTATAAATAGATATATTAAAGCCAGTTAGGAATATTTCAGTATGTTCAAATGAAAGAAGATAATCTTCAGTAGGACTTAATACTCCAATAAGGAGTCCAAATTTTAATCATTAGAAAGGATTTATGTAAATGTCAAAAAATGATAAATCTGCTTTGAATAGATTTAAAAAAATTAAGTATTTAGGAAGAGGAAATATTAGTGATGTTTATTCAGTAATGTATAAGCTTTTCTAATTCTTATAATAGAGACACTACAACGGGTATGTTAACAGCCTTGAAAATAATATAAAAATCTGTAATCACTAGCAAGGGTATTCAAGGACTAATTAAAACTGAGATTTGTATTTAAAGTTTTATACAACATCCAAATATTCTAAAATGTTATGGAGTTATAAATGATGATAAATAAGTATTAATATATAATATATTAGATTGCTTTGGTTTTAGAATTGGGTGATATAACTTTATTTAATTATAAAAAGGAGAAAAAATTAACGGAAAAATAAATTATTGATATAATCTATTAAGTTTTGAAAGGAGTTAATTATTTACATTAATATGGAATCATTCATAGAGATATAAAACCAGAGAATATATTATTATAAGGAGAAGTTATTAAATTAGCTGATTTAGGAATCTGCATTAAAGCTAATAATGCTTAATAATATTGTGGAACACCTGGTTATATGGCACCAGAAATAACAATGAAATAAAAATATGATAATAAAGTTGATTGTTATAGTATTGGTGTATTAATTCATGAATTATTATTTGGAAAGATTCCAAAAAGTGGATAATAAGTTAATGGTGATACATAATTAATAAAATTAATGAATAGATTATTGGAAATAAATCCAGCATTAAGAATTAGTTGTAAATAAGCCTTAGAATATGAAATGTTTAGATTTTGTGAAAAGAAAATGGCACAATATTCAGAAATGATAAAAAACACTATTTTTTGGGATTATTGAAATAATTATTCAACTCTTTAAATAAACAACTATGCAAGTAATGTCATCTCTGGCTAAACTATGTCTCTTCCAAGCATTAATAGATTCAGCCATCAATCTATCTGCTGCTAAATCTATATTCTCTTTTTCAATATATGGTGTAACTACATTCATTACATCTTCATTTGAAAGATATTCCCAAACTCCATCAGATGCAATTACAATACATTAGTCATATTATGTTAAAGTGAATTCAAATATTTCTGGATCAGCTGTTACTCCTGCTTAAGCACCTACTTTATCACCTAAACTTCTTGTCATTGCTAATCCTGGTGCATCTATATAAGATAACCAAACTCTTTCAGGACCAATTGAATTTCCATAATAATCTATATTAAATTAAGATCTAACCTTTTTAACTCTCTACTCTTCCTCCTGCTTAAATAATTCTTTATTTTTCATCTTCTACATTTGGTTTATGGTCTCTTGTAATTTAAATTGCCTTCCAATTCCCATCTTGATTTCTACAAATAATAGCTCGAGAATCTCCTACATTTGCTGTCCAAAGTTAATCTTTTTTAATAATAACAGAGACAGTAGTAGATCCTGATAAAGATGTATCTGTTTCAGAATCCCATATCTCCTTATTAGTTTATTCGAATGCTTTTTAAATAATTTTGTATTTATTATCCTCTTTACTTAAGAAGGATTCGAGATATTTTGGTAATGCTTACCTTATAAATTGAGATACTAAATGTCCATTAGTGCCATGACCATCACATACTCCAAACATACTATAACCTAAACTTACTTATTTTGAATATATTTACTTTTCCAAACAATTAGGTAATACTATACCAGAATCTTGATTAGTTTTTGATGTTTTATTAGCTTAACATCCAGCTTTTGTTTTAAAAGCATATTATCCTCCATTCCATGTTCTTGCCATTAATCTCTTTTTATTTAATGACAATTATCTTTCTGGACTCTATTATCTTCTTTCAGGAGTCACACTATTATAATGAATGATTGCATCTTCTAATCTAATTTTTATTATTTCATCATCAATATATACTTTAATTATTTAGGTATTTCACTTTTTGCTTCTAGTTTTGGTAATCTATTATGAAGCTTTGTTCCATTTGAAAGATTCAGCAATTCTAATTTAATAAAATTCAATACTTTGATCACTTTATAAATCTGCTTTTTTAAAATTAGGTAGACTGGGAAGAGATACTTTTTAATTTATTTTAGGTTCAAACTCATCATTCTTATAACGACGTTACACATTCCCTTTCAAAGTTCTATTAATTTTGATAATTGATACCTATGAATTTCTAATTGGTTCTCAATCTATGTATGTTTTGGAGGTTTGAAATCTAAAATAAGAATCTAAAAAAAATGATTAATATAAGGATATTATTGATGAATCATATGCTATCATTAGTACCTGAGAAATCTGGGACTTTTTTATTACTGTTGCTCATCTAAATTTATTAAATTAATTAAAACAAATTATAATTATACATTTCATTTCGTTATTTTAACAGTATCATACATTTTTCATTTCTATATAGTGTAGAAATATATCTTTATATTTTTATTATCTTATATTAAATATCTTAAAGTTCTTAATATGATTATATATATCAAAATATAATTAATAGCATTATTATTTATTTTTGTATATTAATTTGATCACAAATCTTTATGAAACAAAAATAAATTATAAAGATTATCTCATTTGAAATTATTGATAAAAAAGTTTCAAACACTATTAAAAAAAAAATAAGCTTTTAATAATAATAATAAAATATTTTTGATATTAATGCTAAATTAAGCCATTATCTTTAAAATATCATACTTTAATACTATTATGTTTAATTTATTAAATCACCTCTTAAAATACATAAATATTTTGTGAAACCTAAACAAATAATATATAATTACATATCTTAAATTTCTTAATCCTTTAACAATTTATTAAATACATTTATAATAAGAAATTCACTCTTTATTAGATTTAAGTATTAGATTTAAGAATATAATTAACTGAATCGCAATTAAAATTAATAATAAATCTAAAATTGATTAAAAATATGAATGCAATAATATACCCAATTATGCCATCTATAACTAAGATTGAGGGATTCATTGTAAGTTATAATAATACAAAACAACTAATTGCTGTTTCACTAAAAGAACTTTAATTAAATTTTAGAAAAGAAAAGGCAGTCTAATTATTAGAATAATAAAAACAACAAATACAACAGTTTTAAGAAATCAAATAAGATCCTCAACAAGTATAATGTTATTAGTAGTAATAAAATTCTTAATAACCATTATTTTTGGACAATACCCAAAATGTCCATTAAATATTGGGCCAATAAAATTTTCAAATATGTTAGGCTAATTGCTATAATATATGCTATAATTAAATTAATTATGAATAAAAATATCAAGAAGATATAGAAAATAAAGAGAACTATAGTACTTGTTCCACACCAAAATTTGATGATATAAGCAATGATTTTTAGATGGAACCTAATTATATTAAAATATAAACAAGTAAGAAGAAGAATAGTCACTAAAAAGGAATATTTTTTACTTTTTAAAAGGAAGAGGCATATGAATTTAAGTAGAAAATAAAAAGAGAAAGTTTATAATAAATTTATTCTAATTAAAAAAAAGGAATTTAGTTTACAATTTCTATACCAAAAAATAATATATCTTTCTAAACTGATTTTTATTCTTTAGGGTTTAAAAAATTAAAGGAATAAACAATTTAAGATTTATTAAAGAAAATTTTAAATTATTATTCTTAAAGTGTTAAGATTTATTAGTGTAATGATAAATTAGGTATGAAAATGTAACTTCAAAATTAATAATTATTGAGAGAATTAGTAGTTTTAGATGGGACTGAATTTAAGATAATTGATATAGCTTCAGATTAAGTTTAGGGAATAGATTAAGTTAAATTTGAATATGGAGAAGTAGAATTTCATCATTAAGACAATGTTAATTACCTTCAATTATGTAAATTCAGCCAAGATTGTGTTGAAATACATGATTCAATTTTGAAAGATGTTGAAAGAATAACATTTTATAACTTTGGAGAATCAAGCCAAAAAGCAAAAACATTAAAATTATAAGACTTTGATGAATTTGTTAAGTGGGTTAAGTGTTGGTGTGTCTAAAATAATTTTGATATTATTCATATTGGAACTCATTTAACCGTTCGTTTAATATGATTTAAATATTATTTTTATAAAAAAAAAATATTGATATTATTCTATATTACATTTAGATATAAGGATATTTTATCAATTTATAAATATAATATAAACAAAACTCATTTGTAATATATAGAATTCATGATGGTTCTTCATCATAAAGTTACTTAATTCTTTATTATTATAATTACCATTTTAATTACAAATTCTCACAAATCAATTCAAAATAAGATTTTCTATTGAATTCTATTATAAAATTTATAAAATTACAAGTCTATTATTAATCACATACCCAAATAACTAATGGAGATTATTTACAATTAAAATATGTATTAAAATCTAAAGTATTAGAATCATTTTCATAAAGAAAGATAGCATCAAGATCTACATTTTTTATCATCCTTTTACCAGTTATACTATTTTGCATTTCTATTTTACCCTTTAATAAAGAGACTGGTTTAGATTTATCTATAATATTGTCATTAAATTTCTAGAATGCCAATTCAATTGGGAATAAGAAGGATTCTCCAATTTCTAAATTAGGTATTGTAATTTAATATTAATGTTAATTTTACAATTCAACCCATCCTTCACTATGTATTTCAGTAATCATTATTTTATCAAATGGAATATTTTATGAGTTAGTTGATATTGTTATAGTTACATCATCCCATAGATTGAATGGAAAGTTAGCAAAGGCTTCTTCCAAACATTTAAATACCTATTATTCATCAGTTATTATATAATGTTTTCCAAATCTTAAATTTGTTATAGCTGATAATCTTTTATTTGCATTTGAATTACTAAATCCAAATGAATCAATAGTGAAAATATCATAATTATATTCTAATTATTTTCTAATTTTAGTAAGTGCTATTTCATCTTACCCATCTGAAAATATGAGAATTCTTGCCCAATTATTTTTATTTTTTCTTTAATTAATTACATCAAATGCTACTTCAGTTCCTTTCCATAACTGTGTTGTACCTATACATTGTAAATCATCAATAACAAATGCAAAATATTCTTAAGTTTCTGGTGTTACTTTTTACAAACCTGTTAAAAGTTTACCTTCATTATTAAAACTAATCAAACATAATCTATCTTATTCTCTCAAATTAGTTAATATTGAATGTAAAATTTATTTTACATATTCTATTTTTTATCCTTACATACTATTGCTAATGTCGATTAAACAAAACTTATATTGATTAATATTTTACTAAATCTACGCCTATCTAATCTAATTCCTCTGTAGTTTTTGTTCTTAATTANATATTACATTTAGATATAAGGATATTTTATCAATTTATAAATATAATATAAACAAAACTCATTTGTAATATATAGAATTCATGATGGTTCTTCATCATAAAGTTACTTAATTCTTTATTATTATAATTACCATTTTAATTACAAATTCTCACAAATCAATTCAAAATAAGATTTTCTATTGAATTCTATTATAAAATTTATAAAATTACAAGTCTATTATTAATCACATACCCAAATAACTAATGGAGATTATTTACAATTAAAATATGTATTAAAATCTAAAGTATTAGAATCATTTTCATAAAGAAAGATAGCATCAAGATCTACATTTTTTATCATCCTTTTACCAGTTATACTATTTTGCATTTCTATTTTACCCTTTAATAAAGAGACTGGTTTAGATTTATCTATAATATTGTCATTAAATTTCTAGAATGCCAATTCAATTGGGAATAAGAAGGATTCTCCAATTTCTAAATTAGGTATTGTAATTTAATATTAATGTTAATTTTACAATTCAACCCATCCTTCACTATGTATTTCAGTAATCATTATTTTATCAAATGGAATATTTTATGAGTTAGTTGATATTGTTATAGTTACATCATCCCATAGATTGAATGGAAAGTTAGCAAAGGCTTCTTCCAAACATTTAAATACCTATTATTCATCAGTTATTATATAATGTTTTCCAAATCTTAAATTTGTTATAGCTGATAATCTTTTATTTGCATTTGAATTACTAAATCCAAATGAATCAATAGTGAAAATATCATAATTATATTCTAATTATTTTCTAATTTTAGTAAGTGCTATTTCATCTTACCCATCTGAAAATATGAGAATTCTTGCCCAATTATTTTTATTTTTTCTTTAATTAATTACATCAAATGCTACTTCAGTTCCTTTCCATAACTGTGTTGTACCTATACATTGTAAATCATCAATAACAAATGCAAAATATTCTTAAGTTTCTGGTGTTACTTTTTACAAACCTGTTAAAAGTTTACCTTCATTATTAAAACTAATCAAACATAATCTATCTTATTCTCTCAAATTAGTTAATATTGAATGTAAAATTTATTTTACATATTCTATTTTTTATCCTTACATACTATTGCTAATGTCGATTAAACAAAACTTATATTGATTAATATTTTACTAAATCTACGCCTATCTAATCTAATTCCTCTGTAGTTTTTGTTCTTAATTATAAGACAATAGGAATAGTTTATTAACCCAAATTTAATATATTGGACCCAGGGTTAACAGAAAACATGTCAAATTATATATCATCATCAAGAGGCTATTTATTTATGGAACTTCTGCTTGGAATACTTTACTGAGTTCTTTGACTAAATCTTTGTTTGGATTCACTTTAACTATTTTTCAGATCATTATTATCTTATGTTTAAGTTTTAATTCTTTGATTAAGATTATGCATTGTGTTTGATTTTTAGATAGGCTTTTTCTTTTTTTATTGGAATGAAAAAGAAGATGATCCTCCATCAGTCTCAAGTAGACCATAACTTCTCCATTTTGAAATATTATGATCTTAACTCATAGCACTCCTATAAGCAATTTAATTTATATTTACTCTGTAGACGGTATTTACATATATAAATTATATTGTTAATAATTATCATGTTTTACATTTTTTTGAATGTTTAGACCTACTAAACACATATCATTTATTATTGGTTTTATGCTTCCTTCTATATTTCGTTGTCAACTCTCTAGTTAATGTGATTATAAATAAACTAAAATATTTAGTTATGTATTTTATATCTATAGTGTTACTAACAAATTAATTAATATATTGGTAATATTGATTTTATTTTTATTGTATAACATAATATTTATATAATTTTATTATGATATTTATTATCGATTATCATTTCTCTCAAAAAATATTGCAAGCTTCACAACCTCCTGTCTTTGTTTGGACTATTTCAGTTGGTGGTTATTATTATCTAATATGATTATAAATTTATAATTACAAATCAATCTATTATTCTTCAGGAGTTTATTTCACTTCAATAACCTTATTTTAATCTTGAATTTATTATTGTTATTCTTCTACTTCAACTTATTAAACTTTCATTTATTGATTTTCTTAAACATCAATATTCTCATGTTATATTGTTTATACAATTTATGGAACATATTACTAAAAATAGATTATTAAATTTTACTTGATTATAACTTTTAGAAAAATCTAAATTACTAAAACTTGATTCTATTTGTTCTGTAAATTTATCATTTAAAATTTGAGCTTGTTGATAGCTATGTATTTTTTTGGTCATAGCATCATACATGAATTAATAACCTCTATGTATTGTGTCTAAAAAGGTTATTCTATCTTTTAATATTTAAGCCTTTTCCTAATTTTTACTTGTGTCTGATTAATTCTATTGTTTTTCAACGGCAAGCTATGCTAAATTTAATAAAATACTTATTGCAACAATTTTTCATTAGAATGAATTAATTTAGAATGTTTCTCTACTTCTACCATTAAATCTACTATCTTAAAGAAACTAGTAATTTATGCTTTGATTGCTGGTGTTAAAATATCTGATGCTAAAATCTAATCCTTTTATTTCAATAAATTTTATGTTCTTTCAAATTCATCTTTTTTCATGTCAACAGCTTTAACTTTTCCTAATCTTTCTTTGAAGTCTTAAGCTCCTTCAGCCTTTTCAAAGACTTATTCCTTAAAAGATATTTAAATTATATATATATACTTTGAAATTGTTCCAATAATAACTTGAGGCTGGTTCTTTATAAATCACAACCAAAGACCAAATCCATAATTCATTAACAGGACTCTCTTTATCTTTGTTCTTTATGTTCAATTACTCTATTAATTTAAATTGATATTTACTTAAATCATTGATATTCAATCCATTGGCTTCATCTTATCTCATTTTGTTCAGCTTAATTATAGTCTTTTTTGTCTCTTAAATCTCATTTTGAAGTTATTTTTCATCATGTTTGGGAACTACAGCTTGTAATTTAGCAATTTCTTCTTCAGATAATTTTAGGTCTGCTTCAATCTAACAGATATATTCACTATTATTACTTATTATTTTGATTCTCTGTTCACTTGTAAATGTTATTAGAGTCGATTGCTCTCAATTGTAAGGGTCTCAATAATATTTTAAAGAGTAGTTTTCTAAATTCATTTACTATATTACCTCTCCTGCAAAGTATTCCTTATCTTAATGTAAAGAATCTCTAACAAATTATTCAAGAGCATTTAAACGATTTGATGTAAACTTTACTGCAGTTGTCTAATCACTATGTTCTGGATTAACTTCTTTAAGCTACTAAATTTAGAGTTTCTGATTTCATATAAAAAGACATATTACTTTTAGATTATCAAGTTTGCTCATAAATTATTAATATTTATTATTTTAATTAATCCATGATATATAGATATCATCAAATGACATCAGATCATTATCATTAATCTAATCCTGATATTTAACAATATTCTTAAGAATTACTATAGATTTCTTTATTTCAATTCCCTTTAAATAAATAAACCTATATTTAGAATTTCAAAATTTTTTCTGCTTTTACAATCCTTTATTAATGTTCGAAACCATCTAAAGTAAAATAAACTCTATTCTCAAATACCTCATTCCATCCATCCAAATAAAAAAAACATCCAATGAGATTTTATCCAAATGTGGTACTCTCTCTATTTCAGATTACAAAAAAGCATGTATTAATAATCATATAAATATATCAAATGATTTCATTTTTTATGAAGATTTAATCTATTACTATAAGATTGATATCTTTGATTATAATACTTACCTTCATTTTTTAAATATTATGTCAAGTAATGTAAAGCACGTTGTTCAAATTCCAATATTTTGTTTGAAATTCATTTCAATTATCTATTTTTTTAAAAGAAATTGAAAATTATCATTCAGTTATCAAAGATATATCTTTATATGCTCACTTTTGAATATTTTAAAGATTATGAAGATTCTTTTATCTGAAATTTTGCATGATATAAGAATTCCATTATTATATTATAGATTTACTAGTAAGATATGTAATTATGATAATTTATACAAAATTGTAAAGAAAATATCCTGAAAAATAAACTTTATTGAAATTTAGTATTTATTATATGAAATTATATATAAATATTTAAAAGGAAGTTAGAATATATAAAAATAACTATTATTTATATCTATATCATTTTGTAATATTTAATAGAGATATTTTATTTTTTCCCATTTATCCTGTTAATAATCTTCTTCTCTTTATCAAATGTGTGGCTAATTACACTTAATCTAGAAAGATATATCTAAAATATATTTTTACCTGATTTCAAATAATACCATATTAATAAATTTAGTATAGGTACTGGAATAATTTGATTATTTTAATTTATCACAATTTAACAGCAATTCATTAAAGATTAAATAGAATTCCAAGCTTGAGGCAAATTATCATTATGTAAATAGAATGCAGCATAATTAAAATGATTTATTGCTTTAGGACTATAAGTGGAAAAACAAGTAGTTTGAATTCCAATTACATTTCTGCATTAAAATTACAAATTGCTATTAATGAATCTATTAAAAAAAGTAATTACTCCATTAGTATTCAAAAAAGTATTAGCTTAATTTATTTTGGAAGTAGAAATATAGGCTTCCAATACATATTATATAATAGTGTATTTATTATTATCAGACAAATTGTATTCTAATGCCTCTTTTCCTTATTGTAATGCTAAATTGTAATCTCCTCTACAAAGATATGCATATGTTAAAAAGACAATTGAGGATTCAAATAATTATGAACCTGAAATTTATAATTAATCTTAATCTAATAATATTATTTCTTCTCTTTTTTCTTTCTTTGATAAAATAATAGCATTACGGAATGATCTTTAATAGATTTTATTTATCATACTTAATAGCATTATTTAATAATTCTTTAACAACTTTTGGTTATACTAATTTATTTTCTTCATTCTTTTAATCAATTTTATAGAATTAATCCTAACATTCTTCATCAGCATCACTATAAATTTCTCTACTTTAAAGTATAATTTTCTTTCCCTCTTCTTAATTATCAATTTGAGTATTTTCTTCTGATATTTCATAAATCTCATTCTTATCAGGATTATATTCATGATATAATTATATATAACATACACCTCTATTATACCAAAATTTAGCACTTTAATTACAAACATCTTATAATTGATTATAAATATTTAAAGCTTTTTAATATTTTTAATCCATAAATAATGCATCACCTAAATTTTGATAGATGGCAAATTATCTTTATTTAACATTAGTTATAATTATACTTTCATAAAGATTAGTTGATTATATCATTTATTTTGTTTAACATATAGCTTTATGGAAATACACTGCAGCCAATGCATACTTACCCATTTTTGCATGTGCACAGCCTAAGTTATTATAAATTTAGGTCAAATATAAGTATTATTTACTTTTAATAAAATCTAAATTTTATTAGTTAGATAATTCTGAGTATGGATTAAACATTTTAATGCATTTCACAACATTATCATTCATATTGATATGTTTTTATGCTTTCAATTACTTAAAAATCATCTATGAATGCAATTTTAAGTAAGGTTAGATTTCAATTGAAAATTATGTTACTTATTATTATTATATACCTGATTACTGATCTAATTAAATTATATAGTTTTTTAAGGATTATTCAAAATTTATCAATTATTTTTTCCAATCCTTTGAATTTGAAAACATATAAAATCGAAATTTAATCATATTTAATATGAATAAAAATTCCTCTTTACTAAAAGTATTTGGATGGGCATCAGGATAAGGTAGATCAGAACCCAACAATAATGATGTATAATTTGGCTATTATTATTATTATTATTGATCATCAACTTAATTGGACTTTGTACTTTTATTTTGTAAAGATTTTAATGTATCTTCTGATGATAGTTTCTTATACAATTCACTTGCATATACAAATTCTTATAATTAAAACGATGTTTCAACTAATAACAAATGCACCTTAATATTTAAGTAAATGTCTAAATAAGAGTTGTCTTTCAATTATTTCAATAGGTTATGGGCCTATCTTACTTTTCCACTTAAAAAGAGCATAATTGCTTTATTGAATTATAAAATACTATCATCTTCTTGTTTCTTCTCTAATAATATTTAATTTCCTAAATACTTACTTTTCTAGGTTTAAGACTTTTTAATTTCATCAATAATTTCATCAAGTTTAGTAATGCAAGCATTAGCATCTTTACTAATATTGTATTCACAAAGGATGATATTTTCATTAATTTACACCATTGATTGATTTTGATCAGATTGTTCCTTTAATTGCTTAAATTTCTGTAATTCCCTATACTTAAATAGTAGATTACTCCATTGATTCTTTATAATGACCCTGTCCAAAATGTTTAAAGGAATTTTATAAGATTGTAAAAGACTATGCCATAAATTATCAAATAAAATATGAGTTCAAATAATAAATTTCCTTCTCTTTTGCTTAGAAATATAATTTATATCGAATTAATCTTATTAACTCTTTGTATTACTATGTTTACTAATAAAATTTGTATTTATATTATCAGAATTTACAATTTTCTCACTCATTTATTTTATTATGAATAATTTCATAAAGATGTGTAATCATTAATATAGAAGAGAGAATCTATGGAGATTAAAATTATTATATGTCAAATATTAAATAATATTAAAAAAAATAAAAGAACAACATAATATTTATACTTATTTTTTATTATTTTATGAATTCATTATCATCATCACTCAATTAGTTTATTGAGGATTTTCAAATTATCCCTTAACAACTCTAGGTACTTCTAATTTAACTTCAATAACTCTTTTAATCAACATGTCAACAACAGCTAACTTATTAGCTTCATAATCTAAGTAAATCTTATCTATTTCAGCTTTTGTTTTTCTCTCTAATTCTTCTTCTTCTTTTGTTGATCCAAAACGCTATTTGTCTAAATATTTTAATATACTCTTAATATTTCTTAGTTGTATCTAGTTTCTTCTTCTCTACGGAATACAGCAATTTCTTAATCTGCTGCAACCTTAGCCTCTTTAATTTTCTTTTCTCTTTCCTTTTAAGCATTCTTAATAATGGCATTTGCCTCTTCTTCTGCCTTGAGTAATTCATCAACAGCCCAATTTTCTCTTCCAGAATCAGCCATATATGGATAATATAATTTATTTATTAAATGATTTAATGTAGAATCATGTTCTTTTAATGTAATATCTTCCATAATTCAATAATTATTCAAGTATAATATAATCAATTATGATTGTCAAAATTCAATATTCTTAATACTTTTCCAAAATTATATGTTATAAATTCTTATTTTATAAAGTAATTGATATTTCTAACAATAATCATTTGTATCAAAAAATCTTGAAAATTCTTTAATGCAATGCTTTCTCAAGCAATAAATTTTATGTAGTTATAATCAGATTATAAAAGATCTAAGTGGTTCTTTGTTATTCAAATTCTTCAAAATTGTCTAAAGAATATCATTCTTATTTTACTTCCATATAAGAAGCCACTAAAAAATCTACTGTTCTCATGGTTAATTCGATTAGTTTATTATCTTAAGTTATTTAAGACATGATAAGCTAATTTATTTTCTTTCGAATGTCCCATCAAATTAATTAATTCATTAAATGCTATAGAACATTAATAATTATATTTCAATTCTCCAGATCGTTATTACTTAAAGAAATATAATTAAATTGTTTTTAGATTACTATTTATATGTTTAAATCACATAAAATAAAGATATATCTTATTTCAAGCCTTCAAATTTTACAACGGCATATTTATCTTTGATTTTATTTTCAGAGATCATTTGCTTATCAATTCTCTTAAATAACAAGTTAAAAGTCTTTCATAAATATTGATGAAAATTTTATTAATAATAAGATTTATTTCTTTATCTATATTTTCAATAGAAACTTTGAGGATACTTTGAATTTTTAAATTTATTATTTTAATTTCACCTCTAATGAATCTTGATGAATGAATACTCAAATTTATTAATTTCATTATTTCAATCAGGTATTCCATCAATTTCTTCTTTATTATTTATTAATATCATTATATGATTCATAATTGAAAATTTATATTCTTTCTTTAATATGCTTATATTAAAAATTATAATTTAGAAAGGGACAAAAATATTTAATTAATGCTAATAGAGATTCGTTTTAAATAAATTAGTGCAAAAAATCTAATGAATTTGTAGTAATCTAGTTTATTATTCAATATAATTATTTGTTTGTTCAGAATATTATATATTATGAAACAATTGATTCCAAGTCCTAAGACTTAATCTCTTATCAGAATTACATAGACAGGATACTCAAAACATTCATCAAGTAAGGGTAGGTCAAATTAAAAAAATTAAAGTTTGCCTGGATTTCCAACCTAGTAAATTGATAGGGAAGATGATGAAGAAGTAAATGGTATGTTAATTTAGACAAAAGAAATCAATAAATTAGTGTAAGATTAAGAACTATCCTCTTTGGAATAAATATAAGATAAAGGAAGATCATTATTAATTGATAATCAGCATTAAGTATTTGATAACCATTTGCAACTGATTAAACCTAATCTATCAAATGCTAGTGAGTAAGGTTTAAGAAAGTATTATCTGAAGTCAGAACGATATAAGGAAATGTAGCAATTTTATCATGTTGATAAGAATATATACGGAAGAATGAGTGAAAAGATATAAACAGAGAGACTGATGCCTAGAACATTAAAGTTATTGACAGACTCTCCTGATAAATTAGTAGCCAATAATATATTTGGAAGTGATAAATACGTATAATTATTTGCTGAAGGGATCAGCAGTTCTCATTTTAATAATTTAAAGAGATTATAATTAAGAAATAACAAGCTGAATAATAATCGAACTTGTCTATTGACATAGAGACTTCCTAGTTCTATAATTGAGTTAGATTTCAGTAATAATAAAATTGGTACTTCAGGAATACAAAGCATTTGTAATTATATATCTTCTAGAAATTATAATATTCAGCATTTAAATTTGGAGGATAATAATCTTAAAGATTTAGCTGTCCTTACTATTTTGAAAACATTGAATGATAGCAAATCAATTAGAGTTTTAAAGTTGTCTAAAAATTAGATAACTGATTTACCAATGGATGCATTTGGATTACTACTCAAAAAGGTATTATATCATATCATATAAAAGAATAATTCATTATAAGAAGTTTACTTGCACTTTAATTAGATTAAAAATTCTGGAGGCTTGACAATCATGAAAAGTTTAATAAAGAATTAATTTTTAAAGGTTTTAGATCTTTCATTTAATAAATTAGGACAAAACCAAGAATTTATATCTGCATTGTCTGAGTAATATTAATATTAAATAATAGTGTTTTAATTAAACCACATCCAGAATTAACTCATTTAGATTTATCATTTAATAAATTCAATGATGATGATGCTATCGCTATACATAAAGCTCTTATATATAATTAATAATTATTTGGGTTTCATTTTTCAGGCAATCCTCATAATTATTATGTAAATCCTAGAGCCTTTTTGGTTAAAGAGATTCATTATGATGAGAATAAATCAGATCCTAAACTTTTTAAGAGAATTAATAGTGTGAATTGCATAAATACAAAAACTAAAGAAAATTGTTGGATTTGTGAAGGTTGGGTAGAGATAGGATTTCATTATTCAGGAATTGAGTATTAACATCCCATCTTTTTACATATTGATTTTGAATAGTATAGGCCAATCTTAATGAATTAATAGACTAATAGCTATTATTTATAGAGAATGTGTCCCCCAAATAAAAAGATTCATTACTTTTTTAGCAATCCTATATATGATGTAAGATTTGTAGCTAAGGATTAAAGAACTTTAACTCTTGATATTAATGAAGAAATAAGGAAAAAAGGCATTGAATTATAATATGCAGATGGTTCATTAGCATTTGTTTAATTATCTATTGTGAATTATATTCATACAGAATAGAGTGGAAATATTATAGATTCTTCTAGACATTACATGGCAAATATAACATGTAGACCAAGGGAATCAGAATCGATTATTGATATTGATTTGAATAAAGCAAAAAAACGAGTTTGGTCTTATGAAAATTCAATTTTCAAGGATTTTTAACCAGATACAGAAGGACATCTTTTAGATTGCTTTGAATTTGACTTTGAATGTGGGAAATTGATTAAACATTTGCAAAACTAATAGGAAATTGAATAATTGAAAGATAAGATGAAAAAGATATACAAATATATTATTGGTTGTTATCATTATTTTTGTGCTAAAACACTAAATTATGATATACCTTGTATTAATTTACAAAGCTTTTTAGATTTTATTTCATAAACAAGCATACTTGAAAAATCATTGATGAATTCTTTAGATCTATAATTAACATTCTTATCTAGTTATGTAGTTATGAAATAAACTAATTATATTCATATTTAAGAAAAATGTTTAGTTAGATTTTAATTTGTTGAAATAATCGTAAGATTAGCTAAAGAATAATACATAAGGACAGGATTAGCTAATAATATGGCTGAAGCTTTAGAAATGTTATTTGAATAAGATGAAGTATTGTAATTTATGTAAAAATTTGGAATCTCATAAGATTGGAGAGACAATCGTTATTGGACAGAATTAATGGACTATACAATTAGAATTAAGATGCCTGTTTTAGTTATATTATTTGAAAATGCTTGTAAATAAACAATGAAACATGGAAATAAATATATAACATTATCAGATTTTAAGTAATTTGTAGATCAATTTGAATTACAAAAATACATTTCTGAAAAAGAATTATATTTAATATATCTTTAGAGTATGTAAACACAAAGAGATGAGTTGAGAGAGTCAAAGTTTTTGAAGATGGAATTGTTAGAGTTTATAGAAGCTATTACTAGATTGGCAGAGAGAATTTCACCTGTGACTCCTATGTATGCAAAGAAACATAGCAATTTGATAAATGATGTTTCAAGAAGAACTTTCCCTTTATTTGTGAAATTTGAAGGAATGATTATTGTTATGTATCAGAAATTGAAATCTATATTTTTGGAAATTCCAAATGTAGAAAAAGAAATAATTTATAAAACAGTCATCAAATCAGATAAAGCTAGAAAATTGGGAATCTATGGTATAAAATTAGTATAATCATTAAATAGAGGAAGATAATAGTTCCGATGAGGAGAAAATAAAATCTATAAGAAATTTAAATCTTTTGCCAGATGAAGGATAATTACCTCCACCATCATAATCTATTGGATGGAACAAACTTAGATAATGGGCTTAAAAATAGAAGAGAATTTCTATGGAATCTGCAAATATTTTAGAATAATTGGAAAGATATTAGTTGTAAGAAGAAGAAATGTTTTAGAAATAAGGTAGTGCATATTCTGGATATGATAAATATAAGATTACTTAAGAAAAGAGGAAAAGAGAAGAATATAAAAAAACTACTCTATACTAGGATCCTTAATTTAAATTCGAAGAAGAAGTGTCTAATTGAAAATATACTTTTTTTTTAATTAAATATTTATGATTAGAAGATAAAATTCACTTCCTGAGATCCTCTCGATTATCTAAGAAAAAAAGAAAGCTTAAATTTAATAATAATAATCTCTTTAAGTACCTGAATAAGAAACTCAACCAGTATTTAAATATGTTGTACATGAACATCAAGAAAGAATTTAATTAGCAAAAATGTTTTACAAGAATCTATAAAAAAGATCTATAGCAAGAAATGTCAATGAAATCAAAAGTATGGCTACCTTAAATGGATTCTAATTAAAATAAGGCTAAGTTATGAGATAAAAATTATATGTTGAATAAAATTAGATACAAGAGTAAAAAATTATTTTATGATAGAAACCCTTAAATATATTTATGTTCATCATAGAAAATACTTCAACAAAAATCTAGTCCAATTAAAACCATTCAAAGAACTTCTCCATTATAAAGATCAAGAGCAATTACAACTAAGTCTAGTTTCCATCTCAAAAGTACAGATTTAACTAAAAATGAATCCATGATCTCTTTGAAAAAATGTAATGAAGAAAAGCCAAAAATTAAAACAAGATAAGTAGATGAGGTCAAAGGTTCAGCTAAATTATTCACTATAGTGTATAAATCATTGAAATTTCAAAGTTGAATGTATTTTCAATTCGTAAATTCGTTATATTTCTAAGATTTTTCATTCATCTATTGGCAACCTAATATATATCAAATACTTTTTTCTATTTAAAAATATAAAATAAATAATTTGATTCTTCTAATATAAAAATAGTTTATATATATAAACTTAATTATATATATATATAATATGATAAATTATAATTAATTTTTGATTAGATTATTATAATTTAATTTAATTCCTAAATTAATTACAAAAGTGTCTACACATTAATTCGGCTATTTTTTTTATAAAAAGAACCAACATATAAATTTCGATAATTCAAAGGAATACATTATTATATATCATTTTCCTTTCCCCTTTGAACCTCCATTTGAACTTGAGCCTCCTTTCATTGAATATGATTAAATTTTGGAGAAATAGCTTTAAGATGAAACATTTCCTTTTGATGACTGATAATTTGAAGCAATGCTATCTCCTCTAACACCAGATGAAGTAAATCCTAAAAAATTTAGCATAATAAAAATTTGTTTATCTCTAAACTTTAAATTTTGGTTAAAATACAACCTAAAATGCGTAAAACTGTCAAATTCTGTGATTACAATGATGTGATAAAATTATATTCATAAAAAATGAACTTTTTTTAATTTCATAATTAATAATAAGAACTGTATAAAAAAATTTGAATACATAACATTTATTAATGGATATTTATTTGAAAGAATCAAAATACTATTAAATTGAAAAAATATCACAAATTGATATTAAAATAATATTTGAATAGAATGTAATTTTAATGATATTGCAGACTCAGTCATTTTCCCAAAATTTATCATCTCCCAAACTTCCTACAAGTTGTAAGAATGAGAATTTAGGTACTTCCATACATGGTAAATCTTTTTCAATTCTAATTGATAATCCTTTAAGGTTTTCTTCATTATAAACTTTAAGAACTTTTCCATCAGGAACTTTGAAACTTTTAACCTAGAATATAAGAAAATCAATACTGGTTTGTTCCATCCATCTTTAGGGAATGACATCTTTCTATCACATACAGTAAATGAGTCTCCTTAATAGTTGCATGATTCCCAAACTTAAGCACAATCAGGATCAGTTACACCTGCATCAGGTTTTGGAACATAAACGAACCATTATATAGCTCCTTCTAATAATTATGAATTCTACCCTAATATGATAAATTGATGGAAAATTACATGTTCCAATTTCAACAGAAATCTTGTCTTTAACAAGTAAATAGTTCTTAGTTAAGAATCTACAGAATGCACCATAATTATAATATAAACCACTAATTCCGTATAGTGTATATCTTGGTGTCTTAAGGAAAACTTCATCAGTGATCTACTCTTCATACAACTTGACTCTTTCTGATTCAGGATTTATAGAATTCAAAGGATCGCTACCTCCCTTTGTTTTATGTGTTATGGTTCCAACTAGTAAAGTATCTTTTTCACCGATAATCATATTGACTCTAAGAAATTCAATAGTTCCCTTTTGTCCAACAAAGATTTTAAATTAAGCTGATGTTTTAGTGATGGCTCCCATGTAAACATTTATTTTAGGCCAGGCTTCAACCATTTTTAGCCCCAAGATATAGATAGCAACATTTGGTGCTGTTTTTAGTGACCAATTTTCAGGGAATATGACTTCTAATGGTTATATTCTAGAGTTTCCTTCTTTATTTGATTTGACAACTGGTAAATTATTTGTTTGCAATTCATATGTATAGATATTGCTATCCAAAATAGCTGCCCATGATACATCAAAACCAAAGATTGTAGCCGGACTTAATGCAACATAAGTAATTGTAAATCCAACTGTATTGACAGCACTCAATTGAATATCGAAACCTTATGGTAAAGTATCTCCAAAATCATATTTGATTGGTGCCAATATTACAGTGGGTGTTGATTTAAAGGGTTTATTGAATTTGACTAATGTTTAGAAACTTCTTCCTACTCTAATCAATGTATATTAGGATGAATTACTCAACACTTTGTTATAAAGGATGATAGGGAGTTTGTGCCCAATGCAAGCTCTAATCAATACCTGAGTCATATTGGGGTTTAATGAATCCCAATACAGATAATGCGCAAACTGATAGGACTAAGTATTTCATCATTAATCCGTTTTTAAATTTAATTATTTATAAACACTTTTAGAAATAATTTCATTTATTCACAAATTTATCAATTTTTTCAGATTAACTTATTTTTCTTCATTAATTCATCATAAAAATTGAGACATTATTCAAATTACTCTTCTGTTATCATTTTATCTTTCCAATAATTAAAAAGTTATTTCATTTTTATAGGTACTGATTATCCATTCTCTCTAATATAGTATTTACCAGGAGTAATAGTTATTAATTGATTAGCACCCTCATTTATAATAATCTCAAATCTAATTATAATATTATAAATACATTTTTAGATTATTTACAACATAACATTTATCTTAAAGTAACACACCACACTCATGCAATTTTATATTCACCCATTAATCACAACCAAACTCCTTACATTTATTCATAATTGTATTCATCACCTAATAAGCCTTCTTTTCCTAACAAAAACATCCACTAACTACATAACCATTTAAATCTTTATCATATGAAATCCCAATCAAAATTTTACCTTATCTACGACTATTCAAAATACTGCAGATTACCTTCATTATTTATTCTAAATACTATTATTATAATAAAACCTGTATTATTTATCAATAGATCCACTTTGTAAGATTTAAATTCTAATTTATCATCTTCCTTCAACTTACATTCTTTACCTAATAAATAGATAGTTTTATCCCCTTAAACCACATATTCATTTATATAATCGAATGGTACTTGAACCGAAAGTGTAGCACTAATGTGAAATGTTGGTTTGATACAGCAATTCATTTCTTGATGTCTAAAATTTTAGAATAAGACTTAAATATTTTAAATGTAATTACCTTAGTCACTCAATAATTTCAATATTGTATATTTTTAAGTTCTTCTAAACATACTAATTTTCACTGCTTTTCCAAAATATTCTTAACCCCAAGATTTGTAATCGAATCTTTAATTTGTATGAACAAAAACATATAAAATTTAGGAAGAGTATTCATTGTTAATTGGTTGAGGTTTATTGCTTTCTGGAGCAAGGATTAGATTAGAGAAGTATTATATCAAAAATTCTGATTCATCTGAATCGGTACTCATTAATTTTAATAATATAAAATGGATTTAACTCAATCACAAGAACAAGACAAAATAATACAATACTATTTGAATTAATAAATTAAAAAAGTTGCTGATGAAAAGTCATAAATAACACTTCAATAGGAATAAGAGAGAAATAAAATCAAATTATAAGTTTGGGAATTATTAAATTAATAACAATCTATTTAATAGTCTCGTCTCAATGCAACACCTTTAAGTCTTATTTCTAACAACTCTGCTTAATCAGACCGTTTTGATGTTTAAATGGATAAATCTAAAATGAAATAATAGAGTTCGAAATTTGAATAATCTATGCAATTCTAAAAAGACCACCCTAATTTTCAAATCAATTATCATTCCTTTGTTGATTCCAAAGATTAATAATACAAACAATTAGATTTTCTAATTGCCCAATATGAGGAGAGAACTAAGAATTTACCTAAAAATTATTTTAAAAGACAACAACCAGACCATGTTTCTAATTAGCTCTAATAGGATTGGGATGATAATGATGAATAGTATAATTAAGATTTTGAATAGGACGAAGAAATCTAAGAAGTCATTGAAGAAGAATTGCAAGAATCCTAAATGTAAATCCAATAAAAGTCATAAAAAAATAATTAATAGGATAACGAGACTGCTTATAATAATTTAATCAAATTAAGAATCGAAAGATTAGATACTAGTGTTGCAAATGCAGAACCTTCTAAATTAAATGATTTAAGCAAATCCTCTGAATCATTTAGTGATTTGAAAGTAAATCCTAATGAAGCAAATAAAATACTTGAAATTAGTAGATAGGTGGATGCTTCCAAATTAAATACTTTAAAATTTGATTAAACTCTCAAATAAGGAAAATCTAATGAAGAACCCTTTATCGAGTAATCACAATAATCAATGTCTTCTAAATTATTGGATTTAGCATAATAATAATCAAAATTATATGAAAAATAAAGAATTGAATACCCTCAGATGCCTAGTCTTGATCAAGAATTCTCTTATAAAATCTAAGATCAATCTCAAATTACAAAGTCTTCCTATCCAAATAAATAGGCAGATCAAATTTCTAAATTTGATTAATCAAAATTTTAGTAATCTAAATTTGATTAATCTAAATTTTAGTAATCTAACTATGAGTAATCAAAACTTTACACTTAAAAAAGTTAATATGATTAAAATTAAAAAAGTAATGTATCAAATCCAAATCAAATATAATCCAAATATAATCATCTAACAGAATAATCGAATATAGATTAACAAGAACAATCTAATATTTCAAATTAAATTTAGTCTAAATTTTAAGAATAATATACAAATTATTAGTAATCTCATTAAACTTCAAAATTTAGTGAAACATCAAAAAGAGTTCCCTCAAATGAATTTGAGAAGCAATAATCATATTAAAATTATGCATGTGGCAATTCTAATACAAATAAATAATATTAGCTTTCTTCGGGTGTTGAAAATGAAAATAATAATGAAGAATTTTAGGTAAGTTAGTAAAATAATAATTATCTTGAAGAAGAAGAGGAGATATTTTCAGAGGAAGAAGATCATAATAACAAATTTTATTAATTTAGTATAAATTTTGAGGATTAAGATGATAAAGAAAAATAAAAAAAATTTGAATTATTAAAAAAAAAGAAATTATAAGAGATGGAAGAATTAAAACAGCTTCGTTAATAAAGAAATAAAGAATAATAATAATAATAATGTAGTTAGAATAATAAACGAGATTAATCTCCACTTATGCCTAGTGCATCATTAAAAAGATTATAATAATAACAATAACAATAATAATAATAATACTAATAATAATAACAATAACAACAATAATAATAATAATAATAATAATAATAATAATAATAATAATAATAATAAAAAAATTCATTAAATCAATTTTATTAGCATCAATAGCCACAATTCTAGCAAAGAAATATATTATAGGATAAAGAACCTTAACTAATTTAAACTTCTATGCCATAATCAAAACGTAATGCCTCAGCGAATAGAAAATCTCCAATGGCAAGATAAAAAGAAACTGCACATTTTTGTTAAGATATAGACAGATCAATTTCTGTAGAGAAAAACAAAAAAAATAATAAAACAATTTTAAAAAATGCCATAACATATGTGTGTATGGCTGGAGAACCTAATAAAAAGGAGAGAGAAGCAATTCTATAAAAATTAGATGGAGTTGAAGCTGAACATTTTATCATATTATTCAAAACTTATGGTAGATCGGTAAGAAATAAAAAATATTAAGGACTTTCGAGGTTTGTATGGCTATGCAGTAGACTCACAACCTTATTTTATATTTGGATAAGGAAAATGTCCTCAGGTTTTAACTTCTGAGATGGTGAAAACATTTTTCAAATATGATTCTGGAGCTAAATAGTTTAAAGCAATAGATGGAAACAAGTAATTTACTATTATGGTTGATGCTGTTTAATTAAGAAAATGAATTGAATAATTTAATTTATGGCTAATATTTTATAAGTTTACGAATAGTGTATAAACAATCCAGAGATATTAAGACATGGAGACCAATATCTATCAGAATATCTAAAGAATACACCTAATTTTATACTAGAGTCATTAAAGTTAATATTTGATGTCAATCAACAATAAAGAAAATACATAGCAATTTTATTCAAGAATGTAATCCTATTGAATTGGTAACATTTGCAACAATAAATAAAATCAGATATTTTAAAGGTTTTAGTAGATGGTCTTTAATAAGAGCAATAAGTACCAGTTTAAGAAATCATTGTAAATTATAATTTGTAATTTAGACAATAATAATTACAGAAGTAATGAGAAGAGATCCTGAATATCAATCATTGATACCATAATTTTTACATTTATACACTCAAAATCCACACATTATAAATACACTAATTCATATCTATCAGTAATTAGATGGATAGAATTTAATATCATATTGTGAAATAATTCTTTAGAATATGTTATCATAACAATCACCAACATCTAAAACATATAATTTGGTTTATTAGGTTATAAAAATGTTTTCTCATTGTGAACAAACTGATATAGAATAATTAAAATAATGTTTCGATTCAACATTTATTTAATGGATGGAGCGATTCTCATAAGTTTTATAACAATAAGATTAATTAGAATCTTAGATTTATATTATGAANTTCATTAAATCAATTTTATTAGCATCAATAGCCACAATTCTAGCAAAGAAATATATTATAGGATAAAGAACCTTAACTAATTTAAACTTCTATGCCATAATCAAAACGTAATGCCTCAGCGAATAGAAAATCTCCAATGGCAAGATAAAAAGAAACTGCACATTTTTGTTAAGATATAGACAGATCAATTTCTGTAGAGAAAAACAAAAAAAATAATAAAACAATTTTAAAAAATGCCATAACATATGTGTGTATGGCTGGAGAACCTAATAAAAAGGAGAGAGAAGCAATTCTATAAAAATTAGATGGAGTTGAAGCTGAACATTTTATCATATTATTCAAAACTTATGGTAGATCGGTAAGAAATAAAAAATATTAAGGACTTTCGAGGTTTGTATGGCTATGCAGTAGACTCACAACCTTATTTTATATTTGGATAAGGAAAATGTCCTCAGGTTTTAACTTCTGAGATGGTGAAAACATTTTTCAAATATGATTCTGGAGCTAAATAGTTTAAAGCAATAGATGGAAACAAGTAATTTACTATTATGGTTGATGCTGTTTAATTAAGAAAATGAATTGAATAATTTAATTTATGGCTAATATTTTATAAGTTTACGAATAGTGTATAAACAATCCAGAGATATTAAGACATGGAGACCAATATCTATCAGAATATCTAAAGAATACACCTAATTTTATACTAGAGTCATTAAAGTTAATATTTGATGTCAATCAACAATAAAGAAAATACATAGCAATTTTATTCAAGAATGTAATCCTATTGAATTGGTAACATTTGCAACAATAAATAAAATCAGATATTTTAAAGGTTTTAGTAGATGGTCTTTAATAAGAGCAATAAGTACCAGTTTAAGAAATCATTGTAAATTATAATTTGTAATTTAGACAATAATAATTACAGAAGTAATGAGAAGAGATCCTGAATATCAATCATTGATACCATAATTTTTACATTTATACACTCAAAATCCACACATTATAAATACACTAATTCATATCTATCAGTAATTAGATGGATAGAATTTAATATCATATTGTGAAATAATTCTTTAGAATATGTTATCATAACAATCACCAACATCTAAAACATATAATTTGGTTTATTAGGTTATAAAAATGTTTTCTCATTGTGAACAAACTGATATAGAATAATTAAAATAATGTTTCGATTCAACATTTATTTAATGGATGGAGCGATTCTCATAAGTTTTATAACAATAAGATTAATTAGAATCTTAGATTTATATTATGAAAGCTTTGAATTTGATATTTAAGGAAATGAAGACTTATTCAAAATAAATTAGAAAAGTCATTCTACCATAAATGACAATATTTTTGGTGAGATTAACTAATTCTATACAATATTTAGAAGGTAATTAATAAAATTATCATAATAGAAATTAATTTTTTGGACGAATGTTATGAATAAGAACCAAATTAAGAAGTATTATTATTTTATACTTTATAAATGTTAATGGAATTAAATAATTAATAATTGTGTAATACTACTATTTACAGTAGTTTATTATAAATATTAAGTATGCCAATTAAAAATATCAGTATGGATCATTTTATAATGGAAGATGATCCAACAGTTGTTTAAGCTGTTTTAATGTTCTTTGAACAGTAATTATCAAATAAAAAAACATAATAAAATGCAAAATAATTGTTATTATAATATCTATAATAATAAGTTGAAATGGTTGGTCAATACGTGATAATTTCATAATTTTCATCTGATTTATTCAATCCAAATCAAAATTTTGCCATAATTGAATCAATATTGAAACAATAAAGCACTAACTAAAACTAAGTCTTTTAACTTTAAAAATTAATAGCTTTAACAAACTTATATTTATTAACTAAAGGATAAGTTGAAGTATTTACATAGCTATTTTAATTGCATGTTCAATAATTAAAATCATAGCTTGGTTTAGTAAATTTATTTAATCTTGGTAAATTATGTGCACATGCAAGTAAAAATAATACTTTAGATGAATAAAGTTTTAAATGCCTGGTGGATTAGTCAAACATTTAATTTCCATCCATAGATTAAGATACAGCACATATTTTATTTGATAGTGTCTTATAAATGTTTAAGTTATGTAAAACTTTATAATTTCCAATTTTATAAAATATCTATCATTATTGGACTACATATCCACATGATTCATTATTAGGATAGATATTTTATGAACTGTTGGAAATTCTTGTAACAATTGATCCAGTTTCAGTATAATAAACATTTTCAACAACTAATGGATTAATATGGTTAAAAGTTAATACAATAATAGCTAAATATTAACCATAATTATTAATTAATTTTATTCCCTAAATAGCATAATAATTATTAGTATTTAATGAATTTACCCCTTAAGGAATAATGTTATTGAAGACACTATTATAGTATAATTCCATTGATTAATTAACTTTAAATACAGTTATTTAAATTTTAGATATTTAATTAAATGTTTAAAAAGAACCAGAATTTGAAGCTTTGACTGAACATGTTCATGATTTATTGTTGGTTGTTTGGAATAAACATATGAATAGATAAATTACAATTTAATTACTTAGTAAAATACTCTAAAAAATTATGCATTCTGAAATACCCTCTACAATTAATGGTTTAACAACTATACTATGTGCAATTTATTTATAACATTCTAATCAGCTTTTATAATGGTTTTAATCTAATACTGATAGTACACAATAATTATTCAGTAAATGGCTTAGATTTGCATCAATATTACAATAGAAATCTTTACTATAATTATAAATAAATGTTATTTATTAATTCACTTAATTACCATATTTTGATTAATTATTTTATGTGGATCCTTTTATTGATAAAGTCATTCCACTAAAGGCAAAAATGATGGAGTTTTTAATTTCTAACCAATAACAATGTGTAAGAATATTATTAAAACTTAGAAAACTATAGCTTTAGATGAAGATGATGAATTTTAGGATATAGATTCTATCGAAACAGAATTTGAAAATGATATTACTGAATGTCATAATCTCATTTAACCAATTTCAATTTCATTTGAACATTTACAACACTTATCAAAACATTTGTCTAAAGAGTAATAATAATATTTAAGGAAATAATGAATTTTAATGTTTAATAGTATTCATATATTATAATATTTCTAAAATATTTTCAATTCCATTTAAAATATTAGATTTCTATATTTTAATTATATATGAATTTTGAATAATTTACTTAGCATGATTTATTGTAATTAATGCTTGAGGATTTAATGGATATTTAAATTCAAATGTAAAATTTATTATCCTTTAATTTTAATTAATAAAATAAATTATATAAAAAATAAATCTTTAAATAAATCAGAAAAATGAAGGAAAAAAGTTGCTCATTGTTAGCCAAAAAGATTAGAAAACTTCCCCAAAAAAAACACTAATAAAAAGAGGATTTAAGTTCTCCAATAGTTACTAATGAAGACTTATTATCTAAGCATCAAAGTCAATGTTCAAGTTTACTGTCAAGTCCTGAATCAACCAAATTTGTACCTGGTAGCATGCTAGAATTCTTATTAAATATTGAAGACCTACATCTCCCATTCTCTATTTGATTATAAGACATCTTTATATATATATACATACTTTATAATAATACGTATTATAAATTTAATTACTAATTATCACATCTATAATATTTAAGTATTGTAAACTACATAGTATGATTTATTATCGAAGTGATGATATATGAAATTAAGTCTTATATAATTTTATTATCCATAAATATAATGATCTTAATTTTTGTATATATATATACATCTATAAATTGTTTCTGTGTTTATGATTGTATTTTAATCTTGAATTAATCAAATAATTAGTGTTCAATATAAAAACGAATTTGATTTTATGTATAAGCAGGTTGAGAAGTTAATTTTTTTGTCTTGTTAGAGAGATAATAATAATAAATAACTCAATATTATCAACAAATTCAGATGAAAGGACAGTAGTTAGAATTCTCTAAATGAAGCAAGAATTCTAACATACTACCAGGTTCTTCTAGTGCAGAATCAGGACTTGAGATTTCACTTGGGCAATAGCTAGGATATTTTTATAATAGGATCTCATTGGTTATTAATGGCGAACTTAACTAATCTTCTAAATTTTGAAATTTTTTGGGTGATTATTTTTTTATTTTCCTTTTGATCATCAAATTGTGCTTATCTTTCATTTTATTGAGGATTGTAATTTTATAAAGTTTAGAGGTTATCTTATTTGTTTAATTGTTATATTTAATAATGTAATTTTTACAAAATGCAATACCTTTTATAATCAGTTCAATAGTTATATTAAATTTATTTATTTTAAATATTTATTTTAATTATAACATATTACTATATAATGATACCATCATGAATTGCTTATTAAAATTAGATCAATATAATTGTAATCAGAAGTAAATAATAAATGCTAATAGAATCAAGATTCTGTAAGGAATATGAAACTATAACATTCAATGTAAACAGAATATTATTGTCTTATATTGTATTTCAATATATTTTATTATATTATTTCTGAAATGATTAACAAATATTATCATATTATAACTCATTTAAAAAATAAAATGAATAATTAATATTGTTTAATAATTAATGTTTAATCTTCATTTAACTTTCTTAAAGTACATAAAATGACAAGAATTTCATATTTAAAATATGATTTATTATTTATTTAATTTATACAAATGAATCCATTTATTTAAGAATTATTTCTTTTTAGATATATTTATATATATAATATTATCTGCATTATTAATTTTATTAGAAATGATAGATGACGAGGAATAGAATGAAAGAATTATAACAAAGTATCGTGATACACTAAGAGATGTGGGATTAATGAATTTAGGCTTTGGATCAATGTTTTTATTAATGTCTATTAACAAATCCTTTTATGGTATTATTAATCAAATAATGAAAAAGAAAATGATGAGTGCATATTCTTAAGAGAATAAGGATTAGATTTTGGCATAGCTTTATTGGTTTTATCTACATTATAATTGTAAGCATCAATGATAATAAATACAGATCCTTTTTCTTTGTTATTCATCGAATGGAGATTAAGATGGTTTAGGAAGTATTTTCATTTTTAACAGGATCAACTTTTTTAATGGGATTGATTTTCTTTGTTTTATTATCGGTATATTTATTGATTTAAGAAATAAGTATGGAATTTATAAAGGGGAACCTTGTGGTGCATTAAGAATATTATCAATAGTTTATATTGTGTTGGTTCTGTTTTCACTATTTTGTTTTGGTCTAATATTATGTTGCGTAATAATTTTGAGTGCAAATGAAAGGTGAAGAGTAAATGTACTTAATTAATATTTAAATAAATTATTATAATCAATTTTATAATTCATTTATTCGATAACAATGTCTATGTTTAAGTCCTAAAATTATATGAAACATACATTAATATAAATATTATTTTCTTATTTTAAACTAACATGTTGATAGTAATAATTTTTGATACTAGAATATTAAAGAAAAAACTTTACACTTAAATTAATTGCTATAACTTTTGAATGAAATGCAATATTTAAATTTGAAATTTAAATCTATAATCTACTTAAAAAGTATTTGTACCAAACCTAATTTTAAGGAGTTTGAAAATTATTTGAAATTATGTTTGATAACTTTTAAATTTTGAGATTAACTTTAAAGAAAACTTTATTTAATGATAAAATAAATTATTAAATAGTACAACTTTCACAAATTTTATAACATTAAAATTAGTGGAAATAGGAAAATTTATTAAGCATGTTATGGATCATTATTTAATAAATCCTTATCAAAACTATTTCTATTCCGTATTCATTTATTTTATGTCTAAAAATAATGAAATTAAGATACAGTAATCATTCTCCAAAATCTATTAAAAAAAAATCTTTTACATAATAATATTGGAAACAAGCTAAATACATTTATTCTTGTTTGATCTTGCTTTTAAAAATAATTAGGATTATTTCTCGAGTAAAGTGATTATAAATCATTAATTGAATAAAATAAGCTTAGATGTGTAAAAAGTGAAGAAGCTAAAAAGAAGAACTTAGAGGTTTGTTGCTCTTTCAATCCTAATCTCTTGAAGCCCTTAATCAATCATAGTTCTATATTTTATCTGGCTGAGAAAGAAATGAAATTAAGGTTAATAATTTCATATTAATTTAGCCCTTTCAATTCATTGAATATCTTACAAAAATGAACATTATAAGATTACAGTAAATATTGAAAAAAGAAAATGACTCTGAACATGATCTTTAGAAACAAATGAGTATGTTTGTCTCCAATTTATTAGATGATGGAAAATTAATTTCAGGATTTATTTTTATCTGGGAATTTCAATAATAAATATAAGAAATATTAATGAATAGGATGCAATTGTATTATATTTATCGTTAAAACAATAAAAAAATGTATATTTAATCTGAGTAGAAATCTAAAACAAGCCATTTTATAAAATAATCCAATTATTCACTTCATAAAATTAGCATAAATCAATCTAAAAATTGGTCCACTTACTAATTAATTAAATATTCATATGAGTTGGAATGCAGATAACCTTGAAGAAGGTGAACTTAAACCAGTTGATTCAACTCCAGTTTGGGGTGGTGAATAGAGTGCAGGTGGATGGCAAGTGGATGAAGTGAAAAAAACTCAAGACTCAAAATAGGGTCACGATGAAATAAAGGAGAATAAAGACAGCAATGGTTAAAATGGAACTGCAGTAGAATCAGGAGGATGGGGAGAACAAAAATAATAGCAATAATCATCTTGGGGAGAAACTAAAGCTGATAATAATGATAATGCTTGGGGTTCAGGAACTACAGGATTTGGAAGTACTTCAACTGCTGATAATGGAGGATCATCATGGGGAGGTGGATCAAATTCCTGGGGAAGTGGAGGAAATTCAGATAATTAATTTTAATCAGATCGACCAAGAGGCAGAGGAAGAGGAGACAGAGGAGATCGTGGAGGTGGTTTTAGAGGTAGAGGAGATAGAGGAGACAGAGGCAGAGGTGATGGATTTAGAGGAAGAGGAGATAGAGGAGATCGAGGAGGATTTAGAGGAAGAGGTGACAGAGGTGGAGATAGAGGTGAAAGACGAGGAGGATATAGAGGAGGAAGAGATAATGGCGGAAGTTGGGGTGGAAATTCAAATAATAATAATGGAGGAGGTAATACTTGGGGAAATAATGGAGAAAGTAATTCATGGGGAAATTCAGAAAATAAAGATAATTCTGGAGGTGGTTGGGGAAGTACCACAACAAATGAATAACCTGCTTAGAGCGGTGGATGGGGAAGTTCAACAGAACAACCAGCTCAATCTGGAGGATGGGGAAATTCTACTCAATAACCAGCTCAGTAAACATCAGAAGGTTGGGGAAATAAAACAGATTAACAACCATAATAAGCAGAATAAACTTAAGGTGGATGGGGTTCTACAACAGAATAACCAAAATAATCAACTGGTGGTTGGGGGTAAACAACTGAATAACCAGTTTAATAATCTAACGGATGGGGAAGTTCTACCTAAGAGTAGCCACCCTAATAATCTGGAGGATGGGGATCATCAAATACTGAATAACCTCCATAATAATCAGGAGGATGGGGATCATCAACAACAGAATAACCACAATAATAAGGAGGTTGGGGATCAACAACATAAGATTAACCTTAATCAGGAGGATGGGGATCTACAACCGAATAAGCAACAACATCAGGCGGTTGGGGAAATAGTGATCAACCAGCTTAATCAAGTGGAGGCTGGGGAGGTTCATCAGATTAATAAAATGGAAATTCTTGGGGAGGATCTGGAGATGGGCAAAGAGGTAGAGGAAGAGGCGATAGAGGAGGATTCAGAGGCAGAGGTGATGGTTTTAGAGGAAGAGGAGATCGAGGAGGAGGAGACGGATATAGAGGAAGAGGAGATGGTTATAGAGGAAGAGGAGATCGAGGAGGAGGAGAAGGATATAGAGGAAGAGGAGATAGAGGAGACAGAGGAGGATTTAGAGGAAGAGGTGATAGAGGAGATAGAAGAGGTGGATTCAGAGGAGGCAGAGATAATGAAAATTCAGGTAATGGTGGAAGCTGGGGAGGATCATCAAATGATTAAGGTGGTGGAGGATGGGGATCTTCAACAACTGAATAACCTGCCACAAGTGGAGGTTGGGGATCTACAGCAACTGAATAACCTGCCTCAAGTGGAGGATGGGGATCTACAGCAACTGAATAACCTGCCTCAAGTGGAGGATGGGGAACTACAGCAACTGAGTAACCTGCAACAAGTGGAGGTTGGGGAACTACAGCAACAGAATAACCAGCTTAAAATGGAGGTTGGGGATCCTCTAAAACAACTGAATAACCGGCCTTAAGTGCAGGTTAGGGATCAACAGCAACTGAATAACCAGCCTAAAATGGAGGATGGGGAAGTACAGCAACAGAATAACCAGCATAAAATGGAGGTTGGGGATCTTCTAAAACAAATGAATAACCAGCTTAAAATGGAGGTTGGGGATCTACTGCAACTGAATAACCTGCAGCAAGTGGTGGTTGGGGAACTACAGCAACTGAATAACCAGCTTAAAGTGGTGGTTGGGGTAGTACAGCAACTGAATAACCAGCTTAAAGCGGAGGATGGGGAAGTACAGCAACAGAATAACCAGCTTAGAATGGAGGTTGGGGAAGCTCTGATCCTCCATAACAAAGTAATGGTGGTTGGGGAAGCAGTAATAATGATTAACAGTAATCTAATGGATGGGGTTCGAATAATCACTAATCTAATGGAAATGGTGAAAGAGGAAGAGGCCGAGGTAGAGGGCGAGGTCGAGGTGGAGATAGAGGAGGAGATAGAGGATAGAATAGAGGATTTGATAGAAATAATAATAATGAAAATGGTGGTGGAGGAGATTTCCCAACATCAAAAAGAGTTAAACCTAACCCTGTAGTTATTACAATATCAGATGACGAAAATGGTAAAGCATCTCCTCAATTCAGTGAGGATGAATAAGAGAAAGCAAATATAATTAATGAAGCCTTAAAATAAGCAGTTGATGCCAAACCAATTAAATTATAATTACCAGAATTAGATGCTAAATTTTCACCTCTTTTTAATCCTGAACCTGATCCTGATAGTTTAAAAACTGATAATTTATGTCATTTAAAGGGAGGTCTTTATCCTCATGAATAATATAAAAAGGTGAAATTTGTATATACAGGAGGAATTAAAGTAGACTCAGATAGATAGCCAGTTGTAAATTTAGTTACTTTTGATAATGATTTAGAATTTATTGAATCTTGTCCTAAAGTGGATTTAGCTGAAAAATAAGGAATCGAAACTGTGTTTTTGAGTCCGTTAATAAATGAATATAGAATTCTTAAAAATGAATTAGTATAATTAAGATAAGAAGAGAGGAGAACATAAATTAGGAGATAATACATGGGGGTAGTGGAGGGAATAGATAAATAAAATTAAGATTTAATATGTTAAGTTGGATTAGCATTGCTGAAAGAATAGAAAGCAATAAAATTGAAATATGGATTCTTATTTGCTGAATTGACACTCTTTCATATTAAATAAGTATTTGGAAATTTGGATTATGCAGAACATCAATCATTATAAGCAATAGAAAAAGAGTTGCGACCAACTAATTTAGTTTTTGTTGTTTCCATAACTTAGAAATGGTTAAATGATGTGCCAAAATTGAAATGTAGAAGAAGAAAAGAGTTGTTATGATATATAATATTAATATTATAATTACAAATTTTAATAAAATAGTATTTTTCAAGTAATACTACCTTTATTAGCAAATAAATTAAAAAAATTTTTAGTATTAGATAGATTGCTTAATAAAATATTAGTTTAAATGTTGCTGTTAAAATATTTATAAAATAAATAAATGAAGTATACCATTGAATCATACCTTTTGTTTATAAAATGCACTTTAAAAGTGCTAATTTTTATTGTTGATACTTAAAAATAAGAAATTCCTTTATTTAAAGAAGAGAGTGATTTCAACACTAAAACTTGTAAAATTGAACTCAAAATTCTATTAGATTATTAGTTGATATGTGCTCTGTAGGAAAGAAGCAAATTCTAAAAATTATTTTATTTTTGTTGATAATCATTAAGTATAATTATTTTATTTCACTAGCTTATTTGAGATTAAATGCTTGTAGATGTTAAATAGAGAGACTTTGTAATTACTGCTATTTGAAATAATAGATAAGACAATAAGACAATTAATCATATACTTATAAATAATGCGTTTCCACCTTTCATCATAAATAAAAAATAGAATTTATAATTAAAAGCTATTATATTAATAGATGATACTCTTGAATATTACTTAATGGATAATGATAATTTTTGATCAATTGAATAATGCTAAGTACTATTTAGTAGAATCAATCAAGAATAAATTATCAATACAATTTGCTCCTTTAATTGTTCGAAGAAATGATATTGAAGATTAAAAAATCATAAAAAATAAAATATAATTGTATATTATTTTTGTAATTTAATTATTTTTAATTTTTGGATTAAAAATAATTACTCTTAGTATTTATGATAATGAAATAGAATTAAATAAAATGACTTTATCTTATATTCCTAATCCATTTAAAAATGAAAAAAGTACATAATGAAATATGATATGTAAATTAACATAATGATCTATATAATTCAATGATTAATTAATTCAACATCATTTTACATTAAAACTTTGTCGAACTCTGATTAAATATCTTATCCAGGTAAAGTTGAGGGACTTTTCCATAATGATGCATGCACTATTACAATTAAACATCCAAGACCAACATAACTCAATATATTAGGACCTGAAATAGCCAAAATTAGTAAAATATTAACTAAATTTAATGTTATTCATATTACATAGAAGTAAAAGTATCATTTTTTTGTCTTGAGTATTGATTAACCCTAAATCAGGTAAGTAATCTAAAATCGAACTTTATTTCATAATATATGCCCATCTTCATTTTAATAACACAATTATACCCTAAATAACTAAGAAATAGAATCAGCAAAACTGCAAAGTTAGTGAGCCTAAAATCTAATTTTAGTATACCCTCCGATTGCAATTGCCACCATGACCAATTAAGTATATCTCACACCATAAAGAGAAAAGTTTTCTTGTATTCTTAATGAAAGAGAATCACTTTTTGGTAAATTATAGGCTGATAAATCTAGTATTCCTGGCTGTGTTTGCATTAATTAAAATCAATTATTTTATTTATAAAAACTCCAACAATCTATAAAAAATTATCTAAGTTTAGACAGCTATTTATTTGTTTAAAAATTTATTAAGGTGCTTTTTAGGGAATGCAAATTAATAATTTCTAATATAATAATTCATGTAAATAAACATATTGATTTGGTATATATAAATATATTAAAACCCCTTTGTTATGTTAAAATTATAATGAAAAAAAAATTATGAACTTAATCAAACTATGATATATCACTTTCATCTTTTAAATTGAATTTAATAATTAATACTCATTTGTATAGATATTATCCAGCCAAACGGCATATTATGTAAATAGCTACTTAATTCTATAATAGTATTTAGGATTTACAATCATTCATGATTAATTTATTATAACTTAAAATTAAAATTATAATATTAAAATAGATAGTAGATCTATTTGTAAATAGGAAAAAAGGAATAAAATTTAATGAATTTTAGATTTTATATTAATAATACAAAAGAATAAAGATATTTAAATTGAATAAATATGACCATTTGACAATTTTGCTAAAAATAAAATATTATAACTATACTTTCAATATTTTTTTTTAAATATAGGTGTTATTAAGGTGAAGATTGATTTTGTGAATAAAATTGATAACCATAGATGTAGTCATATTTGTCAATTAGTTCATATTTATAATAATATTATATTTGATAATATCACATTATCTAATAACAAACTATTATATTTAGTATAGTAATTAACTATCAATCACCAAAGACTACAAATACTATGTACATGAAGAAAACATGCATAAAATTTATATTATAAATGTTTATGTTTATTCATATACATTTCATGCCTCCGACTTACTCAATAACAACATCAATTTCATCTCCTGTTTCCATTCCAATCTAATATATATCATATAAATCTAACATCAGCTGGAGTTTATGTCTCTAAAATCCTTTCTCCATCAAATAAGAATCTCACATTTTAGATTTGAAGCTAAAATATTTAGTTCATACTTACATTTTGTCTTGAACAATAAGCATCCATCAACTTCTTGAATTGAGTCTATTTTTTGATTTTAAAGAACACTTCCTCTCCATCTTGAGATTTTACTTTTAAGTTCAAATATTCAGCTTATGATTGATCTGCCATATTATTTAATTAAATTAATTATCTATAACAATATTACTCATTTTTGGTGATATTCTAATATAAATTTAAAGATTTTAATATATTAAACATAAACAATAAACAAGATATCTATTATCATAATTAGCTTTCATCATCATTTTGTTTTCGAATCAATTAATATTTTTAGAATTTATTAAAAATTATTAATTTTTTTACGCTCTGGTGAAACCTATATATTCTAAAAATGGATTACTTCATCATTTTCTTTTATATGAAACTGCTAAACATTCTCATTATATTTACAAATTTCTATGTAAATGTCTTTAAAAACTTCATTTCTTTCATTATTTACACAAATAAATGCTTCAAACAATCGAAAATAGCAATCTAAAGAAATAATCAATAATAAATGATACATTTAAATGTTGAATTCATAGAAGATGTATTAATTAACCATATATTGAATAAGTGATTAACTTAGCCTACAGTGTAATTATGTACAACACAGTCATAATTCATTGATTAAGAACTCCAAATATATTAATCATCATTTGTACTTTGTGTTAGTGTTTCACAATTATCTGCTAAAATATATGAACAACAACAGCTTACTGTTTTCAATCATATTTTAGAGTCTTTTTGGACTTAGTGCCAAATCATCAATCATAATTAGGATGAAATGAGATTGTTAGGTTGTCTTTAACATTTGTTGGTCTCCAAAACAAGTAAAGGAAAATTGAGAATTCATAATAAACCCTTCAAAAGTTTCAGTTTCTTCAACATAAGTTCTTTATTTTTCCAATTTGCCTATTTTCTAATTAAATTATAATATCATTTGAATACATTTAAATAATCTTATTCAGAATCTGCATGCACACCTCCACTTCTCATTCTTCTTAAGCTCATTCTTATAAACTATATTTTTATTTCTTTTTATTTATTTATTTAAAAATACTCAATCATAAAAGTGTATAAATATTTAAAGAACTTATGCATTATTCTCTATAATAGTAATCTATGAAAATGGCATTTTAGCCATTCTAATATTACTCATTTTTTAAAAACTAAAATTGAATTACATTCAGTGATTATTCAATTTAAAAACTAATATAAATTTAACCTATTAATAAGACAGAGACAAGAAAATAAATGTCTAATATTAAATTAATAAATAATCAAGTTTAAATTCAATTTTATATTTTATGTGTAAGTATCCTATTTAATATTGATTAATTAATATATTCTTATAAAGTCCAGAAAAATCTTTATATATTAATCCTATTCAAAAAAAATGATACTACACAAAATTATTCATATTTTATTTAAAAAAAATAAATATACTGGAAATTATGTCTTTTTCAAATTTCAAACTCAATCATTTATTTAGCTTTAATAAAGAATTTCTGATGAAATTTCATAAATGAATTATATAAAAGAATGAGTAAAGTACTAAAAATTAAAAAGTCAAAACTTAAATTTTTATATTTAATTCATATATAAACATTTTAACGTTCTTTATTTCTTGAAATCATTGGTTTACTCCCACAAAAAATTTGAATTAATGAAGTTCTTTTTTGTTAATACAATTATAAAATAAGGAATGTTTTAATTATTTTTATTTTATAATTTTTTAATGTTAAATAATTCTAAACTAATTATTATCTTACATTTTTATATCATTAAGTAAAGTATTTAAAGAACCTTCATTATGAATATTAACAAATAAATAATAACATGAATATAAAAGACTTAAATAACATGAAGGACTGGTAAAAAACATACTATTTTTATTTTAGATTTATGGTTGAGGAATCATATTTGAGTTAGTTAGTTTTTATATTATTTTTGAATAACTAAACTAATTGTTTTAAACTTTTCTTTTACTTAACATAGAGTTTTCGTTCCATTTTTTATATTATTTTATATTATTCCATAAATTCACATTCTAAAAACCCCATGACCTGTTCTTTCGTACTTATAATGTTACATACTCGTTAAAAGTGCCAATCCTAATGTTTATCTGGTCTAAGTTGGTAAAATGATTCCATCATCCCATAATCGAGCTGTTGCATAATAAGCACTAGATTCATTGTCATATTTTTATTAATATTGTTATTTTAAATCTTTCTCAACTTTTTCATTCCACACTCCACCATTTCTCTCAATAGTTGTTTATTAAACAGATGTTAAAACTCCAGCTGCCTAAAATGAATAAATAAAATTATGATACTTATTCACCTCCCATAACGGATATTCTACTACTTGGCCATGAAAATAAGAATCTAGCTCCATAAGCTCTTCCACACATACCATAGTTACCAGCTCCAAAACTTCCGCCAAAGATTAAAGTCAATTTAGGAACAGTTGCAGTAGCTACAGCATTAACCATTTTAGCACCATGCTTAGCTATGCCTTCTGCCTCATATTTTTTACCAACCATAAATCCTGTAATATTTTATAAGAAAATCAAAGGAATTCCTCTTTATTAACATAAATTAACAAAGTGTGCTCCTTTTAAGGCTGATTCACTGAACAAGATTCCATTATTTGCAATAACTCCTACTTTTTAACCATACAATTCACCAAATCCTGTAATAAGTGTAGTACCATAATTTTCCTTAAATTCCATAAATCTAGATCCATCTAAAATACGTGCAATAAGATGTCGACTGTCCATAAATTATTTGAGATCACAATTCATCAAATAATTTAAATCTTCTATATCATAAATTGGTTAATCATCTCTTATTTCACCTACTTATTTAGTTGTTAAATTCTCAATAATAGATCTTCCTTTTTATAAAGCTTCTAATTCAGTAGTGCAAAAGTGATCAGTCAATCCACTAGTTAAACAATGCACTTTTGCTCCTCCTAAATCTTCTGCTGTTACAGTTTCTCCAGTTGCTGCTTTTACTAAAGGAGGTCCTCCTAGAAAGATTGTTCCATTTCCACTTACAATAACGTTCTCATCACTCATAGCAGGGACACTAAAAAATTTAAATGCATGATATTACTAAGCACCTCCTGCTGTACATGATCCAAGTACTATACTAATTTAAGGGATGCCTTGAGCAGACATATTGGCCTGATTATAAAAGATTCTCCCAAAATGGTCTCTGTCTGGGAATACTTCATCTTATTACATCAGGCTTTGTATTTAAATATATATTTACTTTGCACCACCAGAATCTACTAAATACACACATGGTAATTTGTTTTCCCAAGCTATCTCTTATGCTCTAACGTGCTTCTTTACTGTAATTGGATAATATGTGCCTCCCTTTATTGTAGGATCATTAGCCACAATCATACAGAATCTCTTATTTATTAATCCTATACCAGTTACGATACCTAAAATTATAATATACTTAACCTCCACTTGGTACTTCTTCTTTTCCATACAATTAATATCCTGCTAATTAAGATAATTCCAAGAATGGAGATCCTACATCCAATAATCTAGTAATTCTTTCTCTAACAGGAAACTAAAAATCAATAAGAATTTCTACTTTTTTTCTTTCTGCCAATTTTTAATGAGCCACTGTCCCACCATAATTGATTACTTTGTTTGTTATATTAAGAAATCTTTCATTGATTTATTTCATCTATTCAAAATTAGCTTTCAAATCAGGATCGGCTTTATCACATAAGGATTGAAGAACAGGATAATGGGAAAATCTGAATAAGGATCTATAATGCATCATTTTAATTATCATATTTAAATTAATCATGAACTTAACATTTAATAATAGTATAAATTACATGAATGAGACTCATAAATAACAAATCTTCATTTAAATTACTTACAAAGCTCTAAAATTTCATATTTATTTATACTTCAAACTTTAATCATCTTAATCAATAAATTAAATAAATGATATACATTTCAAAGTGCTAACAATTACTATTCTCTAATATAATTTGATAATTAATAAAAGACCATTCAGAAAATTTAAAGTAATATATGTATTTTGAATGATAATTAATATTTTATATAATCGTTATGAATAGTAAAAATTTGCCTACAGGACATCATTATGCATATTCTCCTCAGGTGTAGATGAGGAGTTTAGCAACACTTAAAATAATAGCTCCATTATGCATTTTATTATCATTGTGTAGTGTTGTTATAGGATTCATCTGGTATGCCTTTAATGGTTTGACTGAATTTTTGATAATAGGAATCAATAATGTAATGACTTTGTTTAATTTAAGATAGCAGTTTTATTCACTTGCATATTTTCTCTTTATTGGAGTCTTACTACCAAAGTTATTGTTAATGAAGAGATAGATTCACCAGATGGACATCTTTATAACACTATACCATACCTTCATTCCCTATTTACTTAATTGGTTTGTGCAATTGAGAGTGGATTAGTGTTGAGTTTGATTGAATATGATTCCTACAATCAATTTTTATTAGTTTTGCCAATCTAGATACTTGAAATATTTCTATTATTATATATGGCAAATGTGAGTCGATAATTCAACATTAGAGAATATGGTATTCAAAGATTAATTGTGTATGGAACTTCTATTGTAAACCTACTATTTTTGATATTTGCTTCATTCAGTCTTAAATAAGTAACTTTATTTTAGAGATCTATCTTAGGTTATATTATAAATAAACTCATAATTATTTTAAATCTCAACAACTAATATTGAAATCACTCTTGTGAAAATAGTTTTGTTTGTTTTATTTATTACAACCTTGATTGTTTCAATGTTCAATTTAAAAAGAATCAAAATTTACTTTGTCACACTAGCATTTATAATCCTAAGTATTTGTATTGTAGCATGCTGTGTTAATGGTTTACTTGTTAGAAGAGTATAAGATTTGGAAGTTGAACTTTCAACCAATAAAGGTTGTAAGTTTGCAATGTAATCCATTTCTGAAAAGAGTTTAAATGATCAATTAGAATGTCCATAAAAATATTTTGACTTAGAATTATCACCATATCTTCCATGTGAATAAGATGTATAAAGTTATTAATGGGAAACAAATACAAAAATTAATAAATTGGGATGTGTTAATTTAAAATGTTGTAATTCTGTTAAACAATATGTATTTAATCCAATCAATAGTCTTACTATATGGATTAATCTTATAGTAATGGTTGGAATTGTGTAATCATTTAACACTGCTATGTTATCTGAAGGATCATATAAGAAATTTAGAATGCATGTAGTAGGAGATGCTATGGTTTTCATAATTCTAGTTCTCCTAGCTATATTAGTAGTTGTGGCATATAATATTACACCTGAATTATCTGTAAATGTACAACATCCACTTGTCAAGTATTTATATCTAAAACTATTAATTTATAGATAGGATTCCATGTTGAATCAAATAACTGTATTACCAACACCTGTTTACAAAAATTTTGATAAATAAGAAAAATTAGTAGGATTTTATAATCTACAAAGTTGTGAACCTATATCTTCAGTTATGATTCAAAAAGTAGTATTTAAAACTACAGAAGTTTAAAAGGGGTAAAACTATAAAAATAATTAGAATTACTCTAGCCATATCTGGAACTAATGGATAATTTGTTGCTTTAAAAGAGTATAATAATGAAAAATTAAAAATAATTATTGATGATGAAATAAACAAAACCATATTCTCATAATTATCATAACCTAATGATTCCATTATTATTTAAGGAGATGTATAGGAGGCTGAAAAGTTTTATAATAATAATTTACACTATTGTTCAGATAATCCACTTAGTGCAGATTTCGATTTCATGATTGAATATTATGATATTCCTTAATAAAATAATAGAATTTTGTAAGCCTTAAGTAAAGAACAATAATAAATTGGAGATTAAGCATTTAAATTTTATAATGTTAAAATCACAATTGAAAATTCTGCTGATTTCTCACCAATTGCTGATACTGTAAATATTGATAATTATTTTAGCTTATTGAAGTATATGAAGGTAAATTCTTATCATAATCTTGTCAAATCATAAGATAATTAGAAAATAATTTACATGAACTAAAAACAGATGAGTAAGGAAATACAGAAATCAATAACTTAAGTTAAGGATACTCATACACAGTATTAATATATAAATCAGGTATAAATATTATCAATATATTCATAGGATTTAAGAAATCATGTTCTGTTCTTGATCTCTAAAGAAGAGTACCTAAAACTAAATATATATTCAGGTTAACAAAGAATATACCTAAACATTCTGTCCGTATTTTATTAGAATGGACATCAAAGACTCTTAATCTTGATTTATATAGTGCCTTTAAAGTAGGAGAACATTCTTGTTTAACTGGAGCTCTGTCTAAATCATGTGGAGGAATGCAATTGTCATCTATATCTAAAAATGATTAACATATAGAAGTGCTTGATATCTATCAATTAGAACCATAAATCTATACAATATTTGTTAAAAGATTTTTGACTAGAAATGAAGCTTTAGATCTTTTAAAGAATTCTTTGGTTAGCTAAGAATGGATTGATGCAGATCCTCATATCACTGTATACTTGAGTGAATTAAACTACCCATTAATTGAATTTAGATTACCTTAAAGTATAATCTTAATTAATTTAGATATCAATTTTTAAATGGATAAATTAGATTTAACCTGGATGGTCTTTAAAATTGATGGTCAATAATCAGATGCTCCTTAAACTTTATAAAAGATCGAATCTAAAATTGCAAATGACGAAATAAGGTAAAACACTGCATCCAATAAACCTTTCTGGCCAGAAATTTGATTTTGAAACAAATATAGAATTACATTTTTATTAATAATAGTAATATAATTAATTATATTCTAAAATTATATGCGGGTTCAAAAACTTAATTTAAAAAAATGATAATTAAAAAACCATTTAAATTTTTAATAAATTCCACTTAATATTCAATTTATATTATTCAAATCTGATCTTAGTGGAACTTATTGTTATACTCTTTAAGCAGCTGGTTAATACTATTAGGGTTGATAAGCTGGAACCACTCTTGAAGAAATGATAGGAGAAGCATATTATTGGGCATATGCTACTGGTACAGTTTAAATGGATTAAACTTAGACTGGTTATTAATAAACTTAAGCAGGTTATTAATAAACTTGAACTGGTTATTAAACAACTTAGACTGGCTATTAAACAACTTAGACTGGTTATTAAACAACTTGAACTGGTTATTAAACAACTTAGACTGGTTATTAAACAACTTAAACTGGTTATTAAACAACTTATTAATGAACTACTTATCTTTCCACTGGATAATATTCAACTCTTTCTTAGTATCTATCCATTGGTACATATTCTTAAACATTATTTAACTATAAATACCTGTATATTTCTCCTAATATACTTATGGGATATATTCGGTTTAGTATTCAACAGCGTAATAATCAGTCACTTTTCTTTCTCTTGGTACATATTATACAACTTCTTATTCTTCATACTCTGTTATGGCTTTCTAATAAGGAATATATTCTATTCTTGATTCTCCCTTGATTGATGGCTATTTATCATTTAAAATTAATACATGAACTGATTATTGGACAGGTTAAGCAATGACTGGCTGAGCTACATAAGATTGAGCTAATATTGGTTGTGGAGCAACAACTTATTAAACAACAGGTTAAACAGGGCAAGCAACACTGTAGGTCAAAGGAGCATTGTAAGGTTGATATTAAATAGGAGCTACTGTCTATAAAGGCTAGTATGTTTAGGGCTATCCGAAGAGGGCTGGTTATGATTATGCATATTGAGGTGCTTAAAGTGGTCTATTTAAGGGAACTGTAGGAGGTGCCATTTAAATGCTTAAATTTTTTAAATTAAATAAATTTTATTTTCTTATTTTTTATGAATTAAACTTATATACTACAAAAAAATATGTTTGGTTTAGAAATTTATTTATTAAATTTTACCTATCAAACAAAAAGAAAATAAATATAAGTAGAAGGTTCAATTGATGAAGCATACAGTATATTGGAAGATCTTTTATGGTTAATTAATAATGCATTCTGAGTACCAAACCAACCTTTCTAGGAGCGAGCTCAGTATAATGCCTAAATAAATGTTCCAACAAATCCAAAATTATGGAGTTAACAAAACAATAAGAAATTGACTTTAGAGAATCATTGTATCAAGTAAATATCTTTATTCTATAACAAGGAAATTGAAAAAAATTTGGAAGTATTTGTATTCTAATGTAAATTTCAATTTATAATTCCGATGTAGTATCCAATATAATAATAGAGTATTCCTTTAATTTAATAAGAAGTCTCGCAATAATAACAAAAAACTGCTCAAAAATAGAATCTAACACTTTCATGGCAGACTTAATCTCATATTTTATAGAATCGAACAAAAAAAGAAATATAATAGTTGTCTATTGATCTTTCATATACTAAATTATGTTTTGCTGTAATAAAACACAGATGGCTTCAATAAATCAAGAAAATTATTCTGAATAGCTTATTTAATTATAGAATCCATATTCAGGTGTGTAAATTTAAGCTCGATTAATGTGGATATATTAATAAAGATGGAGATTTAAAATACATAATAAGATGCATACTTTTGAGCTTTTTTTAAAAATTTATTTATAGTTTATGCCATTCTAAATTATGATTATTGATTGGAGATTCTCATATGAGTTTCTATAATTAATAGAATGATGAATTATATTATAAATTGAGTCTTCTATTTGTAGAATCAAAGAATAATAAGAAGGCATTGAAATGTGTCAAATTCTCATATGATTTTGAATATAATTCAAGTGTGAGAGATTTAAGGGAAAGAATTTTATAAGTAAATTTATTAAAAGAATATAATAGATTTAATAGCAACAATAATTCAAATACTGATCTAGACTATTTTGGTTTGGCAGTAAATGCTCTCAAACATATATAGAAATCATTTTAATAACAATAGGCTAAATATTAGCCTTAGCCTTAACACTTTTATTATGATAAAAAATTATATCTGATAAACGATGATCCATAAAATAGTTCCCCTTGAAGAGCGATAAAGAAGGAGGTAGATCATCCTTCTCCTAGAAAAAAGATTAATCACACTAAGCCTATTTTTTATAAAGAATATTAACATAATAAATATAAGAAATAGCAGATTATCCTTTTGCATTATCAATAATAAGCTAATTAATCAGAACATATAAGAAAAAGAATAATTTATTGAGGAATAGATATATTTAATGAGTATAATATCATAATGCTGATAATTCTTAACCAGGACCTTCTTCTCTGTCTATTTAATACTGTTTGGTCAAATATATCTTACTTTCTTCTAACTTTTATGTTTTATCTTTGCATTTTTTATAACAAATGAATCCAACTATTAATAACCATACAATAATAAACATGATAATTAATAAAAAAACAAATAGAATAAGATTGGCTTTTGAAAGTTTAGATACATCATCTATTATTATTCTAAATACTTGATCTACTTTAGTTATTTCAAATGGAGATGATGAATTCTAAAAGAAACTTGTTACTAAATAGTATTCCTAAAAAATTTCTTAGGATTCACACTCTATATGGGCAGGTATAATAGATAAATTAAGTAATCTTATTTGTTTTTTTGATAATGCAACAATTGAATTATTCCAAGATTTGAGTTATAATAGTTAAGGAAATTCGAAATAATTATTACTAGTAAATTTAATAAAATTAGAATAAATTGAATGTTGAATGATTTTATGTACTTCATAACCAATCAACACAACATAATTTTAATATACTTTTACATCATAAAATTGCATATCATCAAAGTAATAATGATTGATATAATAAGAATTATCTGTAAAATTTAAGAAGACTTCAACTGCATAATCTTATCTAGTCATAGATTCAGCTATAATAAAAAAAGTATTATTATAATGTCCAAAATCACTTCCCTTTATTATTGGAACTCTAAATTTCACTTTAAATTGATAATCACAAATATAAAGACCATGATTATGATCCAAAATATATAGATCTATAATTGTTAATTATTATAATACATTCATCATCACCACTAATATCAACTGCATCTAAATGTGAATTATCAATTCTTAATTGTACATTATCATGTTTGAGAATTCCATCCTTAAATAAATATATATCAATTCCTTCATTTCCACAAGCCACATAAATCTTATTATTTTTAATAAAAGCATCATAAATTATTGATCTTTTCTTGAAAGGTTCTTCATTTATAAAAAATGCCGTTGAATCTAAAGGACTAAATAGTAAAATTAGAAATTTACATCCAATCTGGTATACTAACACCTCCATTTTCTGAAATTATATAAATTCTTTTATTTATAGTATTCTATAAAAATATTGGATGACTAGTGGAACTTTATTAAATTTTTAGTTTTTTTTATTGAATAGTTTTAATGAATTGATCCTCAGATAAATTTATCTCCTATAATGTAAAATCATTTCTGATAATTAGAGCTCTATTTTATAAAACAATCAAATCAGTATAAAATATCTTTTCATCAGCTGGTAATCCCATCCTCAGTTTTTACTCAATAGGAAACGACTTCTAGATAGCTCTACATCCTGCTGTTCCATTTAGTTTATTCTCCTCTTAAACTAATGTATCATAATCATTATCTGTGTAGGAATAAAGTCTATGATCTGAATCACTTCTTTTCCATAATAAGATTTAAAAGCTATTTGGGTTATCATAGAGTCTTTTAATTTAATTCATTATTGCATAATAGGTTGTAGAATTTAATTTTTAAGTAATTACTTAAGGTTCCTTTCTTGATGCTTATACAGAATAAATTAATAATAAAATAAACATAATAATATAATAAAAGATAGAGTCTCAAAAATTATATGAAGGTAACATATTAACAGATTAAATTTAGTAATTACAATAAGGATTTAATAAAGAGATAAAAAATTATTAAGTTAAACAAATAAGCGATGCTTAATGTTTAAAATTTTATTTTTGACCTTCCCTAAATATAGAACCTTTAAAAATTTTTATATGCTTTGTATTATGATATGGAGATTACCTAATTTAAATAATATTTTTTCAATGAATTAAATTAAAATTTCCTTTTTCTCAACCTAAAATATCTTATTAATAAAAGAAAGATATCTATTCATTTAAAATCATAATTAAAAAATGATATAATGTAATAACATCAATATCATATTTTTTTTAAATAATAAAAGAATAGAGAGATTAAAAGTGAAAGAGGGTTCTTTTAATAATAAAATTATATCATTATCATTAGCTAAAATCAAAAAGCTACGTTTTATTTATAATTTTTATAACCTAGCTTTGATTCAATAAATAAAAAAAGTATAATAATATATCGATATCTACTTTGATGAAGTAATTATTAATTTTTCTTTAATTTGATCTTATTTAAGAATAATATATGATAGGTATTGAAAATTGATTAATGATAAATAATAAATTTAGTATAGAAATAAATTTTGAAAATCTAATAATCATCAAAAAAATAATTGGATTTAGATTGTAAGCGTAATATATTATTTATATATTAAATGAATAATGATTAATAAAGTGGATTAAGTGAGATATTTTTTTGTTTAATAAAATAAAAAATAACTGATGTTCAAGAACTCATTCTAAAGTGGATTTCTTTCAATATTATATTCTATAGGATCAAAGCCATTGTAAATTTGGGATAAGCAAAGTATTTTATGATTGGATTATTTAAGTCAAGAATGGACATATTAAACGTATCACAGATCAAGACATTTAATCATCAGTACTTGAAATAATGGGTACAAATGTAAGTACAAATTTCATAACTGCTCCTGCTGACCCTAAAGAAACATTGGGTATTAAATTACCATTCTTAGTCATGATCATTAAGAATGTAATATTATAGGCATTAATTATTAGCTTAAAAAATATTTTACTTTTGAAGTACAGGTTTTGGATGATAAGAATGTTAGAAGAAGATTTAGAGCATCAAATTATTAAGTAAATTAATATAATGAATGTAGTCAACAACAAGAGTGAAACCTTTTATTTGTACAATGCCTATGAGATTAGATGAAGGATGGAATTAAATTTAATTCAATTTATCTGATTTTACTAGAAGAGCATATGGTACAAACTATATAGAAACACTTCGGTATTTTTATGAATCTCATTTTGTAGTGTTCAAATACATGCTAATTGCAGAATTAGAAGAATATATTTTAGTGATCGTCTTTACAGTGAAGAAGAGTTACCTCCTGAATTTAAGTTATTCTTACCCATCTAAAAACAAGGATGATCAATATTATATATATATATATTAATTGATCTATAAATTCAACTCAATTTTGATATTAATTCATCTAATCTAGGTTTCCATTTTTCATCATTTTCCACTAATTTTTATAAGATTACTAAAAGAGGTTAGATATATTATTCTTCTTATTTCAAAATTGTTAATCTAAAATATAATTATAGATTATATACCCATCCTTATGTTCAATTATTTTAGCTAATTCAACTATAGCTTATTATTTATTTGTCAAATAAACATGAGTAAATAAAACACTTAATGATGAACATATATCATTTTCATTTCCATTTTCTTATGCAAATTAAGTCATAAAACCACTAATCATAATAAGAATAATGATTATACACTTTTCTAACTTTATTGCCAGATAAAAACTATCTTGCAATCCTATATAAATCTTTAGGTTATATTTTAATTTTCTTCTACAATGCCACTCTATAAACTTCATATGATATTTTTGGATCATCTTTAATCAAACTTGAAAGATCATCACTATCAATTTTTAAGAATGGACTTGTTTTCAATATTTTGAATAATTAAATTAATCCTTCATCATCAAGTTTTTTTGCTAAAGTCATTATCACAGAAGGATGAGGGAAATATCTTATTGCTGAATGAAATTTTAATGCATCCAAAACATATTTTGTTTAATCAAATTCAATACATTTAAGCATAAACTTATCTTTAATACCACAATGAACTTAATTATTATGTCCTAATATATTATTAAATCCCTAATCAATTTAGCATTTATAATACTTCTATTGCCTCCTTAATGTTATCCTTTTCAACCATATTAACAAAATGTCCTACATCATTTGTCTAAAATTTATATCTTCCATTCTTATTTGTTTGAGTATTCAGTAATAAATTATTATAAAAATCAATAGAAGAAAATGATTTGGCTTTACTATTGATTGATTGTACTCTGGTAGCAAAATACTAAGATTTCTATACCAATTATATTAATTTACTCATATTTATTAATATTAATTTTAATTTACATGTATAAATATAAAAATATATTCAAAGAATAATAAATATATAATTACTATCAATTTTATATGTATGTCAATCTTATTTATGTGATTCTAATGGTTTCATTGTCTTATCATCTCCAATCAAATAATTTGTTATAATCATTATAATTGATAATACACTCATTAAGGCAAATGGTAAATAAGGATCTATATAAAATAAAGGAAATAAGAAAAATGGTGATGGAATTGATGTTGTTTTACCAATTCCAAAAGCTATTGCAGTTCCTTATGATCTTAATTACAATGGATAACTTTCACAACAAACAAGACCTAACGTTGAAAATAGAGCTCTGCATGCTAATTTTATTAAAAGTAATCCTAAAAACAGAATATGTTATCTGAAAAGATACAAACTAGCATTAGCCAATACCAATATTAATGATGAATAACCTATTACCATCTTTCTACCACCAATATTAGGATCATCAATAAATACGTATAATAATAATGCAAATACTAATTCCAAAATGAACATGAATAACATAGAACTTAAGTTTGAGTTATTGTTTGCAAATAAAAATGGCATTAATAAATAGATACTCATATTTTACAAATTAGCTAAAATATACAAAATCCATATCTTAAAAGTGATATACTTATAATTTTGTGATAGAATTCCAAACCTATTTAATTCTTACTCCTAATTTATTAATATTTATTTCTCTTGCCAATTAATCAATCCTTATTTCTAAGTTATTGTTTATATATAAATACTTCTTCTTCTGTTAATATATCAGTATCCTTTTAGTTCTCAAGTATTGTTGAATCTATTTATTCAAATGCAACCTTGTACTCCCTTTAATTTAAATAGTATCTCACTGTTTCCTTTAAATAAAATAATGACAAAATAAAGCTGATTGCTACTGGAATTCCATTCACTCTAATTAATCCTCTCCAATTTCCTGATGTAAAATCATTTAGATAGAATATACATAAAAATGCTAAATAAATCTTCCCAATCACAAATAAAACACCCATCGAATATCCAAATCTACCCCTATATCTTGGTTCAGTGACTTCTGAAATAAAGACATACCCCAATGGGTAACTAGTTCCAAATACAATTCCAAACATAAGCCTTAACATTATCATTTAATTGTAAGAAGTACAAATACTTGTGAAGTATATCAAAAAGACCGATAGTCCTGTAAAAATTGTAAAAGTTATTTTACGACCAATTATATCTGTTAAAAATGCACAAATGCAATTACCAATTACCATACCTAATAGAAATGATGAACCCAAAGATGCTATTTATTATTGATTTAATTCCCATTCTTTTTATATAATAGCCACCAAAATAGACATATAAGCATATTCTATGCCATCACAAAATTCAACTAAACCTACTATTCCTAAAGTTTTAAATTAGTAACGACCTGTCTTTATCTTATTTTCTAATATATCATCAAATGAAATCATTCTTTAAAAACAATTAATTAAAATTATTACAATTATAATTAATTGAATTAAATTTGAAATATCTGCAATGACTTTTACAATTTTATAAAACCTAATGGAATCAATTGTTAAATAGCTTAAGACTATATTAAAATTAATTATTTAAAAAAAAGGAATAAAAGGTTTTATTTTTAATACTTGTTTTTTTTCATATGAAATTATAAAACAATAATAAAGTAACTTTATTAGTTTTATTAACTTTAAATTTATTAAAAAAATTGAATAACCAACTTAATTATTAATATAATAATATTATTATTAAAAGCTTAATAACTATTTTTCATTTGATTTATATAATTAATTCTATTTTATAAAAGAGGAGTTTAGCAATGCTATATTATAATATCAATTATTTTTTGAGATACTAAAATAAAGTTTATTAATAATTAAATTTTATTTATGGGAAGCAAAGTAGAGAACTAAATTGAATAATATTCTGGATAAGACTTTGGTGATAAGATTAGTTTTACGGTTGGTGTGAGTTACATGTTAGGTAATAGATAAATCAATATTTTAGCTTCATCTATAGGGTTAGTGAAAGGAGCAATTGAAGGATTTCCAAGATCACTTAATATGCCAAAAAAGCTAATTTTAAATAATTTTTTCAATGCTGTAGGAAAACGAACTTCAACCTATGGATAGGCAGCAGCAAGTGCAAGCATGTTATATTATTTTGTTGGGGCAGGAATGAATCTATTATTTGAAGATGAATTAGNTCTTCCCAATCACAAATAAAACACCCATCGAATATCCAAATCTACCCCTATATCTTGGTTCAGTGACTTCTGAAATAAAGACATACCCCAATGGGTAACTAGTTCCAAATACAATTCCAAACATAAGCCTTAACATTATCATTTAATTGTAAGAAGTACAAATACTTGTGAAGTATATCAAAAAGACCGATAGTCCTGTAAAAATTGTAAAAGTTATTTTACGACCAATTATATCTGTTAAAAATGCACAAATGCAATTACCAATTACCATACCTAATAGAAATGATGAACCCAAAGATGCTATTTATTATTGATTTAATTCCCATTCTTTTTATATAATAGCCACCAAAATAGACATATAAGCATATTCTATGCCATCACAAAATTCAACTAAACCTACTATTCCTAAAGTTTTAAATTAGTAACGACCTGTCTTTATCTTATTTTCTAATATATCATCAAATGAAATCATTCTTTAAAAACAATTAATTAAAATTATTACAATTATAATTAATTGAATTAAATTTGAAATATCTGCAATGACTTTTACAATTTTATAAAACCTAATGGAATCAATTGTTAAATAGCTTAAGACTATATTAAAATTAATTATTTAAAAAAAAGGAATAAAAGGTTTTATTTTTAATACTTGTTTTTTTTCATATGAAATTATAAAACAATAATAAAGTAACTTTATTAGTTTTATTAACTTTAAATTTATTAAAAAAATTGAATAACCAACTTAATTATTAATATAATAATATTATTATTAAAAGCTTAATAACTATTTTTCATTTGATTTATATAATTAATTCTATTTTATAAAAGAGGAGTTTAGCAATGCTATATTATAATATCAATTATTTTTTGAGATACTAAAATAAAGTTTATTAATAATTAAATTTTATTTATGGGAAGCAAAGTAGAGAACTAAATTGAATAATATTCTGGATAAGACTTTGGTGATAAGATTAGTTTTACGGTTGGTGTGAGTTACATGTTAGGTAATAGATAAATCAATATTTTAGCTTCATCTATAGGGTTAGTGAAAGGAGCAATTGAAGGATTTCCAAGATCACTTAATATGCCAAAAAAGCTAATTTTAAATAATTTTTTCAATGCTGTAGGAAAACGAACTTCAACCTATGGATAGGCAGCAGCAAGTGCAAGCATGTTATATTATTTTGTTGGGGCAGGAATGAATCTATTATTTGAAGATGAATTAGCAGATATAAATTAATTGAAAAAGAATATGTTGTGTGGAGCTATTTCAGGAGCAATTTATAAATCCACTTTAGGTATTTGCATTTGACTAATTTTAAGGATTTGTTCCTTTTATTGTTGGTGGTATAGTGGGAGGAAGCATGATTGGAAGTTTAACTTTATTTGTAGAAAATCTTAATAGAAGAGGAGTAGTAGCTTTTGAAATGAAGTTTTGAGAATATGTTTTTTATTCTTTTGTTTTAATTAATTAAATGACTTATTAGTAATTCTAAGAGTAGATTTTAGATGTTATTTTAAAATATTGATAATATTAATATTATTATTATATGTTAAATTCACGTATATGTTAAATAGAAGGTCTTTTAATTGATTCTGAAATTAAAACCATTTTTGTTGAGCAGATAAAAGATTTATTCAAAACTAACATTCCAGAAGTTGATTTAATATTTGATTTTTTGTATTTCAGATAAAGGATTGCAAAAGATAAACCTTTACCAGGTTAGGAATTATAAAATATCTAATTTTGTACATAATTAGGAGAGGGATTAGGAAAAAGGGAGAAAATTCTCTATTTGCTAATAATAGTATTAGGAAGATATCTATATACAAGAATACTCTTATTTTTGGAAGTTAAATAACCTAATATTTACAAAAAAATAAAAAAATTAGAATTTCTTTTTTAACTTTTAAGATTTGGATACTCTTTAAAATTTATAGCATAGGGATAGATGGTTAATACTTTAGAATTATTTTTGATAGGATTTTAAATAAAATAAATAAAAGAAAATTAAACAAGAGAATTAGATTTCGAATTATTAAATAGAACATTAATTTGGGGAGTAATAAATAAATTATTCTAATCTCTATTATTCTCGAGTAGTTATTTGGTGAATTATTGTAAATAATTATTTTTTATGACATCCTTTTTGGGTACATTATAAAATGGAAATGAGAATGGGGCATGTTTTGTTTGTAATTCTGCAATAAAAGCAATGATTACAAGATTAGAACCTTGTAATCATACTTTTTGTTATTATTGTAGTAAATCTAAGATCGATAAATGTCCTTAATGTAATTAATAAATTGAATAATTTATTTATTGAATATTTTCATAGCAATGATTTGAATTCTTCGAAAGAGATCTAATCATCATGATTCTTATCAAAAATATGGAAAACACTGGCTGCTTCATTTTTACTTATTTTACCATCTATTGCCTATTATAAATTATTAATTATACTCTTAATAATAAAAAGAATTCTTCTTAATCAATAGCACCATCACCAGACTTATCAAAACGTTGAAATATTTTACTAACATCTAATTTATTAATTCTCACTGTATTTTACAATTATTTTAATACTCCTGAGGCTCTTTAAGTGATACCATCTTTTTATGTTTAACCTGTGCCCTTACTGAGAATATATGAAAATTCAGGAAAACTAATAGCACCATTATTATCACGATCGAATTTAGAAAACATCAATTAAATTTCATAATCTTTAATTCCAGGTACAATTACTTTGATTAAATTATAAAATTCTTAATAATCTAGATCTCCTTAATGATTTTTATCGTATTTTTTAAATATTTATGTAATATTAATGTTATTAGCCTTGATTACAGCTTAAATGTCTTTAATAATAATTCCTGCTCTATCATTTAGATCAGAAAAATCAAATTCTGTGAATAATTTTTAAAATTCAATATAATTAACTTTTTGATCTTGTCCACAGATTCTTGTAAATAATGCTTAAATTTAAAATTGAGTAGTATTATGATCAACAGCCAAAATAAGTTCTTTAAATTCTTTAGCATCTAAAATATTATTTTTGTCTTTATCGAATCTTTGAAAAATATAATGTGGATCTATATTATTCTCAGCAACTACTTCTTACAATTTCCTTAATATCTTAATACATTATTATGGTAATTCATAATTTTATTTCTATTATAATTGACCAGATTGATTCATAGTAAAAATTGGATGAGTAAAAATTTCATTCCAACCAATACGATTAGCTTCCTCAATCATTAAACATTTTTTGATGAAATCTTTAGAATTTTCATTTATTGGTCTTTCATAAGGAAATCGTAAGGGTTATGTTTTGATACTTCTTAAAAAACTATTCATATCTCTGCAAGACCAGGCCGTTTTACCGAAAAGAATTTCATAATACATCATTCCAATAGACCAGATGTCACTTTTGGCTGAATATTACTATTTATTTAAAATCTGAGGAGACATATAGATAGGAGTACCAACACATTCTCTTAGTAATTATCTTCCTGTTATATCAATTTTAGTAGCGAATCCAAAATCAGCCACTTTATATACATTACTTTTAACTAGACAATTTTCAGGTTTTATGTCTCGATGAATATAGTTATGTGATACTAATTCTTTGAAACCATTCATCAATTATGCTAGTACTTCTATAGCTTATTATTCCTACATATGACCCTTTTTATGCATTACAGATCTGAGATCTGAATCACATAATTCTATAGCCATATATGTTTATTATTTATTGCCAAATACATCAAGCATTCTAACCACATTAGGTGATTTCAAGGTTTACATAACTTTTATTTCATTTTTTAATGAATCGATCATAAACTAATCTTAGAATAATTTCATATCCAAAACTGAAAATATATATTAATCTATTACTTTTCAAAGCCACAATCTCTCCAGTTTTTATATTTTTAGCCTTATACACACTACCAAAACTACCTGCCCCTAGAAATCCCTTTTTGTCATATTAATAGTTTTCTATGGTTTACATAATTAATTAATTATATCAAATTTTATTGCAATTAATTTAAATATAAAGATTGAAATAAATATTATCAATTAACAGATGAAAGCTACATTACTTTTTTGGGTATAGTTATTATAATATAATTTTTATATTAAATATTCTTAAAAACTCAATTATTTATTTCTTCATTCTTTTTAAACAAAGTTTATCTAGCCTCTAAATTGAATCTATGTAATCCACTCTTTCCTGTATCATAATTTTCAGCTAATTATTCAGCTTCTTATTCCACTATTTGACGATGAAGATATTTAAAGGACAAACCCTATAATTTATTCAATATACTTAACTTTTTCTTTCATTTCTTTTTATGCTCTTCTCTTTAACATCAATTTTTATTATTGTCTACCTTTAGAAGTCAGGAATAATTAGAATCTTCTTATTTTTGCATAATCAGCTTTTTCCCTTACTAATTGATCTTTCATTAAATATGAAATAACACTAGGAGTTTTCCCTTAGACAAAATCTTTGAACATCTATAAATATAATAAAATAGAAATTAAACCTCTTTAGTAGGTCTTTCTTCTAATATAACTTTGATTTGACTAGTCTCTCTAAATGCTGGATTTATTCTAGCCTTGGCATGAAATCTTGCCTTTCTGAATTTCTTATATCTGCCAACTTAAATTGAATGAACATAAAGTCTTTCTGGATCATACCCTCTTTATACAGCATGTGATCTAACCATGACTAATGTTTTAGCTAAAAATTAAGCTGCTTTTCTTCCTGAATCAGCAATTGCCTCTTAAGCTTGATAAAGATGCATATTAATCAAAGGTCTACAAATAGGAATTAATCTTCTTAGAGAAGCAGGTACTTTTCTATTTAAAATGAATTGTCATAATCAATACCTTCTTATTCCACTAATTAAAATTTTCTCTTATTTTGGTACTTTTTTGACAATAAAAGGTGTATTATTTTCAGTCTCTGTTGCTGTTTCAGTTTTTGTTACTTCTACATTCTTAACTTTAACTTTAATGAAATTATTGGGATTGCTGTCATTTTGTTTCAAATTGTAAATATATTGTTAAAAATTTTTAGCATCTTCTTCCAATTAAATTTATCTTAATCTTTCTGCTTAAAAAGGATCTTCAATCTCTAATCTGATTTACTCCCTGGTCTTTTTCTCTGGTTTAATAGTTTTGATTATGGAGCCAGCTCTTGTACGCAATCCAAATTAGGCATGACAAATGTGATTCAAACGAAAAGCAATTTATTTCATAAATTAATTTACTCTTATATATCTCATACCCAATCAACTGGTTTAAGCAATACACCAACAATTCTTGCTTCTTCTGTACCTTCTTTTGGATGATAATTATATTCCCATCTGGCTGTAAGTGGCAATGACATTAATATACTCTCAATTCTAGCATCTGGAGTCATTAAACCAAATTTAGTTCCTCTATCATGAATAAGATTAAATTCAGCATAACGACCTATTATATAATCTAAATATTTACCTCTTCTAAATGATCTCCAACGAACATTTTCATCATTATAAGGAGTATCCTTTCTCTTATTTATAATAGCTTCATAGCTTTTTAAGTTAGCATAAGCAACTGCTTTCTAGAATTATAAACCTTTTTCAAATGATTCCAAATTGAAATCATCATAAAATACTCCACCAATTCCTCTTGCTTCTTTTCTATGATGATTTACAAAGTATTCATCACATTCTTTTTTGTATTATCTATATAATTTATCATCTCCAGTAACTTCTACTATAGCATCTCTAATATTCTAATGATAAAATTTAGCATCTTCGTCAAATAAGTAGATTGGAGTGAGATCACTTCCTCCTCCAAACCAAGAATCAATGACTTTGCCTATATATTAATCTATATATTAATATACCTGTCTCACGTTCTTTGATTCTTATTGTACGGAAGTTAGCATGAACAGTTGGACAGAAAGGATTAATTGGATGAATTACAAGACTTACTCCATTAGCATAAGTATCATATTGAGCAAGATTATTCATATCTATTTGATCCACTAATTGATTAATGTTAAGAATAATACAATTGCTTCCAGGAACCCTTCTTCCTTTCATTTATTGATAAATTCCTTAACTCAATGGAATTGTGATTCTTGAAACATTGACACCAGCTTTCTCAAAGAAATTACCATCCTTAACATATAATAGGATGTATATACTTAAATAACACAAGTCAGTCCGTGACCTCGGCCATCTTCTCTTGTCCATGCTTCTTTAATGGGTTCAGCTTTGCCTAATAAATATTATAAAAAATGAACTCACTTTCAAATCTGAATAGCATATCAAAGAAGTTTTTTTAATATTCATCTACAAAAGCAGAGAAAACATCTTCATTCTAATTTGGATCCATTCGGAAAATATAAAATTAAATCAAAAATATTTTTAGGATATTATCAATTTATATACTAGATTAAACATACCCCCGTTGATTAATTAAGCAATATTATTTTATTTATAATTTCAATTATTAAAATGAATTTGGAAGAGTAAATGCTTCTAGAGAGATTAAAACTTAATAAGAAAATAGAAGAGCGTTATAATATAGTCATGTAGTAAATATAATAAAAGAGCCATTAAGAAATTGAATTAATTAAACGTGAATTAGAAAACATGAAATGCATGAGTGATGTGTATGAGTAAAAATTTATTGAAATGGAAGAGTAAATAAAAAAATAATAATCTATCATTTAAAATGTTGAAGAAAAGAATGCTGAATTACTTATACAAAATTTTTAACTCTAAAAGGAAATTTAATTGAAGGATGAAATACTATTTAAGAATGTAAAGGAATGCCTAAATTTGCAATCTTAAAAGAGAAATCAAACCAAAGGAACTCTTTATTTTAAATAAAAAGTAAAAGAGAAATAAAGAATAAAAAAACTAAAATAACTAAAGGAAGAATAAAAAATGCTTAAAGATCGTAATCAATATTTAGAATAATTGATTGAATAACAATTGCCTCCAGATTAAGTAATGGAGTATTTATCAAAAAAATGTAAAGTGTTGTAGAAATAGTTTGATGAATTAAATTATAAATATATTTTAAAGAAATGAATAATCCCAATTAATGTAGAGATTAAAATCTTCACTATGAACAAGTTTATTTAGGATATATAAACTTAATTTTATAAGAACATAAAAATTACGTTTATACTTTCAAAGTACCTTGAGAAATTTTAATCAAAATTATTTCTGCAATATATAATTCAGTTTAAGATTCTAAAATCATAATATTTCAATAGAGCATTAGATCATTCTACAAATTTGTTCGAGACTGAAAATAATAAACTAAATGTTAAATTTGCATAGAATGAAAGAGCTATTAATTACATAGCAATAATTGAGATGAATGTAAATTATGTAGCACTATTTGATACTAAGTAGTTGAATTAATTCTATTTAAAGATGACCATTTTACTATTAGGCAAATTAAAGAGTCATAAATACTTTGATAATGCTATAGTAAGGGTTTCTAAATCAAAAACTTAACTTATTTGTGTATTAGATGTTTTTCTGCTTTGAATGGAAGCTTTTCAGAATTATAAAATAAATTAAATAACCTTATTCTATTGGTAATTGTTAGTATTGATAATTCTCTAGACATCCAATTAGAATATATATAGTAGAAAATTAAATAGGTAATTTATCATGATCCTTAATAAAAGTGGATTAAGTAAGCATTTGCTATAATAAATTGTGTTAAATTTTAAATGTTTGATATTAACTTAATATAATTTATTTTAATAATGTAAGATTAGCGTGATTAGTTAATTCTTGATATTAAGATTGCCAATTATAGGAAACAAAAATAATAAAAGATAGAATAGGAATAATAATTTAAAGAATAATTACCAAAAATTAAATAACATAAGGCCTAAATATTTTAAGATGATATGCATCATTTTGCTAAATTATTATTTACTGGTTTTCCAATAGCTATGGGATCAGTCATAATTTTCAGATCATTAATTATATTTCCATTTGCTATTTGGACCACAAATTATATGTAAAATAACATGCATAAATTATATGAATATTTAGAGAATAATTAATGATGATTAAATAAAAAGTAAATTTTAGTACTATTAATAATAACATCATTTTTTTTCATAAGGGCGTATATATAATTAAGAAAATATTTCTTTTTTTCCTCCTATTTCCCTTTCAATATGATGATTTTTATTTATTCCTCCTCCTCTATTAGTATTACTTATATAACACAATTTTGGTGGTTTAATATCTTCCAAGTCTTCTTTTATCTAATCAGTTGTTACTTAAGATAAAGTGTTTGGTTCCTTTTTTTAAATGATAAATTTAGGTTTTATTTATCTAGATTATTTTATCTCCTAAGTTTTAGTATAATGACATCCCATTTCAATAATTTTTTTATTCTTTTATTCAAAGAATTTAGTGTTCAATATAAAAAATCAGCGTTATAAAAATAAATATTTTATATAATAAATTTATAATATTGAGTTAAATCAATTTTTTTATTATGAGTATTTTTATAATGGATTACCTTAATTTTATTATTATTATGGGAGAGTTCTAAATTAATTAATTAATACATTACTATTTAAATTACGAAGGTTTAATCATAGGTGATTATTAAAAAGTGTTTTAACATTTTTTATTTTTTGGAGTACCTATATTAGGTATACTATCGAATGTTTCTATTTTTCCATTTAACAAAGGAGAATTCATTTATAATTGATTTAAAGAGTCTATTATCTTCTATTATTTTAATTATTTTGTATCTAATATTCCTGGTGAACCTGGAGAATTTACAATGGCATTTCTTCTGAAGGCATCAAATTTAATAGTTCTAGTAAATATATAGAATAATTATGATACTCTTCATTTAATTAATTCATTCTTGTAGCAATTTATCCAAATTCATCACCTTCATCAATTGAATCATTTGCTGAATCATCTGCCATTTAGTTATTTATTTCAGCAAGGAAAGGATGCTTTAAACAATCAGAAGCAGAGATTCTTTTATTTGGATCTTTCTCAAGCATATTTCTCATTAGATCCATTGCTTAACTAGGTGCTTATTGTAATTGTTTAATTTTAAAGTCTATTGTAGCTTCTCTGTTTTATTTTACTACAGTTCCATAACTTTTACCAGGAAAGGCTTATTTCCCAGATAATAATAAGTAAAAGACAAGTCCTAAACTGAAAATATCACAAACTTCACTATAGTGTCCTTTTACATCCTTAATATTTATAACTTCAGGAGCTACATAACCAGGAGTACCGCATCTATAATATAAATATACAGGTTCATCAACTTTAGTTGCTAAACCAAAATCAGCAATAACAACTGAATCCATTTTTCTAAAATACATTTTATTTATACCTTTACTATTTAAATAGGATGTTTTCTAATTTTAGATCCCTATGCATGATATTTTTTTGATGCATATGATTTAATCCTTACAATACTCCAACCATTATCTATTAAATTTAAGTAGTTGAGAGTAAAGTTTTCTCTTTTATTAAATCATACAAAGATCCTCCTTCTAATAATTCAAGTGCCACATATAGTGAATTTTAGGTTTCATATACTTCATACATCTACATTATATGTGAATGATTCAGTTATCTCATTATTTTTAATTCATTTAAAATAGCTTCTTTTCCATTTTCTTCTGCATAAGCTGCTTACTTAGAAAATGCTTTAATTGCCATTTTTTTTGAATCCTCAATTTTCTATGCCAAATAAACCTATAAACTGTTAATTTGTTAAATTACTGATGCAAAATTTCCCTTCCCAATTTTTTTGTAAACTCTAAACATTTGGTGAAATTGCCATTAATTTATCCTGTTGCTCAAAAACTCTCTCCATTACTTAATGAGTCTTTCTCCTCCAAAATATTTCTCTTATATTATTGTTTCATTTCCTAAATCTTTTATTATACTTATTCCTTTAATTTAACCCAAAGAATCATCATCATCACTTTTTTTTACAACATTCTCTCTCAATATTTCAAACTTTATATCAAAATCTAATTTTATGTATTTTTTTGGCTCTTATTGCAAATCCTATACATTAAATACTCAGATTACTTTCATATAAACAATATAATTATTAAACCCTAAGAGATAGCAAACTTTGCCATTCTCTTTTGTAAACTAAGATTAAATTATCATATCATCCTCTCTCCATTTTAAATCTTTGGGAATACTTTAATAAAAATTCTTCTTCATCAAGTTCTTCTTTATATAATTAATAAATTTTTAACCAGTTGAATCAACGATTTAAATCAATGATAAATAATAATAAATTAAATTAAATCATTTATCATTCCTCCTTAGGTTTATAAAATTTTTCAATTAAAAATTGTTTTATAGCTTTTAGATTAATATTTAAGATAAATTTCATTGGGGATTGAAGACTCTATATTATATTAATTTTGAATATTAATAAATGCATTTCTATCATTTAATCTTCTCATTTAAAATACTCATCTATATTCAAAATTTTCCATGTGAAATCTTTACCAAGACTATCAATAATGATCTAAGCTTCTGCTTATGGACTTTTCTCTCTTTATAATTACATGATTTATTCAGTTAATATTTTTGCATCTATAAATGAAAACCTAGTTGTTGAATGTGTTCTGAAATCTATTCTATGATATGCTTCTTCAAATTTCTACTTTATTAGAAATCATTTTACTTCTTAACCACTTATAGATAAAAATAAAGGTGATCTAATATAAATTGCAATTTCAATGATTCCTCTTTATACAGTCATTGTCTTAAAATCTATTCCAGTTTTATACATCTTTGCTAATTTAGTACCATGTCCTTAAACAAAGTCAGGTTTTTAATCTAAGAGATCTTAATTATGATCACAAGAAAAATGTAATGTTGAATTTCCATACATAACATTAGTCTAACATTTATCATTATAAACTAATTTTAATTTTTGTCCATTTTTTTCTATTTATTTCAACCCATCTATCAATGCCTTACTAATATTTTTATCACAATTTTCATGTATAAATTCTTCATAATCTGAAGATGTTAAACTTTCCAACAAATTTTAATAAGCTAATAAAAACCCTTCACTCAGATTAGAACCAAAAATGGTGTTTAGATAACCTTCTATAGAGGAATCATGAATGGGTTTTACTCCTTTGAAATTGTATGGAAATTTAACTGTTGAAAAGTGAAATAATCTCACTAATTTCATACAAAAATATATTAATAAAACCAATCAAAATTATTCAATAATTTCTATCAAATATAATATTAAATGAATTTTCTTAAACAAATTACTTATTTTATATTTGTAAAAAATCAATATATCATCAATTGATAATAAAGAAATCAAAAATAATTTGATAAATATATATAATTATTTTATTTTTTTATTAACAATAAGTATATACTTTCAGATATATAAATATATTATAGTAATTGAATTATTTATTTTCAAATTGAATTCTTTAACTAAAAGAGAAATAATAGATAATAACTATTTAACAATTTGTTATTTAAAAAAAACTTAATGTCAAAATCTCCTTAAAATTCTGTATAATTCTTAATTATTAAAAATAAAAATGATCAAAGTTGTGAAAACAGTTAATAAAATCTGTTTATTAAGTATAATATGATATACATTATCCTATTATTATCAGAAGAACAGTATAGATAAGAAAATGTATAATATTTTTAAAATAACTTGATGACATATTTTAATGACGTATTCGTATTTGTTGTGCCAAGATTATGACAAAGCAAAAAGATAAATCATTTTATTAAATAAAAAACAAAATTATATGAAGGCGATTTTACTATTAGTTCTTTTGGCAACAGGATTGGCAACTGAATCATTTTTATCAACTTCTTAAGATATTAAAGAGATGGAGTTATCTGAAAGCAATTTTTAGAATTTCTTAATAGGTTACGCTTTAGGTAATTATGTATATAGATAATATATAGGAATTGGATTGTTGGATGCAATTCCAGATGCATTAGGTTGTGTAGGCACAGTGACAGGATTTAAAGATTTATTTTAAAAAGCCATAGATGATCTTAAGACTAATGACTTAGAACATATTGTAGAAGGAGTATAAATATTTGCCAAACTATTTGATGGAGTAGCAAGTGATTGTGGAGATACTGCTATTGAAGCAGTGACTTCCTATAAAAATATTATGGCCATAATAAGAGGTATATAATTTTATATATATTCAATAAGCTAAGGGATTCATTAAATAAGGATGGATTAATATTGGTAAAAATTTGGAAACTGTGGTTGATGATATATAATAATTCTTTTTCTTGGGTGATGATGATTGGATGTTGAAAGGTGCCTATATTGGTGATATTGTAAAGATTTATGTAACTGGAATACCAAATGATAAATGATTATGATAAAAATTGAACAATATATTTTTTAAAATATTCTCATTTTTGTTCTTGATTAAGTTCTGTTGTTATAATTTACTCTTCTTTTATAGGTTCTGTTGTTATTATTTACTATTCTTTTATAGGTTCTTAATATTTGCATATTTAGCAATTGTTTTTTGAGAATACAGGAAAATTCACTATTTCAAAAGTAGTTAAATAAAACAAAACTTTCCTAAAATATTAATAAAATATATCATACTTGCTTGCTTAAGAATCTGCTTATTCATTTAAATAATTTAATAGTAATTATGTTGCAAAGTTTCCAGCAGTTGAGCATAATACTTGATGAGATTGACCTTATGGTTTATTATTTGAAGGTAAAAAAGAGATATTTTTTAAATTTGTTATCTTTTCTTTAGTGATTTGATTCAAATATTCTTCTTTCAGACCATCTGTCATGCATCCATAACAAGGTGTTCCTAAATATATTTCTGCCATAAAAGATTAAGCAAAACTTCCAGCAATTATCATTGGAATATTGTAATAAAGACATAAACTTTATACTGCAGCATCCCAATAATCTCCATAATCAATACAGTTAAAAATTGCAGTTGATTAAGAAGCCATCTCTACAATTTTATCCCAGTTTTATACAGCATCCAAATCAAACATTTAAATTTCTGTATTGCCTACGTTATGGAATGATGCATTTTCAAGAGCAGCTTTTACTTTCTATTGATTTACATCTTTGCTAAAATTTAGATATTTGATTTTACTTAGAATAAAGTGTTTATCTATTTAGATTATGAATTTCAACACGATCATAGTCAACCATAAAGATTTTCTTAACTCCTAATCTGAGTAGATTAGTTGTTGCAACAGAACCTATACCTCCTACTCCAAGAATTAGAACAACTTGTTAGGATATTTTATCTTATTTCCAATCCTCTATAGTAATTTATCTTGAGAATATTATTTTAGAATCCATAATTTAATTAATCATTTTTTTTACATACGTCATATCTTTTATATTGATCAAATTTTTAGTTTTCTGATTATTCACTAAATTATATAGGGAACATATATAAACTAAATAAATCTAATATATAATTGTATTTACATTCATATAAAACTAACAAGTTATTAGTTTAGACTTTAAATATAATGTTTATATTAACAGTTCTATAAAATTTATCTGTGAATTCATTTTAATGAATATAACATATATAATATGGATTAAAATATTAAGTTACATAAATAGTAATTAAACTTTTATTATATATCTATATTTATATTGTATGTAAAAAGAATCCAAATTTATGAAATTTAATAATAATATTTGTAATCTTAGATATAAAAATCATTTATCTTTATTTAATCTATAACTCAATATATTTAGATCTTCATCACATAAATTGTTTGTTATTATTTTTGATGATTCTATATCATAATCTTCAATCTTAAAGTCTCTTGAAGGTAATTCATTGTTTATTTCATCTTTTTGTTTTTCAAATAATTTATTTGGCAATTGAATTCCATAATCTTAAAAACGAATCATAGATTAAAAATTTGCTTATGATCTCAAAATAAAATACAATCTAGAAATTTCATGAATCTAATTTACAATTGATAATTTTATTATAACATTTTATCTAACTTTATTATACCATTTATTAAATTCTTTTTAATTTATTTTTTCTTTTTCATGTCTAAGTTCAATTGTTCTTCCCATACAATTTTTAATTTTTTTAATTTACTTAAATTAAGGATAATAAACACTAATAATTTCATCAATAATTTTATTTTCTAATTCTTCCTTATTAAATTATTATATAAACCATGATACAGTCAAAAGTAGATTTGCAATTGATCCTACTTCAGCCAACATTTCTCCTATTTTAACATATGTTATTTGTTATACTGTTTCAATTGGATCAATTTTAAATGCAATTTATATGAATACATCATCCTATATAATAGATTTGCTAAGGTTATTTGATAATGTTTGAGTTAACACTGTAAAATCTGAAAAATAGACAAAACGTTTTTAATTTGAAAATAATGGATGATCATCAATAATAGATTTTGTATTTTAAAATAATAGATCTGCTTTCAAAGCTAAATTGTCTTATAGTAAAAATTGTAATCGTTTCTCAACTTCATATAATTGTTAATCAGATGTACTAAATTATTATAATGTGACAGTAATTTCTATTGGAATCAAACCTAAATTCAAAAAATTTGAAATCTCAGATTCAGAAGCGCAAGTTTGATTGTGTTTCAAATATTGTTATTTACATGTTGTTATTAATAACATATACACTTTATTATTTTCTTAGCTTTTATCATTACGCATATTTTTAACTAATTCCATCTATTCCATTTCAACTAAATTTGTTCCATAATCTGATAATTCATTATTATTTAGAATAGATCTATATGATATTGGTTTATTATTTTCCAAAACAGCTACCATGGGCATCAATATATTACCCTATTCAGAGAAAGGATCTATATCTTAATCTTCATATCGAATATATGAAATAGCAATCAAATCATTAGGCATCATGAATTTTGAAAAAGCTGCAACAGATGATTCAATTAGAATTTTTGGTAGTATTTATCCTGTCTGCCATTATTGTAATACAAAAATAAAATAAGCCAAGCATACACCATATACTAACAAAGTAAAAACACCTCCTATAATCGATTTATGTTCATGTTCTGAATTAGTAATCCTAGGCTTGAATTCTGCCCCAAAGTTGTCAATTTTAGATAAGTAATGAAACATATATTATAAATAAAAAGTAAATATTCATTTTAATTTTGAGATGAAAAGGGGTTAAATTTTACTTTAAGCAAATTCTAAGCTTAATCTACTTGTAACCATAAAATTGTTTGACAGATCCTAAGAAAATTAGTCCTTTTATGACAATTATCTACTATGATAAGGAGAGTAAATTTATGTAAGAGTTAACTTTCCATTAGGACTTAGATTACCCTACTTATATTTTTATGTTAAACGTTATTTTGGTTATAAAATGTTGGATAAATTCTTTTTAGATTCTGTTTTCTTTTTTATTATATATTATCTAATTTTAGAAACTTTTTCAATTTAAAACCAAATATGATTAAGTGCCTCATGTGATGATAATCTTTCATTTTGATCTTCATTTAATAATTAAGTTAAAAACCCCAATCCTGCATTACTTAATTTACAATAATGAAAATTAATTTAACCTAATTAATTATTCAAAACAATTTATTTTGGATTTGGATGATCAAATGGATTCTTTCCAGTTAATACATAATACATTATGATACCAACACTATAAACATCAACTTTATAATCATAATGTTCATTTCTTAAAATCTCTGGAGCTATATAACCAGGAGTTCCACATCTTTTAAATAGGTAAAATCCATCATTGTGATAAAAATCAGCTAAACCAAAATCTGTTAAACATGCACTATCTATGTTATCAATTTATCTAAATATTATATTTTCAGGTTTAATATCTCTATGCATGATTCCTTTAGAATGTAAATATGATATAGTTTTAATTAATCTAAATATAAATTTTGCTGTTTTTTCCTCTGAAAAAAATGATGTTTTTTCTATATGTCCATCTAAATCTTTTCCTATTAGTAGTTCCATTATAATATAGATATTTTCAGTATTTTCAAAGATTTCATAGAATTTAACACAAAATTCAGTTTATACAATTCTTAATATTTTGATTTCTTTGAATAAAGCAATTAAATCAGCTTCATCTATAATTTATGATTTTTTTAATATTTTGACTGCATAATCATTTCCATCAGCATGACACTTAGCTCTATAAACCTATTAATATTATATATATGTAATACTTCTGTAAATCTTCCTTTGCTTATTTTTTTTATCAAAGCATAATACTTTTGAAAATCACTTTATATTGTATGTCTTTTAAGTATTTTAAACCATTATTGAGTATCACAATAAAATTCGACTGAATCAAAACATTTAACAAGACGTATTCCTTTTTGATCTTGTATTTAATCTATAATACAATTTTCATAGTCTAACCAAAAGGATCGATTCTATTTTGTATTAAAGTAGTATTACTTGATCTTCATAGACTAAGAAATTGTCATAAACTCTTAAATCTCTGTTTTTGAATGAATCACCTTCTTTCATTTTGACTATGTCTCTATGTTGATAGGAAGCAAATTCAAAAGGGAGAGGTGTAGAATTCCATTTCATTTGAGTATAATTCAATTAAAAGAAAGATCTACAATGTTTATATTCACAACTATTTTTAGAGATTAAAATGATTACCTTGGATTGAGATCTTTATCAATCATCTATAGATTTATTTAATATCATCCCATAAATTTATTTTTTTCATAAATAACTAATTATAAGTTAGTACTGTATAAAATTATAAGGGAGAGATCATTTGTCGGATGCCAGCTCTTGTGATGAGTGCATGGCTGATTTGATTTCATCTCTAAATAAAACTATGTGTCCTACGCGAGCAAATTGTATTATAAATTTGCAATTCGAATTAAACACATAAACATACATAATATTATCATTATACAATATTATTCATATTTTTTAAGTATATTTAATTCTTCAAAAAATTAATTTAACATCTTTATTTATATTTGCTCAATAAAATGGAAAATGAGAAAGACATAGAGAATTCAAATTCTATGAAGTCTTTGTACTTGGGTCGTACACTATTAATGTTAACACATGTTTTAGTTATATGGGGACTATATACAACATCATTTTATGAAAATTCATAATTATCAATCCTATATTATTTGAGAGCATTTACTTTTTGTTTTTGGGTATTACTATCGACCTGTTAGATCAGAACTTCTTTTTCAGATCCTGGAGAGGTTCGTTAAAAAAGTGTTCCAATTAAATTGTAATTAGTTCATGAAATGTATAATCGAAAATGTAAGAAATGTAATTCATGGAAGCCACCTAGAGGACATCATTGTAAAAGATGTAATAAATGTATTTTCAAAATGGATCATCATTGTGAATGGGTAAATAATTGTGTTGGAGCATTGAATTAAAAATACTTTGTTCTATTTCTTTTTTATTTACTATTGTACATTTTTACATTGTTAAGTATTCATACTATAGGAATTTGTGATTATTGCATGAAATCAAAGAGAAAGATCTTACCTATGTTAATGACAATAACAACTACAAAATGTTAAATTTTTAGTATTCTTTTATTTAGTTTCTTTTTTATAATCTTTGTAAGTTAAATGATTTGGGATTAAATTTCAGCAATTATAGATAATTAAACAGTAATAGAATCTAGATAAGGTAAATTTGGTAGATAATAATCATTTATGAATAATTTTAAATAAGTATTTGGTGATTAAGATTGGTATCATTGGTTCTTACCAACCTAACCAAAATTAAAATTAAATTATGCTGAACTTGTATATGCCGAAGAACTTATTAATTAAGGAACTTAATATCTAGAAGATATCATATATGATCAAACTAATCCAGCCAGCATTCATTTTGCAGAATATATGTTCGATAACTATTCTAAATAAAAATGATTCAACAAATATATTATTATATTTTAATAATTTAATAATTGTTATGAATTGAGGTGGTTTCAAATTGAAAACCACAATTCTTTGTAGTTCTGCAATAAGAAGGCCACCTTAAGAATTAGCCTCTTTGGATCTCTATTAATAAACAAATATAAATCATATTCCTCAACTTATTTTAACACTAACTTAAGAAGTCTAAGACATAGAACTAAAATAGGCATAAGAATTACAGATTAATATTATACAATGCCAACTCAAGAAAACCAGATAGATCATCATATGAGACTTAAGACTACTCAAGGTTCTTAAAGAATAACTTAATAATCAACTAAAAATTAATTAGAAACTTTAGCAGATGGTTTATTTAAAAATACCAGTATCAACCAATTAGATACTCATTAATTATGTGAATAAAAATTTCAAACTTTACCTTTAAATTCTTTAAAGTACTAATAATCATTATATATAATTTATAGGATTATATGTACTAATTCTCAATAACAAATAAATATGCCTTCCTTACTTCATCAATAAATTTCTAATTTAGATAGATTTTTAATTGTAAGTAATCTTGGTCAAGTTTCCTATGCAACTGTTAAATTAGCTAGAGATAAATTTACAAAAAAGTATATAACTATGTAAATTATAGATTAATTGCTATTAAGATATATTCCAAATCTAAATTATGTAATTAGCATAGGAGATAATAATTGAAAAGAGAAATCCATATACTCAAATTATTAGATCATCCAAATATTTTAAAGTATGTTAATTAATTTAATTGTTGAATATGGTGATTTGAGATCATATTTGAAAGTATAAGTAATAATTTGAAGATTATGCTAAATTAATATTTAGATAAATTGTAAAAGCTGTAGATTTTTGTCATTCTTTGAATATTATACATAGAGATATTAAACTTGAAAATAATCTCTTAAAAGATAATAATGAGATTAAATTAATAGATTTTGGATTTTCAGTCTTAGTTAATAGAGATTGTAAATTAGGTGTATTTTGTGGAACTCCTAGGTAATGATAATTAAAATTTTTTAATTAGTTACATGGCTCCCGAATTTGTCAATAAATAGTATTATTTTGGTAAACCTATTAATGTTTGGGCCTTGGGAGTTTTACTATATGTTTATTAACAGGTCATTTCCCATTTAAAGGATCAAATGATTCTGATCAATATGGATAAATTAAAAAAGGAATATACAAAAAAGCTAATGTGTCCCATTAATGTCAAAAATTAATTTAATAAATGTTAACCATCAGAGCTAATGAGAGAATAACAACATTAAGAGTATAAAAAAAATAAAATACTAGATCTTGTAAGACAGATGGTTCAATTATTGATTTTAATTAATTTTATGTAATAAAGAATTCGTCTTCAGTTTGCAAAGGATCTTAAAAAAACTTATGGTTCAAAATAATCATAATCAAGTGAATTATCTGATAGTCAACTTCAATCCTCATAAAATTAATCATCATAAGTATCTTCATTTGCTTTTAAAACTTCAATTCCTTAATTTTCTAAATAAGAAATCGAAAAGCATGATTAAACCTTGAAAGAACAAACTTAGATATATAATGAGAGAAAAAAGAGAAATGGATAGAAATTTTAGCGTTTAACAAAAGAATAATAATCATAATTAGTTAAACTTATTAAGAGTGATCCTTAATTTTAAAATTAATTGAGTGAAGCTATAATTAAACATACTGAAATTGCATCATTCATTAAGAAGGCTAATACACTTAAAATTATGAAATCATTAAATAAAACAGCTATTGAATTTAAAACAAATATGACTAATAAAATATAAGCTATCTTTCTCAATCACCAAAATTAAACATATAATAAACTTAAATATTTACTATAAGAAAAAGAGTAATTAATGATTAAAGTATTGGAATAAAAATTATCTACTTATGTTGATATTAAATCAAATTTCAAAGATGCTTTATTAATATAATTGAATAAAACATTATAAACTCATTTAGAAGAAAACTGTAAAAAATATACTTAAGCTTTATCATCATAATTATTAATAATGTATGAAGGAATTGCATAAATTATTGGGCAACATATTGAAATTAATAAAGAAAATAAATTTGAATAAGAATTATATCAATAATTGTAAAAAGTTAAAGATTACTTTGCTAATTGTGAATAATAATATGTTAAAGTATTTATATGATAAATATCTTTTATAGCGTCTATAAACAGATATGAATGAACATTATATAAATGCAATATAGACTATTATTTAAGTGTAATAAAAACTTAAATTAAAATGAATAATATTAGTAATATTATATTATTAAACTCAATATAAATATACACATTTAAAATATAATTCATTTATTTATTATATGAAATAATTAAATATATAGACATTTTTTATTTGATTGAGCTCTTTATTAAACAATTTAAGTAAGAATAAATTTTATATATTTTTGATAATAAAATGATAAATAAAGAAATCAAAACAAAATATATAAGTTATAATATTAATATTCAATCATAAACATGCTTAAATCCTACATCTGTCTCGCATGACACAATTCTTTTTTCTAATGTAGTTGTAACATCTAGTAATTTATCTTTATCGCTTTTCAAAACATTTAATTGAGCATCTAAAAATTCACTATCATGTTAAACATCTTAAGATTTTTTGATAGTTTCATTTAGAAGTCTTTTAGCCTAGATTTTTACATTAATTTTACATCATTTTGTATAAATGTAGTTAAATCGTCATTCATTTTTCCATGACTATTCTTTAAAGTTGAAATTTCCATTCTTAAATTAGACATTTCTTTTTTGCTATTTTCTAAGTCTTTTTTCAATTCAGCCAAGTAATTCTAAATGATTTCAATTTTTTACTTCTAATTTAATGACGTGATCTTTAACATTTAATTAGAGACTCTCCTCAATTGATTTCTATCTCTTAAGCATTAATCTTTATCTTTCTTTTTCAGGATCAAGCTCCTTATCAGATTCTAAACTTTCGTTAAGCATATTAAAATATTAATAAATATCATTATGTGGCACTTGCCTTCTAAATACTTTAATATTATTTTTCATAATCACTGGGTGATAGTTTTTATGCTTACTAAATCTTCTCTTAAACCTTTTATTATCTAGCTAATGAATTTTATAACTCCATCATAGCCAATTATTCAATTTATTCTAATTCTTATATTTTTAAATCATATAACTCCTTTTCTTTTTCTATTCTATCTTTCTCATTTTCTATTTCATATCTTACTTTCTCTCTTTTCTACTTTAATTTGGAAATAGCTAATTAAGTAGATTATCTCTCTTCTTCTTTCACTTAAATTGCTTTGATACGATATCCTTCCTATTCTAAACTTTTTTATAATTAAACACTCTTAAAATCCTACTTTAATTATTCTCTAAAGATTTTGGCTTCAGACTTCTTTCTTTATAATTCATCCTCCTTTATTTTCTTCAATATTTCTCTTTGATGATGAGAAATAGCCAATGAGAATGGAGGTGGTTAAGCTTATTTCTATTTCATTTTATTTTCTTTCTAATCATTTAGTTTTAAGTGAATGATACCTTCAATTAGATTTCTACTCTATGTCTATATATTTCTTCTGCTCTTTATTCATCTTATTGAATATGCTTTAAAACTTTTTCATGTTCTATTTTCAATTAAAGAATCCTATTTTTTATCTTCTATGCATCAGTTTCTGCTTGTTTCTTTTAAACTAAAGTTGAAAATAAAGTTTTTTTTTCTTATGGGAGTTCTCCTGAGGACATATTATATAAAATAAATTATTAATTAATAAGCATAAATATTAGCCAAGATTTTCAAATTTAATGATACTATTACAAAATATAATGTGATTTGCAAATGAAACTTAATTAATATTATATATAACTAAAGAATGAATAATAACAACTATGTAATTATGTAAAATTATGTCATTTTTTCTATTATTAACCCCATTGTCCATAATTCTATTATTATTATGGGTATTAGACATATGGTTATTACTATTATTATGGATAGTATTAAGGTGGATAGGGCATTTATTATGGATAACCTTAAGGATTAGGTTATTATGGATAATTAGGATTTGGTATTTATTATGGATATTAAGGATTTGGTGGCTATTATGGATATTAAGGATTAGGTGGCTATTATGGATATTAAGGATATTATGGATAAACTGGATATTAATATCCTGATTATTATTATGGTTATTAAGGTTGTTGAGGAGGATTTTATACTTGATTTTGTTAGGATTATTGGTATGTTTATTATTAATTCAATTATGAAATTAATTATTATGATTCAATACTTCTGGCCATTAAAAAATCTTTGACTTTTCTATCTTGTTCTTCTAAATGCATTTTCAATTGCCTAGATAAAAAAATAATTATACTCATAGAAGATTACTGAATGGTCAATATTATCAATAACATTTTAAGCACCAGCAAATATATTAGTTTATCCAGATTATTGGACTTATTCAGCTGATTGTTTTTTAAGATTTGAGAGTTCTCTGGCTAATCCACAAACTTGGGAGATAACTTCTGAGACTTTATTCATCTTTAAGATTTATTATTAAATATTTTACATTATTGTTAAAGTTCTCAATAAGAGTTTATACATTTTAAATGGCCATACTGAAAACTTATTCTTTTGGTATTCCCTCATTTATTCCATTAACAGCAATTTTAGTGAAATTTGTTTCTTGCATGATTTAATTATACTCTTAAATAATAGCCTTTAATTAATCGACCATAGAGTTGACTTATTGATCTGTAGATGTCAATTAACCAAATGTTTAAGCATTTTAATTTACAAAATCTGAATTATTATTATCTTTTGGTAGTTTTTAAATAATAATATTATCATTTTATGTAGCAAGTATAAGAGCTTCTTTTGAATTCTCAAAACCACTCATCACATCAAAATCAATTTTTTATGCTTATAAGTATTTAGCCTTAAGATCTTTCAAAGAATTGAAATATTATTAATTTAATTAATTTGAAGGTATTCTTTTCCATTAAGCACCATATTTATTTCTATTATCTTAATCTTATTGTTATTCATTAAGTAATGCCTATTCAATTTATCCTAACAATTAATTACAAGTGACAGATTTTTATTTTGCTTATTCAACTATTTTTTCAATTCCACTCAAACATCCTCTACTTCTTATATAACTTATTTTGTCTTAAATGCTTTAAGGAATACCTCCTTAAATAAGTTATTTTTATTATGCCATATCAATAAAATAAGTTACATATGTCTCTGCATAAGCTTGATTTTTTTAATCAAATAATTATCTTACTGATTCTTCAAGAGAGTATTTTGTTTATTCTACAAAAATTTTAATCTCTCTAGATAATTATAATGCCTCTTCTGATACAAAACCTGAAAATTTGTTTGCTCCTTAAGCAGGTTCCTTAAAACTTACAGGTTCTATTGGTTTAAGTCTAATTTATTCCATTAGAGGAGGATAAGGTAATAAATCTTAAGCAACTATTTATTCTTTGTAAATTTGTTAATTCTTATAATTATATTCTGTAGTTAATTAAGTTAATTGCTGATTCAATTATTTTAATTAATCAAGTTAATCTGGTGAGTATGTTTTATGTGCATTCTTATCATTAACAATTGGTTATATCAATTATTATGCTCTAATAAGAAAACCCAAAGCTTTGCCCATATTCTAACCTCTAGAATCATCTGATATTCTTCCATAATGAAAGTTACCCATTTATAAACATCCAGTGACAGTTGCCCATATTTAGTTAAATTAAATCATAGGTAAGATTTAAGCAAGAAAATTCTAAGATTAATTAAAATTTAAAGTACTTTTCCAATTTATTTTTAGTATTAAGAATTCATTCCTTCAATAGCTTTAAGAGCTATTGTAAATTCTTTGGCTGCCTCAAAAATTGTTCCACAAACATTGTTCAATCCAAAAGTCTTTACTTGTGACATCATATTTTAATATAGAGCTTTGTATGCAAGTCCACAGAACTAATTTAAAAATTGATCAATACAGCATGTTCTAAGAATTCTAGATTTAAAGTTGAAATATCATATAATTAGGAAATTTAATCTTTAGATAATCCATGAATATGTTATTTTAATTAATCTAATGCCCATAAACCATTTCTCAATTTAGTATATGCAGCTTTACGATCAGGATCTGTATCTTTAATAATCTTGCTATTTGCTTGATAATAGTAAGATATTGCCAAATTATAATATTAGGATAGCAATTCTAATCTGCCAGAATTTAATTGGCAACTTCTTTTCTAGAAATTATAGTACAATAAATAAATACATGATCATAGCTGTCACTCCAATAGAACATAACTTATGGAGATCTTTAATCTCCTTGTTCAAATCTTAAATGTTTGAAGAGCAAAGAAAAGTTCTTAAGATATTCTAAAAGGTTGTTCTCTAGGTTTTCTGATGTTTAAGGATCTGTGGCAATACTTAAGTTGATTTTCTCGTAATCTAAGTTTTATCTCAATTTTTATGTTTTCTCTACTACATCCCTAATCTGTAATTAATGGTTATTTAGATTACTTCAGTAAATAGTGTAACTTCTCCATAGCAATTCATGATTGCTTACTCTACAGGCTTGATAATATCTACATGTCTTGTCTATTTAAGAGGTAAGTTGAATAACATATTATGGAATTTTTATTAATATATAAAATGATTCCGCAATTGGAGTAATTATGTGATGGATATAATGAATTAGATAAGATAGAAACACTTAAAAAACATTACAATTATTATAAGTAACTTGATCAAGCACCAATAAAAAAATAAAATAATGAAAAAGAGAATTTTATTAGATAAATAGCATCTGAATATCTCAATACATAATTTAAATCAGAAGACAACTTAAAATTAAATATGATTATTCAATCTTTAGATGAGGAAAAGTAAATTATGATTAAAAGACAATAATTACTACCAAAAAATATAGAATATGATTTAGTAAATTAGATTATTAATCTATTGGATAAGTTAAAATAATTGTACAATGACAAATTAGAATTACAATATTAAAATCAAAATCAACTCAATATCATCAGTAATCTATTAAATTAAGTATATAATCTTAATAAAGAATTCACTATTAAAATGCAAGAATTATCTAAATATAATAATCAAATACCAAATGAAAGAGAGATATTATTATAATAAGAAAATGATAAGTTAAAAGTAGAATTAGAACAATATAAATCAATTAATAATAATTTACAATTCGTTTAGTAATTACTCATGCAAGCAGAAACTACTAAATAAATGTTGCAAGAATCCTTAAAATAATACAAGCAATATTGATAATTTTAAATATTTATATATAAAATGTTTTAAAATTAGTTTTAGAATACACCGTTGTTTGAGATATTTGATTCCAAAGGTATTTCTATTAACTATTTAGATGTACTTAACAAAGCTAACAAGGAGAAAGAGAAGCATTACTAACAACTATTAAAAATTACTACCAATAGTTTTGTTAAAGATTTCGATAAATAATTAAAGAGTATTAACGATTCTAAATATCTATAGACTATATTATTGAATTACAAGGATAGAACACCAAAGTCCATTTTCCAAAAGAAGGAGATCTAGGGTTGGTCTAATAGTTTTTATGTCTCTAAATCTATATTCCATAGACATAATAATGGACTATTGAATTTTCAATTACTGATACCACAAAAACTAAGCGTCATGTTTATTTGACATAGAACTGTAAATAAATTGAGAAAAAGCCATTTCACATAAGATATCCAATAGAAGTACCAAAAAACATTTGGCTAAACCTTTAAATTGATCTCTATTCATTTATTTAAGGTTGGAAAGGAATGACATTTCGTTCTTTTGATTTATTAGTTTTATAATCCCCTTGTAAATTAAGAAAGATTTTTACAATGAAATAAGCTGATCCTGATGGGTATGTTGTTTATTATAATTTTAGCTCCATTATGGGGAAACATGGGTTTCCAATTGGATTTGAACATTAAAACTTAATCATTTAATATCAGGATAATAATTTGGAGGCTTCTCAAGATAGTTGTCAAATGAAGTACCTTATGCTATTTATTATTTAAGGATAACATCTAAAAAAACTACTGGTTTTTCATAACAATCACAAAGTTAGTAAAGTTAAAAATAATAAAAATCAACTTAAGAAAAAATAACTAGAGCTAATATTGTTTATGATGATCATCCTACTCCTAAAAAAAAGACTTCTTAGCCATAATAATAATCACAATAATAATAATAATTGATCATTACTTCTAGTTCTAAATCTAATCAATAAGAAATTTCTTAAAATGATTTCGATATGAGTACTAAAATGTCTGTTAGAAATAATAAAACTACATAATAAACTGATAGTGTTAGAAGGAATGACAAATCTGTTTAAAAACATAGAGATTTATCAAATAGTAAAAAAAATTAGAGTAATGCAAGAATGGCTCATTCTTTTCCTCGTAAACCTCCTTTGTAAGAATAATTGAATTAAGAGTATTATTTAAAAACACAAAAGTTTACTACATTTAATGAATAGAAATAAAAAGATGATGAAATTGAAGAAAATATTGAAATAGCAGTTGAATAAAAGGCAGAAGAGATTATTGAGGAAAGTCAAAAGAAAATTATAACTGCTAATAATTTTAATAAGAGAAGCCTAAGTGAACTTAAAGGCGAATCAAATTATTAAAAAGTAATTAAAATATTAAAAAAATAGAATGATTAATAATTTGAAGATAGCTTAGAATAACCATTTAAGAATAGTGTAACTACATTTGCATAAGAAGGTTATTATGCAAATTAACTAAAAAAATATACAGATTTAAATCGTCCATTCACTCCAGAATATAATTCTGATTTCAAATTTGGATAATCTAATTATTAATAATTCTGATTTAGTTCAAATTTTTTATAATATAAAGTTTTTATTCACTTCAATAAATTTCTCTTCATCTTAATTAGAATCTTTAAGATCATTTGTCTTGATAAAAGTAAACTATTCATAAGTTTCATATTTCTATATTCTATTTATTGGTGTATCCTAAGGAGGTTCTTTTGTAAACATATCATCAAAATGTCTCAAATCTTTATGACCAAAAACTTTTGGTTTAAATGGAGGTTGAATTTATTTATTATATAATTTATCCCAATCAATTTCTCTAAAGAATTCATGATCTTTAATTTCTTAACTTCCATTTACTCCTAATCTTTTGGTAGGCTGATTAAATTGTAAAAATATACATCATTCTATAATAATCCATTTAATATAGATCTAGCAGCACTTGAAAACCAATCTTTCATTTCTATTGGTTTTTCAAGTCTATTTTTAAACATTTATGTTTTATCTTTTGAATAAAAAGGTGGAGCACCTGCAAGCATTTCATAAAGTAATGCACCTAAACTCCACCAATCTACACATTTATTATGTCCTCCTCCTAATAAAATTTCAGGTGCCAAATACTCAGGTGTACCACAAAATGTATTTGTTTTTTCATCATCCTTAACATTTATTTTAGATAATCCAAAATCTGTTATTTTCAGATGTCCTTCCATATCTAATAAAATATTTTCTGGTTTTAAATCTCTATATATTATATCACATTTATGTAAATATTCTATTGCTAAAATTAATTCAGCAGTATAAAATTTTGCTCTTTCTTCTTAAAAACGAAAAGCCCTTCTTAAATGAAAAAACAATTCCCCTAAACTAGTTACAAAATAAAAATACCTCCAATTAGAAAATCCATAATAAGATATAATTTAGTTCTAGTTTAGAATGCATAATGTAATTATACTATGAAAGGGTTATTAACATTTTCAAGAATTGCTCTTTCATTCTACGTATGCAATCTCTAATTTCTCTTTTCAATCATCTCTTTTCTTAATATTTTCATTGCATATAATTTATTAGTTTCCTTATGTGTAACTAACATAACCTTTCCAAAAGATCCTCTTCCTAAGACTTTTTCAAATTGAAAATCATTCAATTTTAGAATTGCGTCACGATTATCATCAATAAACACCTACTCACCAGTCTCTTCAATTTGTTCAAATGTAGCTGTAGGTGCTTTCATCAATTCCTCAGTCATTTATTGTTCACCTTCTTTAGTAGAAATACATAATCCCATATTATTCAATTAAAATTATATGATTCTTGAATAATTTTTTCTTAATTTTTATTAAGGTATTATAATATCTTACTGTAAAATAAGGTTAAAAAGTTTCACATACTAAGAGATATTCTATATTTACATTAATTAAAGATAAAAATAATTTGAAGTTATTCATTCTTCAAATTTATATATGATAAAAGTTTTTATTAAAATAATTTATTATATGAAATTGATGCAATATTAGATGATTTTATATAATTTATTAATTATTCTATATTTTATCTTTTATATTAATATATTTGTTAAATATACTTTTAATGTCATTCTTTTAATGTTGTTATTTATTCAGATGAATTGGAATCGGTCTTTTATTATAATTTTATGGTTCTAAAGTAATCTTCTTCAAATTCAATTGACTAAATTATTTTATAGAATACATCAGATTCTTGTTTTATTATAGGTTTTTAGAACCAAAATGCATAAATTGTTACTGAAAAAGGAAGTTAAACTTGAATTAATACAACTAATAATAACAAAAAATATTAAAATATTCGAGCTTCACTTTAAATAATCTAAAGAAATAATTAATTTATTATTATACATCTAAATATAGAATACAAGTCTCAGTAGGCCCTTGAACTAGGAAGTAAATATCCTCTATGAAGTATAACAATTAGCCAAAAAATGTAACATAAACAAGAACCCTTATAGCAAATGATCATACCAAAAGTTTATTCTTTAACGATTAATTTTTTTACAGTTTTCTTCAAAATTAACAAAATTTTTCAATATAGTAGACTTTAATTCTAGGTTCTTTTTAATACTTAAGTTCAATGAGTGAGCAACAGCAATCAAAACTAAATTCACTATAAATCCAATCATTCTTATAATATGAAATATCTATTCTTAAAATTTATTTGATTACATATACTTTGACAAAGCGAATAGGATTGAGATAAACTTGTAATATAATCATACAAATTCCATATCAAAAATATAGTAAAAAGTAAAATTAAGCAAATACAATAAATTTTCAATTGTAAAATTTGATGAGGTTTATAAGTTCTAATACTCAAAGTTTTTCTAGCAAAATAAAATACAATATAGATTAAAAATGCATAATAAAGATATAATTAAAAAAAGTAAAAAACCAACAATGTTTTTTATGCCAAATTAAATAAAATATTGCCTAAGTTTTAAGTTGTATTATACAAGTTAAGCACAAGATAATTAAAATATAGATAATATTTTTTCTTTTTTTAGCCTATCTATATATTTTCTTTCTTCTAATTAATTAACATATGCCAACTGCTAAGACTGCCAATGCTGTAACTTCAGAGATACATAAGCTTTTGATATTTGATCTGTAAATACGTAATGCAATAAATTCCAAAATCTTGGCAACATGACAATATTCCATTTATATTTGTTGCCATAATAACAAAAGAAAATTAAAATTTAATTTTTGTAATATAGAATAATTTAATCAACTTAATTTAGTTNAAAATAATTTATTATATGAAATTGATGCAATATTAGATGATTTTATATAATTTATTAATTATTCTATATTTTATCTTTTATATTAATATATTTGTTAAATATACTTTTAATGTCATTCTTTTAATGTTGTTATTTATTCAGATGAATTGGAATCGGTCTTTTATTATAATTTTATGGTTCTAAAGTAATCTTCTTCAAATTCAATTGACTAAATTATTTTATAGAATACATCAGATTCTTGTTTTATTATAGGTTTTTAGAACCAAAATGCATAAATTGTTACTGAAAAAGGAAGTTAAACTTGAATTAATACAACTAATAATAACAAAAAATATTAAAATATTCGAGCTTCACTTTAAATAATCTAAAGAAATAATTAATTTATTATTATACATCTAAATATAGAATACAAGTCTCAGTAGGCCCTTGAACTAGGAAGTAAATATCCTCTATGAAGTATAACAATTAGCCAAAAAATGTAACATAAACAAGAACCCTTATAGCAAATGATCATACCAAAAGTTTATTCTTTAACGATTAATTTTTTTACAGTTTTCTTCAAAATTAACAAAATTTTTCAATATAGTAGACTTTAATTCTAGGTTCTTTTTAATACTTAAGTTCAATGAGTGAGCAACAGCAATCAAAACTAAATTCACTATAAATCCAATCATTCTTATAATATGAAATATCTATTCTTAAAATTTATTTGATTACATATACTTTGACAAAGCGAATAGGATTGAGATAAACTTGTAATATAATCATACAAATTCCATATCAAAAATATAGTAAAAAGTAAAATTAAGCAAATACAATAAATTTTCAATTGTAAAATTTGATGAGGTTTATAAGTTCTAATACTCAAAGTTTTTCTAGCAAAATAAAATACAATATAGATTAAAAATGCATAATAAAGATATAATTAAAAAAAGTAAAAAACCAACAATGTTTTTTATGCCAAATTAAATAAAATATTGCCTAAGTTTTAAGTTGTATTATACAAGTTAAGCACAAGATAATTAAAATATAGATAATATTTTTTCTTTTTTTAGCCTATCTATATATTTTCTTTCTTCTAATTAATTAACATATGCCAACTGCTAAGACTGCCAATGCTGTAACTTCAGAGATACATAAGCTTTTGATATTTGATCTGTAAATACGTAATGCAATAAATTCCAAAATCTTGGCAACATGACAATATTCCATTTATATTTGTTGCCATAATAACAAAAGAAAATTAAAATTTAATTTTTGTAATATAGAATAATTTAATCAACTTAATTTAGTTTTAATATCTTAAAATTGTGGAAGATCATGATCATGTAAATCTTCATCAAGTGAATGTTAACTATCAATATCAGAATCAGATAAAAAAGCATTTAATAATTATGGTTTTTTCATTTCTGTTATGTATTGTTCATTATTTAATTTTTTAGCATTTTCATCATCAGATTCATCATAATTTACATCAGACTCGTTGGATTTCTAAGATTTATAACCTTTTTCTATTTTATGTGATTTTCCAGAACTCTTTCTTGATAAACTCATTTTTTAAATTTCTGTACTTTTATTTAATCTAGTTGCAAAGAACCTTTTTATATAGGCTTATATATAATAAAAATACCTAGTAATTCCTTAATAAGCTTCAATTGGTCTGGGAGCATTATGATCACCTTAAAAAGTAAATATGTATTTTTCGCCTTTGAATGCATCATATAATTCTTCAATATGATTTTTTCCAATCATTTTATCACTACTTGCTCTAACAAAATAAGCAGCACATTTAGAAGATAATTTTTTAATATAAAGCATAGTATTAATATGTTTTGGATCATATCTAACTAACTTTCTTACTTTTTTTCTTAATAAATAAAAGACAAATCTAACACCAATAGTTGGAACATGAAAATTATCGCCAATATCAATACAAAGTTACTTTAAATTACTAAATGGAGAATCTAAAACTAGAGTATTTAACTCTGGATATTCAGCTGCAGCCATAATTGCTGTTACTGCTCCCATACTTCTACCCCAAACTCCAAATGGACCTAATAATGGGTATCTTTTAGTAAGAATCATATATACTTCACTTTAATATATTTTAGAATATTTAAAAAGTCTTCTTTTTCATACCATCCAAGTGAAACATATTATCCATCTGATATGCCACAACCACCAAAATCAAAGTTTACTAAACTCATTCCTTCTTAGGCTAACATATTAGCATAACATGAAGATTCTAATCTAGAACTTGAATTTCCATGCAAATAAATAATACATGGTCTTGATTTATCCTTTAAATAAACAGGACTATATAAAGAACATTGTAATTTTAAATTTTATTATCTAGACACTACTACAAAATCTTCTCTGTAAATAAGTAATTTATTTACTAACATAGTTGTTGCACCTATTTTATTATAACTTTTAGTAATATACCTAATTTAGATGGATCATATATCTATCTAGGTGGTCTAACAACAGCATCAACTAATTGATCAAAATAACCTCTTTCTTTTGAACTCTTTAATTTAATTTCTGCTGTAAATGGTTAATTCATAATTTATATATAAAATATGTGTATTATAGTGATCAAATTAAGTCTTTTGAACTTTATAATTTTATCTTTTACTATATTTTAGCCTACTCTTAAGTAAGATTTAATGATTTATTTGATTTATGTGCTTTTTAATCCTTAACTGTAACTTCATAAAATTCCATGGATTTTATTTATTAATGTTAACTTCTCAACATAGGTAATTAACTTATATTAGGAACTTATAGTTGTTATTATAATCTAATTTAAGGTTTCATAATTTTTGGAGTTTGTTGACATGAAACTAATAATGGTAATGATTATCTAGGAATTTAACCTGTAATATTATATTATTTATGAAGTTCCTGAATTTATTCTTATAGGATTTTATCAACTATTACTAATTTTGCTCTTCTATATGCAAAATTCATAATTGTTATTCTAATATCAGAATTATTATTATTTAAATATTTCCAAATATAAAAGGCTCCTCTTTTTAAAACTAAAATTTATAAATTGTTTAATACAATATTTTTCAGGATATTTCATAAACTTTTTCTTTAAAACAGCATGAGAACACCACATATGATCATTATCTAAATCTATCATTGGTTGATAAATATTTTTTAAATCTTTTCTTAACTTTCTTTATTATAATCTTAATTGATATTTTAACTCTTTTTCAGGATTTAGATTAGATTCTTAAGGTTACGAATACATTACTAATTTATCAGTAACTGAGACACTACGATTTATAATTTCTGGCTATTTCATTTATTGTTACGTATTTTCTCTAACAATCATAACTTTCTTTCTTAAAAGTAACTTTGGTTTCGTTTCTTCTGGTTCTGTCTTCTCTACTTTACTGTCATTACTTGTATCATCTGTTTTCTTTTCTAATTACTACTTCATTTTCCCAATTACAGAAGTCGAAGCTGATTAAATTAACAGTTGGAATTCTTCCCTTGATCTACTCACAAGAAACTTGATCAATACAATCGCGGTGGACATCTGTTTTGTTTTGATCGGTTACCTTAAAATCAGATTCTTAATTTTATTGTACAAAATGTATGCCATCAAAATTATTTTCAGCCATAAAGAATTACTTAAACATTGAAAATAAATCCTTTGTATCCTTCTAATTGAATCTTATAATGTGCATTTCAGGTCTGAATTATTTTATTATTGTTTAACTAAATCTATATATTTACATCCTTTCGGGTAAATTTACCATTAGGATTTTTGACAATGCTTCTATAATCTTATTCTCCTCTTCAATTCTTTATTTATCGTTCTTCTTCAGTCCAATTATTTTGAATCCAAGTTATCTTAAAGATTATTAAACTTTTGTAAATTCCAAATCGAAAAACATTTGATTTGCAAGTACTTGTTAATTTATAGCATTTAATAATCTAATATCTTCGCTACGTTCAAATATTATTTTTTGTAAAACATCAAGTTAGTTAAATGTAATATCCATATTAAATTTTATATTATTAATATTACATTTAATTTATAACTATATCTTATAATTATATTTCATTATCTCAATCCATTAAATGATTACTATATTTCAATAAATTCAACATTTTATGTTTATTAATAACAATGATCTCAATAATTTCAATATATTTAATAGAATTATAAAATTATAGAGATATATTTTAATAAGAATTGTCTGATATTTAGTTTAAATTAATCTAAAAAAAATATCAAAGAAATTTACTTATTTAAATTTACACAATTATTTAAACTATTCACAAAAGATTAATATTTTATTTTCAATATAGAGTTATTCTACTAAAATATTCAATCTCAATTTTAAATTTAGTCAATATCTATCTGATTTAATCATAAGAGATTTATTTTTAATTATAAATTGAATAAATATTGAAGTAAACTTTTTGTTTTTTCTCATAATAATTTAATTAATTGATTAAAATTATATACCTAATTAGGTTCTCCTCTTTATAACTAAATTTAAATCATGATTCATTATGGAATTCAGTTTTTAATTTAAAATGTCATTAATTCAAAACGGAAATTTTCAATATTATTTTATTATGTATGAAGATTACTATTGATTTAATTTAGTATAAAGTAGATATAATTAATAAATCATTAATAATTGTTTGATATTTAGGAAATATTTTGTAGCAAAATTTAAATTTATTGATAAGAAATTAAATATATATTACATATAAACATAATCAACTATACTATCTAATTAAATAAGTTTTAATAAATGTTATCCATATTACTTTATTTAGTTTAATCTCAAAAAAATTGAGATTTAAATCTAAATAAATTGATATTCGATATTAATTAAATTAATAATTACTTATGAGTGCTTAATAAAGAAGACTAGAAGAGTAAATGCGTAAGATGGGATACTAACCTGCTAAAAAAAGTTAGTTTTAGTTAAAACCTGTACAAATAGGCAGGCAACTTAAAACGCTTCCAGATATTCCCATTACATAAAGGTTAGAAGTTTCTCCATAAGGAGCTTAAAAATTATAAAACATAATTAGTACATATCGAGCCTCTAATGCTAATATTAGAATAACTTGCAAGAGAACTTCAATCTAACGAATGTCTATTAAAGATTAAATAAAGAATTATGTAAAATACCAAAGTAGTATGTAAGTATACAAATAAATTATAGATAACTTGATGGTTTAGATGCACTTAGAAATTTAATAAAAAATGGAGATTCATTAAGTTTAGAGATTAATAAGTCATAAAATATTGAATTCTTTGTTGGATCACTAAGTGATGGTCATGGAGAATTTGGATCCTAAATTTCTTCATTAATTACAGAATTTTATATAGAAGAATTAAAAAAATTGTTTACTTCTGTCCCTTTATTATAGCTTAGTCTAACATTAAAAGACAATCTAAAGAAAATATATTAGCAGATTGAATAAAGATTGGTATATAATTATTTATATTATATTGTAGATTGGGTAGACATTAATTGATTATAGGTTAAGTGGAGCCTCACTGCTCAGTTTAATTATAGTTAATAATATTATATATTGTTCAAATTTGGGAGACTCAAAAGCAGCCTATTTTTATAAATCAGATTAGTTAAATGATAATCCAAAAGAAATAAGAAAATTTGTTTAAAAAAATTTAAACTCTATACATGATACAAATAGTGGAAAAGAAGTAGATAGGATAATAAAGAAGGGAGGAAAAATAGATTAAGCTGTTTTTAAAGGATAAAAAGAAGGTAGTTTAAAAATTTGGGTACCAAAATAAAATTATCCTGGTATCAAGATAACAAGATGTTTTGGCAATCAGATTGGAAAATCTATAGGAATATCAGCTGATCCTGACTTTTTAGAATTAAAAATTCCAAAATCAGGATATCTTCTTATGGCAAGCACTGGATTATGGGAGAAATTAGATATATTAGTGATTGACAAAATCTTAGATAGTAATTATCCTCCTGAATCTTGGGCTGATGTTGATAAGGCTACAAAATAGTTAGGGAATGAAACCAAAAAGTTTTGGGATGTTGATGGATAAGGATCTGTAGACATTTCTTTAAGCTTAGTTTACATATCCTTAGAAAAGTGATTTTATTGATATATATTGATGATGAATAGTTCAACAACATAATATATAATTTTATTTAAGATTTCGATTAGGATCCACTAATATTTACAGACTTAATATTATAATTAATTTTAATGAAAAATAACAACTTCTCTTCATTTCATCTCAAAAAATTATTGACTCCCATTTAAAATAAGAAAAGTTAAGATACATTTTATGAAAATCAAATATAATCCTTTGTACATTTAAAGTCATATATGCCAATTAATCCTTTAAGATTACCTTAACGAAAAAATATAAAGACAGCTAATTTGACATAAATTGATGATATCAAATGTAAATGTTAATAAAATAAGAATTATTTAAGTAGAAATAATAAATAAGAAAAACACTCTCGAATGGTTCAACTTTGTAAACTTCTGAATTGCCTGAATATTTAGGAATCTAAACAATTGTAGAAGAAAATGACGAATAGGCAAAATCATATTGTAAATAACCATCTCCATCCTATAATCATTATCATAATCTTACAAAATAAGTAATGAATTTAATGAAAAATGCTCATTAATAATTATCTCCATCAATTGGTAAAAAAAAATTAGAAATTAATTTAAGAGAAACAATAGATTTTAATCAGTTTAAAAGATTGATGAAAGCTATTTATTAACCAAAAAAATCAAGCAAAGAATTATAGTTTATTAAAAAAAGGACTTATTCTGAAAAAATTGTTTAAAAATAAACTTAATGAATAAAAATATTGAATACAAAAATTAAATATAAATCTTTAAGAAAATCAAATTGAATTTTGTTAATTATTAAAATCTTAAACAATATTTCTAGGTTTATTTTATTATTTTATTGTATTCTCTTTTTTTATAAATATGGATTCATTAAAAGTATAAATATTTAAAATAAACCAAAAATAATACTAATATTAAAATGAGATATTAATATTAAAAATAGAAATGATATATAAATGTGTAGTAGTTTTATATAAAATTTTCAATATAATTTATATTTTTAATTATATTATATAGTAAATTAATTTAAAGTAATTTTAATATATTCTTGTTTTGAAAATCAAAATTTAAATTAAAAATATGAAACATTTGGTATATGATATTGATTTGTATTCATTTAATACACATGAATGAAGTTTTTCAAATCTTTTTATTAGTCTTATTAGTCTTATAATTTTTATATAAATTTATAAATGAGTAAATATTTTCACAATATTTCAACTATAAAATTATTCACAATTTTATTTAACCTATAAGGATAATATTAATGACTCCTAAACTTAAAAGAAGAAAACCCTAAAAAAGAGCTTCTCCTATTTAAAGCAAAGACATTAAGGTTATTGTTATTGATAGTACGAAAAGAGATAAAAAAAAATAAGAAGTGAAAAAAAAGGCAACCAAAAAATAGTTAAGCAAATTATAAAAATTTCAAGCACAGATGATTCCTTAAAATAATGTAGATTAGATAAGATTATAACATATCTCATGTAAAATACTGTGATTTACTTTAGCTAAAATTTAGTAAAATTATAGAACTCAAAATCAGTCATATTTATTAAAAATTAAAAATTTATACGATTAATATAAATCGTTGATTCTAAAATATACATTGTTAACTGAGCTAGATGATTTCACTTTTGCCCTTGATTTACTTAGAAAAACTATAATAAATACGTTTATTAATTAGATTAAGCAAAGTTTTAATTTTTAAAAAAAGATTCCTATACAAATTATTGCAATAGATCAAATGATTTCTACATCTTAAAAAAATAATACTTAAACTTATTAATAAGAAATTTAAAGTTTACTTAAACCAATTTTTAGATCAGAAACTATTGATTAGCCATATATTAAATTAAAAATAATGATGCAATAAAGAAATATATAGAAAAAATTAGAAGAGAAGAATTAACTCTTTTAAAATTTAAAAGATTAAAGTCTATAAAATGGTTTTGATAATGAAATGGGAGATTTGCATTTTTCTTCATTAAATTATGGTGAACTTTTGGAAGCATAATAAAAGCAAGAATTAATTGAAAATGCAAAGTCACGATAAACTCAATCTTTGAATTTAGATGGATTTTTTAAAAATTAAAATATATAGAATCCTAAATAATAAATAAATTCAATAAGACAATTTTTAATTAAACCAATAGCTAAATAATAAATGGAAATAAGTAAAATTTCAGTAAAATCAAGAAATTAAAGTAAGGAATCATGTTTTTCAAGAAATGACTAATATTTTACTCCATTTTAATCAAATATGTTATAAGTAAAAGGTATGCCATATTAAAATTAAGATATTAAATTATAAAATAAATAGAATTATTTACCTAATTTATAAGCACACATGAGTAGAATATAAAATTTGAATACTTCTTTTGAATTACCTTTTGAATTAGAATCATAAACAAGTTGTACTCCAGCAAATGCTAAAAAAACAATGTTAGTTTAAAATAGACCAATTAATAAAATAAATTGTGAAGGTGGATGTAGAGAAATAGATAAATATAGTTATAATTCTAGGAAATAAATTCAAAATCCAAATTTAAGTGTTAATAGAAATGATATAAATTAATCTCAATTATTTAATTATTAAAATAGAAGTGTTGATTTTGGTCGATAATTAGGATTTAGTAATTTATATAATTCAAAAATGTTTAATACAAATAATAATTAAATCAATGTTAATAATAATAATAATAATAATAATAATAATAATAATAATAATAATTTATAATTTTCAAAAATATAATCATTACATGCTAGTACAATAGTGAATGATTGGTTAAGTGAATCTTCATAGAGTAGATTAGTTCTTTAATAATAATAAATATTTTAATAATATAATTGGATAATATTTACAAATGAAAATAGTAATATGAGATTTAGTAGACAAATAAATATTTAAAATTTAAAATTATTATGTGTTTAAATAGATTCTAACTTTTTTGATGATTATGAATATATATTGTTGAGTGATAAATTTAAAATATTAATAATGGAACAAAAAGATTTAGTTAGTCCTGAAATGCATATGAGATTAGGAAAAGGGGATGAAAAAGGGGCAATTTAAGCTCTGATTAATAAAATGAAAATATAAATGCAATAATTTATGCTATAATATAACAGTAGATAAGTTATTGTTTTGATTTAATATTAACATTAATTCTTTTTAAGAATGCTTATAGAATACATATTTCCATAATTAGGATAATTGTAGGAATAATATAAAATAACTCCATTTTATTAGATAGAAGAGTTGCAAGAAATAATATTTGATCTAATATAGACTTAAGAAAACATTAGATATGATAGATTAATAAAAGTACCTAATGATCTTAATAAATTTCGATCAAAAATATAAAACATAGAATTTTCTAATTTGGTTACAATGAGATGCTTAAATCAATTATATTAGACATTAGTATAGCAATTAACAAATTGATATGATTAATTTGAATTTTAATTTACTTTTTAAATAAAATATTAATTAAATGGATAACAAGATATTAAAAGCAATTAAAGAATAGAAAATAGATCCAAAACAAAAAAATATATATTTATTATAATTTGATTTACTTTTAAAAAAATATTAACTTAAAACTTAATTTAATTATGCATCCAAAAAATAATACAACCAATTTTATCACTGATAGAACAACAATTTCTAAGACTCCTTGTGTTAATAAAACAAATTAAAATTGTATTATAAGTTTATATTATTAGTACCAATTTATGACGATTATTAATATAAAACAGTAATCCCAAAATTAGAGCAAACAGAGAGATTATTTCATTCTTAACTATTTGATCCTGCTGAAAGTCTTAAATAATAAATATAAGAATTAAAGAGATAAATTAAAATTAAGGAACTAAGTTATGATTAAATTGCCTCTGCATTTTATTAATCATAGAATAAAGTAGAAGAATTAAAAGAAGCACTTGAATTATCTGAAAAGGAGAAGAAATTCTTATAAAATGAAATTGAAGAATAAAATCAAAATATTGAGTACAAATAATTTGACATTAAATAATAACAAGAAATGTATACATTATTTTAGAATGAAAATACACAATTAAAGTTAGAATCAGTTTAGGTATGCAAAATGAGTAATTTAGTTAAAAGATACAATATTAAGATTATAATTTGATAATAAACAACTGAAGGATTAATTAGATTCCTTATTAACAAATTCATAAAGTTGTGAAAGAAAGGGTAGTTCAAGAATGTCATTTGATTATTTATTAAATGATTAAGATTAATCATAATTAGGTTAAGCTTTATCTGTAAATGCATCTGCTAATTGTGATAAACATTGTAATTGTGCTAAAAGACTTATTATATTATAAGGAGAACTAAAAAAGAATCAAACCTAATTAAAAGAGAAGGATTAATTAATAGCAAAATTAACAGAATAAAATTTAGGAATGTAAAAGACTTAAAATAGATTATCAAAAACTTAAAAAAAATAAAATTTATTTGGATCTCCAATTACAGAATTAGAAAAAAGGGAACCTACTTAAATTAAAGAGGAATAAAATGATACTTTTCGTTAATTAAATGGATATATGAGTGATAAAAATTTCAAAAAAGATTGTAATTATGCATAAGATTCTTAAATGCCTGTAATTAATTAAAATTATGTAGTTAAAAACATCATCAAGTGCTAGATCAGTATTAATGAATAAATCTAAAAAAGAAGTTGAGTAGATGTATCGTAAAATGAATTAATCTGCTCTATTTACTGCTAGTTTATTCTCAACTATGTTAGATTATAAAAATCTACATTATAACCCTGGTTAATTCGGAAATAAATGTCTCAATTAAATAAAATAATTATGATAATTTCATATAAATTTATATTGATAAAAAACTCTTCATTAATCAAATTAAGAATTTTAATTGTCACTTTTTGAATCTATTATTTATTTGTTAATTAAATTTAAATCTTATGATAAAGAAATAATTTTTTATAAATCTTATCCTAAATCATTATTAGATTAAATTTATGATTTTTTAATACCATTCATACTTGTTTCTATAAACTTTTATTCTAATTTTTATTATTTTTTAGATTTATGTGAAATATTGGATTTTTCTGATTCTTCTTCTAATTATTATTATAATTATTTCTTTCTTTAATATTTGATTGCTTATTCTTCTTCTTATAATAATTATTAATAAAATTAATCTACATCATCTTTTGGATCTTAAAATTCTTCATTTCCACTATCTTCATCATCTGCAAATTCCATCATTTTTTTAATAAAATCTTTTTATTATTCTTCATTTTAATTATTTTTATATTCATAATCATCATCATCATCTATTTACTAAGCTTTTTTTTGATTAAATTAATTATCATTATCATCAACCTTTTAATAATTAAATTATTCATTTTCATCTCTTTCTGCAAAATTTTCATCACTATTTGCAACAGAACCATTTAAAAATTCTTCAGAACACATACTCATTTATTCAATTTTTTAATGTATTTCAATTAATCTTTAATTTGTAGTTCTTTATATATAAATATCAGAATCTGTAGAAGATTCATCTTCTGATTTTACTTCTGGAATAGTATAAGTTGTTTATTTATTAGCATTTGTATTATCTTCTCTTTTAATTTCTTATTTAACTCTAGCTTCTTATTTAATTTAATCATTAATCTTATTTAATAAATTAACTAAAGGACTTTCTTTTTTTTAACTTTATTAATTATTT